TTTTTCGGGGCACGGATTCGAGTGGAATTTTTAATTGCGTGAAGGAAAAATGCTCGGCGTTGGAGGCCAGAAATTCATTTCAAAGAAATCACATCCTTTAAGAAATGTTTGGGGCTCGAAAATTATTACAGGCGCGCATCCCTCGCGTCCTTGTCCAAGTGGGTGTTAACCTTGCGCCTTCATGGCCAGCAAAACAAAGCGAGCTCGACCTACACTGAACGAAAATGGGACAATAGTGACCTAAGTGAGTTATTTTTCAGAAATTAAGATTTTTCAGAAAAGCGTGTAAGCTAAATAATGTTTACATGATAAAAATTACTGCTTGCTAGTTGGGAAGACTGTTCTAAGCTTGTATCATACTTGACACCTTTCTTACAAGAATATATTAAAAAAAGGATTTTAAAGTAATAGAGTATTATATATAATTAATACTCATTGATTTGCAGCATCACTTTAAATAATGAGTCCAATAATATCCTTAAACTTGAAGAAACCTTTTTTGTCAGTGTGCTTAAGCGAAGTGAAAGGACAAGGGATCTGTGGGGTCCTGGTCCTGGTCCTGGTGTGGGTGCGACCGAGTGCTGCTTTGCATTTAATTACGCTTAAAAATTAATTAATTTCTTTTTTGTGCGACCGGGCGGGAGTGGCCCTGTGGAGTCACTCGAGTCTCGAGTCGCGAGACATAATCAAGCTGCCGCTGCCAAAGAGGACTTCAGTGGCGGCGACGCCGCCGACGCCTTAATGTATGCTACATTGCGGCCACTTTTATCTGCCTGGCATTATCCTTGTACTCGCTGGCTGGGCACAGAGTACAAGCTACAGGCCGGATTCCTGCCCGATGCCGGGGGTGGTGCGCACTTGTGTGTCTTAAATAATTCAAGAAGCGCAGTTTCGCGGTTTCCCAGCAGCAACAGCGCCAAAAACAAGCCAGTGGCAGGGCAAGTCAAGCATTGTTAAATGCCAAGGATACCCGGGTCTGGGTTAATTCCACAGCTCGCACAGAAATGTGTAGCCACAAGTCCATTATCCCTTGGCTTACAACGTTTTGATATCGCTTTGATCCCCGATAATAATTCCCCAAAACAATTACAAAGGGTTTGGGCGACGAAGCAACACATTTTTGGAATACATTAAAATGAAAGCCAGTTTTATAAGCTATCAAAAGGTGGATAAGGATTCCCAAAGGGAGCTCAATGTGTTAAATTAATTAAATGGACGACCGCCTCTTGTATAGTATCAAGCACTTCAATTATATCAAGTCATATTTTAAGGAATTTACCTTAACTTCTGAGTAAATTTGAAAAAGCACACTTCCCAAGTCGGGTATTAACTTAATAAATAACCAAATCCATGAGAAACAAACCTGTAAATAAAAATAAGTAAGGGTTAACGGAATTCAATACAATTTTCAAGATTTTGTATTTAATTTATATATTTAAATAGTGTATATAAAATATTATATAAAACATATATTAATTATACCAAAGCCAGCAAAGCAAAACGTAATGATTAACTGCTAGAAAGTGCACTTCAATCCCCTCAATTTGTTTATAAATAAATTACACTCATTTGATGGATGCAAAGCAGAGATCTATTTTCGAGAGTATTTCGTTGTTCGAAGCGAAACAAAGGCTAAGGGGTTTGTGGAATGCAATTGCAAAAGTAAATTTTAATAACTCAGTGTGTTGCTGTCATAAACAATAGCAGCAGCTGCTGCAGGAACAACTACAACTACAACTACAACTGGGAGAACAAACAAACTGGCAAGCCACAAGCAGCAACAACAATTGACTCAATTTTAGCATTTTCAAGGTCGCCTGCTGCAGTTGATGCTGCTGCTGCTGCTGCTGCTACTGTGTTGTTGCTTTCAGTGCATTTGAAGGCAACAAAAGATTCACACTGCAAAAAAAAAACTAGAAATTTAATATATTTACTTATTTGTGACAAATTTCTGGGTTCAAGAAATTTTTAAAAACTAATATCTTTCATCTTTAAGTTGCACAGAGGTAAAGTTAAAGGTGATTGTTATTATTCGCAATTAAAATGGAAATGACAGTTAAATTGTAGTATAAAATATAATGCCATAATATTCTTTCTTTTAAATCAATACAAATTATTTATTTATTGAAAACTTATTTCATTGCCTTTAGCTTCCCTTTGGTAATAATAACGAGTAACAGGAAACGGATACGGATGAAGAACATTGGTTATGTTTAGAAACAGCTGTATAACTAAATCTGATACTTGTGTTTTTCAAAATTTAGGTTGACTTCAAACTAGTTTCCGAATAATTATACAATAAAATTTCTAAGATGATAAATGAGAAACTATCCTCCCAGTGCAGGCACACATGATCTAATAATAATATGGACTCAAGAGTGGCAGCTTGATGGACTGCACAAAATACAGTTGTTATCCAGCATAAATATTCCGAATTCCAAGTTCGAAATTGCAATTTTTGTTTACTGCACTTTACCCACACTCAGTGTGTACATGTGTGTGTGTGGGTTGGCTGTGGGTGTCTGTGAATTTCGCTATTTTTCTTCAGTTTATTTTTGGGCCATAAATTGTTCAGTGAAGCGGGATGCTATTGAATATTTGATATTTTGAATGCAATTATATATAATACGACTAACAGAGTGTAAGTCGGGCAATTTAATGTTCAGTAAAATACAATGTATTTCATTGAATAGAGCGGGTTTTGGTAACGCTGCGTATACTTAATATGAATGAGATTTCTGCTGAATTTACCAAAGATACAATTGCCAGATTTTCGCTCAGTTCACGTTGATTGAGATGGAATATTTGGCAGGCCGCATTTTCGGCCCAGCGTTTTTGTGTAACAAGTAACAGTGTTTTCGTTCAGGTGAAAGCCGAAAAAGCCGAACAAAAAAAATGTAAAAGTTGTATACAAAACCCGGCGGTGACCTTGGCGATATACACACGCCACCTCGACGTTTGAGTCATATCTTCTTCCTCGACTATAAATACGCAGAAAGCTAGAATTACTCGCATTCGGCGATATGTATGCAGCCGTAAAAAATATGTGAGCATGGATGACTGACTTTGGCTAAAAGCATTTCTTGTATCGCACCAGCATATACATTTCTCGCCCCTTTTTTGCTTTTTTTTTTTGTTTTTTTCTGGATTTTTGCTGGTTCTCGCAAGCGAAATGCCTGAAAACGTAAATAAATGCCGAATAAAACACATGGCCGTTGGCCTTTTAACGCAGACGTCGCTCTTCTGGGAGACTGGGACAGGAAGCACTTTGGATGTGTACAAATTTAAGAGGAAAAGTGTGTGAACCGGGGAGCACAGGTGAGCACCTGGGGTCAGCGGGCAGGCGTCAAAAAAATTAAAAGCGCTGAAAACACAAGGCCGGGGCCAAAGGCAACAGAAAGACGGAAAGAGCATGTGAGAGCCACCCAAATGGCAATAAAAATAAAGCATTCCGCTTGTATCTCATTCACTTTGATATGGACTTTAATATCATTGAAATTATAATGATGTGTGTTTTTATGTGCGACCATAAAAAAGGAGCCGAATATGAGTTGACGTCAGGGACAGGGACAGAAACCAAGTCCTCCATCCCGATACCAATCTCCCATTCAGTCCTCAGGCTCAGACCTCAAAAACTGGGGGAAAACTTCAACGGTTAGTCACCTCCGAGCCATGAAGGCATCACCCGAAATAGAGGGAAGCCAGGGCCAGAAGTTGACCGGCATTTGACCCTTATTTGGGCACCTTTAGCTAACCCAATCCCAGTTCCAATCCCAGTCCCTATCCCGTTCCATCGAATAATTCGTTCACCTGGGCAATTTGTTATTTATGCCGCGTATACGTGTTGATTCTTTATATATGCAAATACCCCATCCATATGCGTGTATAGATACTATTGCTCTATCGATCGAAATATTTCTGGCCTTTATTTATGCCAAAACGGAAATAAGAAATTGTTGTTGGCCCAGAGGTGAGCGGATGAAGGTGTGGAAAAAAGGTAAGAGAGCCGGAACGAAAATGCTGCAGGAAAAATAGTACTACCTCATTTTGACAGTATGAAAAACTTATTTTTGGAAATTTCTACATTTAAATATTAATTATTATTTTTAGTATTTAATTATAAAGTCATATTAACTAAAAATAAAACTACAAACGATTTCATTTGCATTGAGAAACCGGCATTTGATTATTCTTGTATGCGTTCAATATTAACAAGTTTGTCACGAACACTCTCATCAATTGCCGTTAAAGAATCCTTTTATATAGTATATATATATTCACTCCATTAAAGCCATTTATGTGTTGTGGCCGGCAAGTTATCCTGCGTTTATTTGACCTGAGAGCGTGTCGGTTAATTAGCCAACCACTGGGGTCGAGTTGAGTTCATGGAAGTGCGGATTTCAGGCCCAGCTGAGGCCACTCGATTCAATTAATTTCAGCTGGCGAACAATAGAGGCCAATGGAGGCCAATGGAGAGCATGGGAGGTTGTTGCTAATTGGCCCAAGTCCGACCAGAGCTAATCAAAACAAAACACCAGCTAGGCTCGCCTTCGCCGGGCTCAGCGGGAGGAGGAGGACACAGATGCATCAATTATATGGGCCACAAATTTGTCTGCATTTGGGTGCCTGAATTATTACAGAGGCAGTCGTCGGGTCGAGTTTAAATGGATTTGGGTTCGGAATGCCATATATACGTACATATATCCCGTGCGAGCTGACAACAATCACAATTTACAATTTACAAATGACGGGCAACGGGCAAACAAAGCAACATTTACATTGGCCCACAGACAGCGTCACTTAATCGAATTATGCAACAACATCAACAGATGACACAAGGCGAATGCAGCTGCAAATAACCGGATTAACATATTCGATAGCTTCATCAGCACTGTCCCGTCCTCGTCCTGGGCCGCCCTTCGTCCTGCTGTCTGTCTGAATGTCTGCGTTTTAATTAAAATGCGCATATGAAATCGACAGCGAGGCAGGCCAGGCACTTTCCAGACAAACAGATATATGTACACATATGTACATATATGTGTTCACTGCCAGACAGACAGCTCAGAAAATCGAATCTTTTAGTCAAATTTCCTGAAAATCACTAGCGACACAGAAAGGATGCCGCAATCCCAAGTTTTTGTTATCCTGGCTTTAATTATAACGATTCACAGCACTATGGCAGACATTAATTACGAGATCTTGGCTGATGATGGTTAGTGGCACCTAACGATAAAAATATATATGGGTCTTTTATGTAATTCTTGATTTCTGTAATACTCCTAAACCCCCAGAACATCCCAATAAATGCGTAATCAAGAGCACCAAGGGCAAAACGATCTTGGACAGTTTCGAGTCGATTCATCACCCCACCAAGTGCGCCCAAGTTGAGTGCGGCAAGGATGGCTGGGCTTTAGTCTATACGTAAGGTTAACCCATGTGCTGTATTAAAAATTAAGATATAAATTTGTAAAACACACAGTTGCGTAAAAGAAGACCCGCCAAAGGAATGCGTAGATGTCGAGTTTCCCCATTGCTGCGAGATGAATGACTTGTGCAATGATATTTGAGAAGTGACTCTGATATGAAGTTTTAAAATTTGCAGTCTACATATTAGGAAATACGTTGAATATTAAAGTAAATATGTTGGCCATTACAATATGTTCGTTGTGGAATCTAGAGTTCGAAATTTGGAAATTCAACTATGAAACATACTTTTAAAAACAATAACCTTCTGTGCTTACGTCAGCTTAGCAAAACAAAAAACCAAACAGGTACAATATGGGAATTTAAATAACTGAGGTGCTAATGTCAAAAACATAATCACAGTTATTGTTTAATCGTGTTAAAAACCCCTCTGAAAGTCAACGTGAAATTCCAGATCAATCATGAGCGCGCTCCCTTGGCTCTTGCTGTCAATCACGTTGCTGTCAAGCCTTCTAATCGCGGTTGAACCAGTTAGCTGGCAAGGAGTCTACAGAGATCCTAGTGAGTGGAAAATAAGCAAAGTTTCCAGCTACCCCCTTTACTTTCTCCCCCATTCACAGGACATCCCGGCAAGTGCACCATCAATCCGAAACTGGTACTGAATCCAGGGGTGAGAATCAAGGATCCCACATACGACTGTGTTCAACTTGTGTGCGGATACATGGGTATGGTCTCGTTTCTCGGGTGAGTGGGTTACTTAGATTTTCCAGTGGCGTTCCTAATTGGACCTTGGCAGGTGCGTTAATAACCCACCGTCCCCTTGCCGATATGGGGAGACCATTAATCCAAAATTGCCCTATCCGGCCTGCTGTAAGCGCAAACTTCTTTGCAACTAAGTAGGCGGATGGAAGAACTTCATCTCAAACACATTGTGAATCGAAACGATTCCCCATCCAATACTACTCAGAATCATTGTCCAAATGTCGTTCGTCCCAAGGCATGTTCTTTTTTTCGGACTTATTTGCAGTTTTTTTATTTTGCAAGCTTTTTCTGATATCTCGCTAAACGACTATGGAGACCCAGGTGAGATCAATTGAGTATTGAGATTGGTGGCTATTGATAACCCTGGAATATTCATATCAGCTTATCCTGGTCGCTGTGTCCTCGATTTGGGCTCCACGGTGGTACTGCTCAACTTTGGTGAAATATACCGACTGAAATCCCTGCCCTGTACCAATATTTTTTGCACTGGCAGTGGCTATGGGATGCTCTATACGTGAGTATATATATTCTTTTTATTTAATATTGAAAACGTTATAATTAATAACGATTTAATAGAATTTGTTAAACGTTACGTATTCTTTCTAATATCAGGTGTGAGAAGAAATCCCCTCCAGATGGTTGTCGCTTCACGGAGTATTTAAAATGGGATGAAGCATATCCTGAATGCTGCCAGCGCAAAGTAGTGTGCGATTGAAATTTTTTGTGGACGATTATCTTTCTTCGGAATTAATTAATTTGCCTCATTCTGTACAAATTTGAAATTGACGAAACCCAGTTGGACATTCGAGTTATGCTAAATTTCCAGCTTCCAAGTTTACAATTGTTCTGCATAAATTTATTTATGAGCTTAGTCATAATTTTTTAGCTTGCCCAGCTGAACGAAGTTTATGGGTTTTGGCCAGGCTCCTGGGCTGGCCCGAATTTATTGACCGCTGGCCAAGGATCCGGTGCGGCCCTTTTGCCATGGCCTTCGGACTTCAGATGCTCGATGACTTCCCGGGGGATGGGCAAACATGGATTGCTCGGAGCCGGAAAGATAAAGGGCGGCGGGGAGAAATGAAAACCACAACAGCAACAACACTAATTGACATTTGAATGCGACTGCGACTGCGACTGCAGCAGATTAAGCCCCGGATCCATAGCGGGTCAAATGTTGCGACCTCGACAGTTGCTCCCAATTCACCATTGCCCTTTAAGGCCAATTGCCCTCTGACCCTGCCCTGCCCTGCCTGGTTTTTCTGTGCTGTGCAATTTCCACCGCCCGCCATGTAATCAAAATCGCATCTCAATTATGTGATTGATTGTCGAAATGCAGTTGTCTCCGGCCAACTGTTCAATTATTCAATTCGATATTCAGTCTTCTCATCAACATTTAGTACCGCAGATGCTCAGCGTGAGATGAATGACTTAGCTTTAATAAATTCTGTGTGATTATGATTGTATTGCTTATAAAACTAAAATTGATCAAATAATATGTCTATGGAAATTACAAAGAAGCATATTAGTGGAGTAAACGAGGATGATCAAACTTCAAGTAAACACGATAAATAAAGACGACTAAGGATGATGAGTAAGAGAACAATTTGAAGAAGAAAAGAAACATTTTAAATTGCAATAAATTTGAAAATAATCTAAATTGAGAAATAATAAGGGGCTTCAAACATTTTAAGAAGTATAAACCATTTTCAAAAGAAAAAAACTACACTGGTGCCACCCTTTTAATGATTATTTTTAAAACATATAATGAAACAAAACTTAAATAAGAATTTACTGAAATTAAACATGTAACATGCTTAAAATAAGTAGTATTATGTTTATTTTTATTTCCTTGTGAGTCCATTTCAAATTAAATAATAGGCTGTTTTAAAAGCTACTCCACGAAAATAAATAGACTCCGTGCAATAAATGCACTCGTCTGAACCTAATTAAAGTTTCTGGCAACTTGTATATATGATATGTACTAGCAATGGATTTAATTTAAATGTAAGCCCCAATTATACGTAATTTGTGAGTTCTCCGTCAAAATTAATTATGGTTTATCAGAGCTGAGAATTTGCGTTGAATTATATTGGAATTTTTCGGGAGAGAATTGCATGAGAAATGTACCATTGTGTGTGGCCATTAACCTAAATACGAGTGGATTGGGCATTGGGCTAAGGGAAGGACCAAAAAACACGCCACAAGGCGGCGACTGGCAAAGAAGTCGGGTTCTTTGTTTGCTCTACCGAAACTTGACCATGAAGCCCACCCAGCACCGCAAAGTTGAGGAAAATTTCGTAAAATGAACGAGTGTTCAGGGACCGCAGCAAGTTTTTAGTCGCATGCGAGAAGAGGAAAGCGCCGGGCTCAGCATAAAAAGTGAATATTACCATTTTTTGTGTGGGCCAAAGTTAAAGCCAGCACGGGTGTGTGTGTGTGTGTGTGTGTATATACCAGTGTATGTGTAAAAACATGTACATACAACATTTATAAATTGGCAGGAGTGGAGGCCCAGTGACCTCTCGTGCCAGTCTGCACTTTCTGTGCGAGTTCGAGTGTGCACTCACAAAAATGATTTACCCGAGCCTTTTGGCATCACCATTCTTTTTTATTTAAATTTAAAAATGTACCGAACAATGTACAGAATTTGATCAAAATTTTACAAAAAAAAAATGTATGTATATGTCTTTGCCAGTTGATGGCTCCTATTAATAAAGAAGTAAGCCACGCATTGATATATTTCTAAAATAATATTTACACTTCTTATTGATTTTCAACAAATATGGTTTTAAATTTAAGGCTAGTTTTCACTCAAATCAAATGTGAATTTCGATTTTTTGCGAGTGTGTGTGCTCGGGCGAAAGGTGAAGGTGATGTTGGCCAGGCTACAAATGTGTACATAAACGGAAACTGAAATAAAAGTCGGCGCTGGAAAGGAAAAAGCCGGGGGGCGGCCGACAACTCAAACTCAAATTTACCCGCCACATGGCATATAAAATGTAAAAGGTGCAAAGGAGCAGCTTAAAATATGCAAACGCACAAACTCTGCCACCTTTGTAAATATCTCCATGGGTTTTGCACATTCTGGCGGAGGGGAAAAATCTTTAACAGCTCGAATGGCGAACTACAGCCAAACTTTATTTATTCATTACTTTTCACGCGCCTTTTTTTCATATAATAAGAATCTGCTCACAAAAGCCATCTCTTGAAATTGAAGGCATCGGCTTTCGTAACAAAGTTCATTTACTAACTTTAAACTAAGTGCAATTTTTGCAGGTGATTTCAATATTGGATATGTAAAATGATTGGGTTTTATATTTTAATAATAATAACATTTCATATCTTATGCAATGTAATATCAATAAAAGAACACTTTTTCGATTTTAAATGTATTAATTTTATGTCTATATGGCGATGCCATAACTTAAAATAGTCTAAATTTATTTTAAATATAATACAATGGCTGTTTTTTTATTTTATTGTCAAGAATCTGGCATTTTGTGTACGTGTTTAGCAGGGAATCTTAACAATGCCAATAAATCGTACAAAAAATATACAATAAATACGCAGGGAAAATAATAATAATCCCATAAATTCGGTCATAGTTATCCTCCTGCAATCTTATTTTCAGTTGTCAGAACATTGAGAACTATTTTCCTGCTCTCCTGTTTCTTTGCCATTTTTTGCTTTCACAAATATCTCCTGAAATTGAATTTTTCCCCTCCGATGCTCCTTCTTATTTTGTTGTCTCCCTTTGTTGCTTGGGTGGGTTTTAGTGTGTATGTAAAATAAATTATGAGAGCAAAGCACTGCGGACTGTTGCTCTTGTTTTACGAGCTGTTGGCAAAAGATGCTTGCTTGCCATAAAAATGTTTGTTGTGCGAGGCTTCGAGGAGGTGGAAAATCCGGGTGAAATTTTATTCGCAATGATTTGTAGTAGTCGCAACGTAATGGTTTCCATGAATTATGAAGGGACATCTTCTGACCCAGCTGCTCCTTTCGTTATTTAAAGGCTTGCACTCAATAGGAGAGAATAATTTATTCTTGATGTTGACATTGTTATAAATAGCAATAGATGATGAATAATTTTCATGCTTGAAACTCCTGTTGAATTTATTACGTATTCTATTTCAAGAAAGTGTAGTATTTCATGCTTTGATTCATTATCTCAGAGGAGATAGTCAGCTAGCTAAGGTTTCTCAACATATTAAGTTGATACTTATTTTCCAGGTAGATTACTGTTAAAGCAAAGGTTAGAATTATGTTATCAAGACCAGAGAGGGATTTTATACAATTCGTGCATTATTCAGATAATCAATTATTATCGGAAGTGGGGGTTTATCCCGTATATAAAGATTCTCACTGCAATCGTTTTCTGCTTTCCTTCTTTTTTTGCAGTAAGTGTGACAAGAAAACTATTTATTGCAATTTTACTGATAAGGGAAACAGAATTTTTTGTATGTATATCTTATAAATAGGTCACTAAATGTATGCTTACTAATTGCTTAGCCTTTGAATTCATATAAATTGATGAAAATGGTTGTTAGTAATACTACATTTTACGAACCTTATTGTTATCTTCTTTTCTTTGCAGTCTTTAATTTGCCGAGCAATCTAATAATGAGCAACCGTTTTGTCAATAGCAAGTGAGCATTGAAAAGCAATTAGAAAACATTGATTCCTTGTCGGGCAAACACACCCATCACGTATCCGACCCGTGGCCCGTCGCTCTGCTGGGCGCACAAAAGTAGGCAACATCGTGGCCATTAGACAGTAACTACATAGTTTACTCTAATTGCCGTGCAGTGGTGTCTAATTATAGCAAACTGCTTTCATTATACAGCCCAACATGCCACGCCCCCTCGATGAGGGTTAGAGGACGGGAACAAATGTCAATTGTAGTATTTGTAGCTCGCTTATCCACGGATATGACCAAAAACTTGGCTTTGCAAAGCCTATTGACATTTTACGCTGATTTTAACCCAAATGGAAATGTTTGATATGCAAACATTCGAAAACAGAAAGATGGGAAGAGAAAGCTAAATAAGAACCAAATTTAAATGTACACAAAAATGTATTACAACATAATCGAATTAAATTAATTTTTTTCAACACACAGAACGATTTTTATTGTTAAAAAAAAGTGAGAAAACAAAAACATTATGCCCTAAATCATTGTAAAAAAATAAACTCAATCAAAAAATATAGCCAAAGGAAAACATTCGAAACCACAATTATTTGATTGAGTTTAACACATTTTGTGTAAATACAATCGTTTATATTATTATCATTTACCCTTCTCAGTGTAAACATAATGCTAAATCATCGGTGAGCTTACTGACAAATTGATTACACTGGCTTAATGCTCTACAAACATATTGAACTTTATGAAAATATATATCCGTGGGGAATAAAAACTACACATTTTGAATGATTCGTGTGGATGTGGGGTCGGCTTCATTTCAATTTTTAATTATGTGCGTAACTTTTCAGGCAGATGTCTGATCTGGACCCCTAAAAGAATGTGAATTGTTTATCTGCCTTTTTATGCGATTTTATGGCTAATTTAAATTGCGGCCGCAACAAAACAAAAAATAGGAATTCAGTTAGGGAATAATCGATTGAGCGGTAGCGCGGCGAAAGAGAATGAGCAAAGGCTAAAAGCTGAAAACGAAAAACTGAAAGCGAATGTTTGCACTCACCTTCAGAGTAGGCCACCGACTAGAAACTGCTGCGCCAAGGATTCACAAAGGACAGGGACAAAGGCGGAGATGAGGCGGAGGACAGCCGGGCCAAGAACAACCACAATGGCCAAGTAGATGCTGCAGGATGTTTGGATGGTTTATTCTTGTCCAAGGTAACGCAGATACACGCGTGCTCGAGTAAGGCAGGCGCAAACACAAACAAAACCGAAATCAGCTCGCTGAAAAGGACACGAAATGCTGCCAATGTTACAAAAATTCACGCATCACCACAGGGCAATCTTGGCCTTTGTTTCGCCCCCCATTCTTTTCACTCTCCCTCTCCCGATAGCCCCCCCTTAATTAGGAGCAACTCTCGCCTGAATAATTTGGCGAATTCGCATTATTATTTCCACTTATCTGCATTCGTAATGATTATAGCCAGCATTGTTCGTTCATATTAATGCAAATCTTTACCAGCACACCTGCCGAGCCTCGCGCATAAATATTATCTCAATGCCAGATTGCGTATACGCCGCGTCGGCGCAGTGGCCATTGCACGAATTTCGCTAATGGCATTTCAATAAGAGCAGCAGCCGCAGCAGCAGGAAAACTGGCTGACCACAGCGAAGCCTTTGCATGAATAATGCATTTTATTTATTACACAGCCGAAACACAGACATCATGTGTGTGTGTGTGAGTGTGTTCGCTGAATAATAGAAAAGCTGGCGTTTAATAATGCACGGCAATGACGAGGGCCAGGGTTCGGTGTTTGGGGGTCCAGTTCCTAGGACCTACATATATTTGCATAAAGGTCATCCAGCATACGACAAACTTCAACTTGATGTGCAACAGTAATGAAAAAGTTGGCGATTTTCTACCACCCCTCGGTCCTCTCCTTCGCTATTTAACTTTGTACATGCAAAATGGCCTTTAAACTAAAGGGAAAAACTCTGCACCAACATATGCAATCAAAAGTTACCCAATTTAAAAACACTTTTACCTATATCTTGGAAAAAAAATTTGCAATTATTTCGAGGGAATTTTTTTTATAGAATTGTTCATATTTAAACAAATTTCTGAAGGAAACCTAAAAATATTAATCTGTATAACAGCTTTATAAGATCCTTTACAACTGAGAGCCTCAAAAATACTGTACAAAATATCTTAATATAAGAGTATTTTAAATTATAAAATTTAATTCTTAGATTGCAAAAACTTTATTTGTAAGTATATTAGAAAAAAAATCGTAAAATCTATCAAAAATATTTGTATCCTTTTTATTACTTTCTTTTTATATATAAATCCTCAAAACTACAAATGTTTACCATCCATAAAAACTAATAAATGAACATTTTGACCCATTATTCTAATTCAAAAGAAATTATTTTAAAAATAAATAAACCATGATTTAACTAAAAAGAAAGCCAAGTACTAGTAGTTAATTCCATTGATTGAAAATCATTCGTTGATACGTCTCCTTGGCCTTTACTTCGCATAATACGAACTTAACATCATTTTATGACATTAAAATGACTTTTTGTGGCAACTGTTGTTATTGACAGGACTACTATTACAGGACCTTATACAAAAGAGGCACAGAGAGCAAACGAAAGGGACAAAGGCAACGGAACTCGTCGATGAGCGAGACAGGTGTCGATTGTGTTGTGTTACCTGTTACATGCCCTTGGCTAGCTCACTGTATGTGTGTGTGTGCAAGTTCTAGGGAAGCCGCAAATTCAGTAAGGATTTCGGAGAAGGACTCGCCGTCGCTGGGGCAACGGGAATCGTAAATCGTATGCAAATGCCCTCGTATTGTCGGATTCGACGGCGACGTCGCATAAAACTAAGTGACAAAGAAGGACATTAAAGTTTGTGAGCTGAGAGAAACCAAGAGACACACGCATACACTGATGGCGGGGAATTACACACAAACTCTCACATAAAATTGTAATATTTTCGCCTCGCCGTGAGCATGACGGTGGCAATGATGATGATATTTTCTGATATTTTTCATTACATTGTTGTGCTTTTACGACTGTTATCCTTGAGTGAAGAACTTGCTACAGGATGCTAACACGAGCACACTCACTCACACACACTCACACACACGCATGTGCGAGATGAGAGAGCTTTCTAAGCCGAGGAAGAGAGAGGGAGAAAGGGGAGCGAGCAGAAAGAGAGTGAGTGGATTTTTCACCTTCGCACTTTGAATTTTATTCCTTTTTTTAAACTTTTATTTTAAACTCTTATATTTCAACACAGATTTATTATGATTTCGAATATTTTTTTGGATTGCCCACACAAACACAATTTCAACTGGCACTGGTCACTGTGTGTGAAACCACTCATTCAAATCACTTGATTAATCCGTTATTTTTCGAATCCCTCGCTGGAGCAAAGTGTTCGACTTAGGCCATTTATGAATATGTTTTTTAAATATTTACAAACGCGTCTCGAGCGTGCACAACACACGGTGTGTTGCTGCTCCGTCGCTCGTTGAATTGAACTGAATGGAGAACAGGCGGAATGCTAACAAGTCCACCAGCTGCACCAGCTCGGGTCCGGAGAGCTTTCCACGCAGACCTCGGCGTGGGAGGCCCAAAGAGAGCACCAAAGAGAGCGCGAAAGCCCGAAAAAGTACACAAAAAAAAAACTATGTAAAATGTAAATGATGGTTATTTTGTTGGGTGTATAAAACACTAAAAGTGGTTTTTCTATTTTATAATTCTTTTTTTTCTCTTTTTTAATTAGCATTTAACAAGAAAGTTGGCTAAATTAAACAAGCAGAAGTTTTGTATATCCTTGCTGTTGAGGCATGGAAAATCAATGTAGGTTAATTAATAGACTTCGACAAAATCCTAAAACTTTTTAATTTAAATAAAACTCTCCGATTTCAAATATGTCCGATTTCAAACATCTTTGAAGCAACAAATCTGTAAATCTTTTCAACACCTATTTAAAGAAGTCCCAACATATTATATATCTATACAAATTTTATCAAAATTGTATGAATAGATATTAAAGTCTTATAGATAATCATGAATATATCCATCTAACTAAGATTTTTTACCGCTAAAATAATTATTCCTGATGGAGGAGCCATTTAAAAGAATTGCCAGAATAATTAGCTTGCAGTGTTCCATTCTTCAGCGTTTTAAAAAACGTGGTTATGAACATAAACTGACTTTGGATGGACGCGCATCCGAACAATATGTATGTTTTGACTTTATTCTTATTTACTAGTTCATTTTTGTAATTGTTTTACTGATTAAAATTTAAATTGGATCGACTTTATCAGCTAAACTGTATAACCTATACATATGTATGTATACACATATGTACATTTGAATGAGATTTGTACAATTTCGTCGTAGCAAAAATTTGGTCACTGACGATCTTGCCCAACAAATGTAAGCCGATATCTTAGAATATGCTCGAGGTAACAATGACACCGTCTACAAATTTTCTCCATTTTTTAATATATTTCAGTATACAGCTATAGAATGTGGGACTTAGGCATTAATAATAAACCGGTCGCAGCAGGCGGGGTAATCAGCATTTGGGGTTTTGAATTCTCCGAATTTTTTGTCGTGGGGCAGACCAACGGAACCGCATCTAAAGTTGTTTATTAATTATGAAATATTCCTAGTGATAATTATATGAAACTTACGAATGAAACTGGACGTCACCATTCTCCTCGCACAAAATTCGCTCACACCTCTGTGGATGACGGGCTTGCTGACCGACATTTAGCACCAGTCCATCAACCACACACTTTCCAGGGTAATTGGGATCCTTAAAGTTGCCCCTGGAAACCGCAGCCTCGGTACCAGAAGCAAGGAGCACGGCGACCATCAAACAAATCACGGAAAATAGACGCATCTTGATGCCTTCAAATGAGAGCTTCGACTGACTATCTGAGCCAGTTGGGAAATCAATGAAAGCTTCGATCAGAACAGAACAATCTGAATGAGGAATACACCGTACAAAAATTTGAGAAGATATTGGTTATTTCAGCGATTTTTTAGTTAAGAGTTACAGAGTTTGTTACAGTTACATTATCATAACTGGTTAGAAACTTATATGTTAGTAACTAACTTTATTTTAAAATTCAGAGGGGTTATGTAAATAAGTTAATCTTGGATAAATAATAAATAATTTTTAAGTTATATATCTTTGACGCTGTGAGTTCCTCGTGAAAATCGTAACAATATGAATTCAAATTTTTTGATTATAACCCATATTAAAAGGTTTTAATCTAGACCTTTTCCGATCTGAAAGATCCGATCTCTATGTTATATGTGATGTCTCTCGTTTATTCCAATTTATTTACTTATTCAATTTAGTTAAAGATAATAATCGTAGCATATACAAAAAAAAAAATTATGAAAAAAGTTATGGTATATTTTAACGATCGTTATTCGAATTCCTTATTTTAGTATATTTGAAGACACAATTGGCATATTTTAAAAGCGTAGACACGGTCTCACTGTTTTATTTTTTTGTTGTCAAAAAGATTGTTTACGAAATAAGCCAAAAAAAAAATACACTTAACTAGCTTAAAACCTTTAAAAAAATTGAATAGCCATGTCCGACGAATACGCCTGCGTGGCCAAGGGCAAGCTCAAACTAAAGAACGATTCTGACCTCAAGAAGAAAAAAAAGAAGCACAAGAGTAAGGACAAGGAAAAGCATGAGCTGCAAAAGTCGTGCGTGGAGCAGCAACTAACAGAGGTGGCCGCCACTTCTAGCTCCAACTCCATCTCCGGTACGGGTGGCTACGAGCGCAAGCTGACAAAGGCTGAGCTAGCCAGCAAAAAACAGCAGGAAAAGATGCGCAACAAGCGGATTATGGACAAGGCGCAGACCACCCATAAGGAGCGTGTGGAGAAGTTCAACGAGCATTTGGACACCCTCACCGAGCACTTTGACATCCCCAAGGTGTCTTGGACGAAGTAACGCTTTTCAGAAGCCACAAGTAACTTAGAGAATACGTTTATTATTAGGTTAAGTAATTTCGACTATGTTGTGACCTAGGCGGGGGACGTGTTGAAGTGAGAGATAAGGAGGAAGGCCAAAATAAACAATCCGAATGGCACAACTAAGCTAAATACACAGACATATATGTAGTTACAACGTAAAGGGGGTTAGTTTCCAACTTTCAGTCCAGTGTCCTCCTAGGGCGCCGCTCTCCACGGCCTAGAGCCTAGCGCGGCGAAATCAGCTCGAACATGGCGTACTTCCAGGTCCAGGAACGTACCAGCTGCTCGAACCGTTCCCTCTCGTGCTCGTAAATGTATCCCAGCTCCGGCTCCATGCACACCTCGGTGTAGGGATCAGTGAGTAGGCTCTGGACCGACAGAAGCACCTTGGCTACGTTCAGAGCCAGCGACCAGTTGTGCTGCTGGAAGATGTCGATGCCCACGTCACCGTGCCGCGATACGTTTGGGTGCAGGATCTTGGTGAGGAATCGCACTGTCGGCGGCGTCATTGGATACCGCTCCGGAAAGTAGATGAATAGAAAGAATTTACCACCCTCGTAGGGGCTACCCGGTGGCCCCAGGATTGTGGCCTGCCAATAGTTGTTTTGCCGGTCCAGTGGAATGGCCGAGATGCCCTCCGATTCGTAGCTGTTCAGCAGATTGGCTTCACCACGCAGAAAGTTGTAGCGCATCGCGTTTCCCGGCTCGCGTTCTCCCAGCTCCGGATTCGGATGCCCCGCCGCCTGTCCCCTGCCGCCCATTTCAATCAGACAAGTTCGACAGAAGCAGGACGACATGAGAGCTCCGTAAAGCTGGTACCAGTCGGGATTGTCGGCCAAGCTCTCGAACAACGGCCAGCGCTGCTTTATGTACGCCTTCCACATGCCCTGTGCTGTGTTCTTGCCGACGATGTCGTGCCACTGTTTGCACACCTCACTGGCCATCCACAGCGACATGTCGTCCAGGTAGGCGAATATCTTCAGCATCACCTCGACAGGTATTATATTAACAATATTCCTGCTGCTCCCACTTGCGCCACTGCCGCTGGCCGCGTTGTATTCGTGTGCGCGCGCCCGTCCATCGGCCAGTTCGTGCATGTAGTGGGGGAGGGGTAGAGGTCCAGTCGCCCGCGGTCGCTTGACGGGCAACAAGAAGGGATTCAACGCTCGCTCGTGCTCAAAGTCGCGCTCCGGCGTCTCCCTGCGTGCGGGCACCGCTTCTGGAGGCGCCTGTTGTGGCAGATCGGCAGGCTGGACGTTAGGCTGCTGTTCCTGTGGCTCCACCGCCGCCTGCTGTTGGACAGCCGGCGGCTGTGCATCCTCTAGATCTTCAAAGCCCATTATGTCCACGTCGTTTTCAGTCTCTTCGTCCTCCTGCTTGTCCTTAAACGGCGGCTCATCGTTTCCGGAGTCCTCGTCGTCAGATAGCTCCGTCAGTAGCTCTTCCGCCCTCTGGGCATTGTAAAGGAAGGCGTGGCAGGCACCGCAAAGCGGCTCCCCGAAGTTAGGCCCGTAGTAGCCGTTGCACACCCAGCAGGTGTTACTGTTCTGTAAAGCGAAAGAAAAGGAATCAGCAACCGTCAGCAAAGTGGCAGAGTCGAAGAGCGGCGACTGAGGCTTGTTGTATACACACCGAAAAGGAGAACGTGGGCTCGATCAGCTGGAGCTTGTCCTTGTCTGCCTCGTCCGGGTCGTCCATCTCGTCGCTGCTGGAGGCCAGAGCCTCCAGCAACTTCTCCTGGTCCTTGTCCTGCTGCGCTGGCACGCAGCTAGTCATTTTTCCAGAACTCCCGAATGTTGCGAAAACAAAAAAAAACACTTTGTGCGTGCTAGTGTGACCGTCCGCCTTCGACGGGAACTTCTGTAACCGATTGCACCGAAAATTTGTTCCATCCCTAGGACAATCGGTCGATAACCAAAACAAAACATCTGCGGGGCCGCGTCACACGTGCAATTTATGCGACTTTTTTGCAAAATATGAAGCCAAAGAAGAAGCTGGGCAAGTTGCAGACCATCCGAATTACTTACTAAGCTTCCACTAATCATTCGTTTATTTTAGGAGTCGGACTTAGCCGGGAGGAGCGCCAGGTGCTGGTCATCGGTGAAATAATTCAGGAGCTGCTTCAGGCGCACGAAGCTAAGAAGGATGTTAACCTGAACAGGATGAAGTCGCTGGTCTCCTCCAAATACGGACTCGACAGCTCGCCCCGCTTGGTGGACATTATCGCAGCCGTGCCGCAGGACGCCAAAAAGATCCTGCTCCCCAAACTGCGGGCCAAGCCCATTCGCACAGCAAGTGGCGTAAGTCAGACCTTTTGTCTTGAAATGGTTCCTCTTTATACGTATGTACAATTATTTGTTCAGATTGCCGTGGTGGCTGTCATGTGCAAGCCGCATCGCTGTCCGCACATTAACATGACGGGTAACATCTGCGTCTACTGTCCTGGCGGACCAGATAGCGACTTTGAGTACTCGACGCAATCGTACACGGGCTATGAGCCCACGTCGATGCGGGCAATCCGGGCGCGATACGATCCCTTTCTGCAAACCCGGCACCGTGTCGAGCAGCTGAAACAACTGGGCCATAGTGTGGACAAGGTGGAGTTCATTGTAATGGGCGGCACGTTCATGTGTTTGGCAGAAGAGTACCGCGACTACTTTATCCGCAATCTGCACGACGCCCTTTCCGGTCACAGTAGCGCCAACGTGGCGGAGGCAGTTCGTTACTCCGAGAAGTCACGAACCAAATGCATTGGCATCACGATCGAGACCCGGCCCGATTACTGTCTCAAGCGGCATATCTCGGATATGCTCAACTATGGATGCACACGCTTGGAGATTGGAGTTCAGTCCGTTTACGAGGACGTGGCGAGGGATACGAATCGAGGTCACACCGTCCGGGCAGTGTGTGAGAGTTTTCAGCTGGGCAAGGATGCCGGATACAAGATCGTGGCACACATGATGCCCGATCTGCCGAACGTTGACTTTGAGCGCGATATCGAGCAGTTCATTGAATACTTTGAGAATCCCGCCTTCCGATCTGACGGCCTGAAGATCTACCCTACACTGGTCATCCGCGGCACCGGGCTGTATGAGCTGTGGAAGACGGGGCGCTACAAGTCCTATCCGCCATCAATGCTAGTTGATCTGGTGGCCAAGATCCTGGCACTCGTTCCACCCTGGACTCGCGTCTACCGCGTACAGCGTGACATTCCTATGCCGCTGGTTAGGTGAGTGCGCGACTGAATCTTTATTTGGGTGAATTTAACGTAATTTTTCCATTACAGTTCTGGTGTAGAGCACGGAAATCTTCGCGAACTGGCGCTGGCCCGCATGAAGGACCTGGGCACGACGTGTCGTGACGTGAGGACGCGTGAAGTAGGAATCCAAGAGATTCACAACAAGGTACGTCCGTATGAAATTGAATTAATACGGCGCGACTACGTAGCCAACGGCGGGTGGGAAACGTTTCTCTCATATGAAGATCCCGAGCAAGACATTTTGGTCGGTCTGCTCAGACTGCGTAAGTGCTCACCGGACACTTTCCGGCCCGAACTAAAAGGTGCATGCTCCATTGTTCGCGAACTGCACGTATATGGGTCGGTGGTGCCAGTTAATGCTCGGGATCCCACAAAGTTCCAGCACCAGGGCTTCGGAATGCTGCTAATGGAGGAGGCAGAACGAATTTCTCGCGAGGAGCACGGTAGCACAAAATTGGCGGTTATATCGGGAGTGGGCACAAGGAACTATTACCGCAAGCTGGGCTATGAGCTGGATGGGCCATACATGTCCAAGAGCATAGCTTAATATGGAAATACTTTGATAATAGCCGGCCTTAAATAAATAAATATACTAAATGGATAATGTAGTTTGTTTCCTTTGTGGGAAAAATTGGTTAACAGAAGAGAAAACTGTATGCCAAGGTCGTTGGCATATTTAAAGTTATGTGCCCTCACATGCATAAATTCATCAGCGGCTATACGTACAAGCTTGCGGCATCATCACCAAAACACAGCACGAGGGCTCTGGGAGTAAACATTTTTAATTGATAACACTAGGAGCAGTAAGATTTCACTACTTAAACCTATGTCCTAAATATATACATTATAATATACCGAATGGGTCAAAATGTTTGCTTTTATCTGATAGCGAGGCATCGCAGGATAGTACTCCCAAAGTACAACATATTTGGCTTCGATCTCTCGTCAACTGCTTACAAAAGGACCGAGTCCAACGTACATAAACAGAAATAAATAAAATTAATTCCAAAAGCTTAAGAATATGTCCAAGAGAATGTTAAACTATGGCCTCCGCCGAGCCGAAAACCATAAATATTATCCAGCCCACTAGATTGATGCCCGCCGCTGCACTGAAGACCATCGGCCAGCTCTGTGTGAGCTCCAGAATGTGGCCGGCGAGATAAACACCAAGGAAGCCAGGAATCGCACCCACCGTGTTCATCAGTCCAAAGACACTGCCCGAATGCATTGGGGCCAAGTCTTGGGGATTAACCGTTACCGCATTGTTGTGGAAGCCCGTTCCACCGATAATGATGGTCATACAGATGAGGGCCGTATGGAAGTCCGAGGTGCGGCTCATCACAAACAAGGCTAGGTTCTGTGCCGCAAAGCAGCAGCTCTGAATGAGCTTGCGCACCGTCGTGGTGCGCCAGTCGCGGGCGATTAATTTCGTGGTCAAGTACTTGGCAAAGAGTGTGCATGGCGGGAGGGCCAGCCAAGGGATCATGTTGACCACCCAGCCTTTGGCGTGCGGGAAGCCGTCATGAAAGTACGTTGGCAGCCAGGAGAGCAGCACAAAAAAGCAGTTCATTTCGCAGGCGTGTGTCAGCACACAGGCCCAGAAGGACAGACGGCTAAAGTAGCGCAGCCAAGGCACGGTTGTCGTCTCTGTCGGACTCTTGTTCGCGCACAGGCGAGAGGGCGTGGCAATGTTGATGATCCTATTCCGTTCTCCAGCCATCGCGTAGTAGCGTAGAACAAGGGCCCAGGCGACGCCCATCAGCCCGATAACACGGAAGACATACGACCAGCCAAAGTAATCAAGCAGGAATGAGCCCATAATTCCAGTGAGCAGAGTACCCAAGGCGGAGCCGGCTGTGAGCAGCCCAAAGAAGCTGCTGCGCTCGTTGGGACAAAGGTTCTGAGGTGGGAAATTAAGATGTGAGTGAGTTCAATTAAAAGCTTACAGTTCCGCTCACTCACCTGACTGGTCAGGCTTATCATACTGGGGAAATGGACACCTTGGAGAGCACCGTTCAGTATGCGAATGGCCACAATGAAGGGAATGGCATAGCTTTTGATGGAACCGGCCGACCAGATGATCGTGGGCATAAGGAATGTGATGAGCGACCAACCGATGGCCGCGCACAGTATGACACGCTGACCGCCGAACCTGTCGCTGAAGTAACCGCCCACCACCTGCGTCAGGGTATAGCCCCAGAAGAAGGAGCTGAGCACAGTGCCGGAGTCGGTCTTAGTCCACTTTTGGGCAGAGGCGACAGCCGGCACCAGCAACGGCATTGTTGTGCGGGTTGAGTACAGCATGCAGGTGCCCGTTATCAGGGTGATAAACCACACTCGCTTCTCGTGCCTGCAACGAACCGAAACACTCACAGATTGGTGTTAAGAGGGTCTGAGTCGGCTATCCGCACCTGGTCCATATACTCTGTGTGTCCACCAGCTCTCCGCGCAGCAGCGAATACTTAAGTTTCTCATCCATGGTGGCTGGCAAATCGACACTGGAACAACTGGGTCCGGAACGGAGCAGGCCTAATCTGATTGCTTGTGCAGGTGACTACTACCGTTCACGTCACACATTCCAGCTTCTAAATGCCGCTGTGGCATATTCTAATGTTTGTTTATGTTCATTTAGTCAGCAGCAGAAATTTGTGTACTTGCGCAGCGCCTGTTAAAATTATGTTTTTACGTGGCCATTTTTCGGTGCTGCCGCTGGATTAGAACATTGTGCGGCCAGGTCGACTTGAGAATACGCTCTTCTTCTCTGAATGCTTGTGAGTCCGAGGCTCGTGTAAAATTCTCATATGTTTTGCCCCTTAATTTCTTAATTCCCGAGTTTTTTTTACACTATAAGAGTTCTTATCCATAAATAAAAACTGTCCATCTTAAGTAAGGCTTAGGTGAACTGAAAGACTACATTGTGCCAATTGTAGGGTGTACAATATGTGGTGTGACCGTACATCGACGTTAAAATGTAAAAGACCGCAATTTTTAAAACGAGTAAAAAAACATACAGCTGAGTTGATGAAACATAATATTCTTATATTTTCAAAAGATAAAGTAAATTTAAGAAATAAGTTTATTTAAATATCTTATCCTTAATTTACAACTTAATTTAATAGTTTAAGGATATATGGGTTTGTATATATCATAGATTGGCACAAAAAATAACTAAATGAGCCAAGCAACAAATTTTAAAAATCAGCACAAATGACTTGCAAGTTTTTTTTTTTTTGTCTCGCCGAAAATATATATGCATTTTGTTTTTGTGTAGATGTGAGCTTAGGCCTCTGCTGACAGGCTGTGTGACATTGCAAAACATAACGAAATGAGCCGGCCGAACTCTGGGACCCAAGGCGTGCCCATGTATGGTATATGTATATGTACAGCTGAATCTATCCAGTCATTCCTGTAGCGCAGAGATGGATACAGGAGTGAGCCAGACAACAAATTTTAACACCAACAACCAAAAAATGTTAGGAAAGCAAAAGCAAAAAAAAGGATTTCGGTTTCTTGTTCTCCAGGAAGTACGCAGCTGCTTTAATGACTTGTAGGTTTTCAAAAAAAAAAAAAAAACATGTACATACGTACATATTTTGTTTCTCTGTAGATGTTCGCTGAGACCTGTCGTGCCTGCTGTAGCGAAAAGCCATATTGTTTATTTATTTGTAAAAGAATTTTTTCGAAAATCAACATTTCTAAGCCATTCCCAAGGATCTTAGGCAAGAGTATTTTTTTATATATGTACATACATTATGGCCTGTATGTAAGTTTATTGATTAGCTTTTGCTAAGATTTAATTTTGTATTTTCTTCTGTCTGGTGGATTTTGTTCTGATGCCTGCGTAATGATTGCTTTTGCTTGAATGCCTTATGACATTGAAGACATGGAAATGACTTTTCCTCGGAGTGCGTTAACATATGTATTTTCAGGTTACTTCCATCCTTGAAGGTGTTCGAACACTGGAAGCAAATAAACGGTCGGTCCTTAGCGTGAGTTTTTAAATGACTCGCCAGAGATGACTTATTTGGCCACACCTTCGAGCACTGGGGGCATTTAAAGGATTCTTTCTTCGGTTTCTTATGAATGCGAGAATGTTCGCGCCTGAGCTCCTTCAGCGGAAATTTGGCGGTGCATCGGGTACAGTTGTAAGTTTGTTCACCAGTGTGGGTGCGAAGATGCTTCCTGAGACGCGACATCTTGACAAAGGACTTGGGGCATTCCATGCACTTATGCGGTCGATCTTTCGAGTGTGTTAGCTGGTGGTGCTTCATATCCGACTGAGTGCGAAACGCTTTTTCACACTCCGGACACTTGTGAGGTCGTTCACCTGTATGAATTCGCAAGTGCTCTTTTAGTGATTTCCGAATGTTAAAGGACTTCTGGCAGAAGGAACATTTGTAAGGTAGTTCTCCAGTGTGCGTCCGGATGTGTGCGTTGAGGTTCGTTTTGCGTGATAAGCTGCGCGAACAATAATTACACTTAAATGGTCGGCAGACGTTGTCTTCTTCATCGGCTTCCATCTGCTCCTCCTTCACCTCTAGGTCAAAATATTGGTCGCTATTGGATTTTTCAGTCTGACCCTCTAAGATTCCATCCTCAACCAGGTCTTCTTCAATTCGCTCAGCCTTGACTATGACATCGAACTCAGAGTTAAGGCAACTACGTCTAGTATCGTTGTCGCACTTCCCTCGCTTCACCTGAAAATCCAAATGATAGTTGCTGTCTTCTTCACTGGATGAATCCTCACTTTCACCGTCCGTTACTTCGCAGACTTGTTCCTCCAGCAACTCATCACTAGAATCAGGATCCGCATTCTTTTTTTGGCACGCAAGCTGTGACCAATTCCGCGCATCCTGCAGGCACAAGGAACAAATGGTTTCGGGAAGGGAGTCTCCGCGTTTAACTTCGCAGCCTGTGTACTGAGCGACAATATTTGCAATGGAAACACCAGATTCGGGTGACCCATCGATAATGTTAAGCATATCGTTTGACCCTAGCAGGCATAAGCGACACACGGCATCCATTATCCTTAAATCAAATAAACAAAATCAAATAAATATAAGTTAGTTATAAACTAAACCTACGGTTTGTTTACAAAACTGAACACCTCGAAGTACACAAATCAACTATTAAACGAGAAATCATATGGAACGGCGAGAGCAACAACGCCGCAATACGTGTGGGACAGTGTTGCCAGTTTAGCATTTTTTAAGCTAGATATTCAAATAAATTCGTGATTTCAACGACAGGTTTTTAAGGGACATACAAAAGTATTTACACTTCGACCATTTTCAAAGCCAAATTTCTTTTAGTTCTTATTCTAGTTGTTGTTGACCGTTTTCCCTAAAATTTTCTTTATTGCGTAGATTGATCTATGCAGAAGCGAGCCGAAAAGGAATTCGAAAGTTAACGGTTCATAGAAAAGTGCTATAAGTAAAAGAATAGATGCACCTACAGTGTAATATTAACATATAATTTGTTTTCGTCTTAATTTTAATGATATTAAAATTAAATAATTTTTTTCTGACAATCTCATAAGTTACTTTATAAAAAAAATTACTTATGTATTGATGAAGGCTTTCAATTGGTTGAAATTGAGTTTATTAAGCTATATCCAAAATAAATAGACATATTTTCTTTTGCTTTTAATATTGTCCTATGAACCGTTATCTTTTGTTTTCGTTTTCTGCTTGTTTTTGAATAGATCAATTTTTACAATAAAAAAATTTCATGGAAATCGGTCAACAAAAACAAGAATAATAACAAAAATAAGTTTGGCGGTGAAAATAATTGTGAATTTGTGTAAATACTTTTGACTACCCCTGTATATGTCACGACATATGGTCGGTATAGACGTGGTCTACTGAAAAAAAGATAATACCCTGACCCACCTGACAGAACAAGAATAAAAACAAGGACCATTTATAAGATTTTTCATTTGGAACTTTAAAACAAAATTAATACCTTGAAACGGACGAACATGGCTAGATCGACTCGGCTGTTGATGCTGATAAAAAAGAATATCTTTATAGGGTCACTGCATAGATTCTTCTGATTAAAAGTATAAAGCCTTGCAATATACGTATATATGTTTTTTATATAGTGATCTTATATTAGGGCTTTTTGGCTCTTACAGACGGTCATCACTTAAAATCTTGGGATCGCCAAATTTCAGAAGCATTTGTTTTTGTTAATCTTTACTGATCGCTAATCACGGATAGAACAACGGGAGCAGGTACAGTTACAGTACAGTTACAGTATACAGTTCAGGCATTCATCCGAAATAGAAAAGAACACATTTCCTTAATTTGATATATTAGTTTATGTATGTATAAATTATCTTGGCATTATTTATAATTGGAAATTTGTTGTAAATATCGCAAGGTGTATTAGATATTTTGCGTCCGAGCTTTAAAAAACTATATATGTATAGTTAATAAATAATCCTAGTTACTATTTCTTGGGCAGTGCATCCTCGTCAGTGGGATCGCAGTCGGCACAGTGCCAGGAATAGCCACGTATTTTTGGCGACTTCTTCAGCGGCGGCTCGAGACAGGCAAAGTGGTAATGCCTGTGGCATTCGTCGCATGTTACCACCTGATTGGATTTGCCTGTCTGGCTGCAGACGCAGCAGTTTATCTCCACATTCGGTTTGGTGTTGGACACTCTTGGCCGACCCACGCGTGTCTTCCGGGGGCTCTGCTTTCGGGGACTAACCTTGCGTTTGGGCGACGGAGTGATTGGTAAGGCAGCCTCCTTGGACTCCCGCACCTTAGGCGGCAAGGCTGCCGGCAGTACCACTGGCGTTAAAGCCTGTTCCGCACCTTGGACACTGTCCTCGACCGTTTCGACGGACGTTGGGCGAGAAGCCTCGTCCACGGATCGAACCGCATTGGCCGGCACGTAGAAGTACTGCGACTCCGGCGCATCCTCGCCGGGCAGGCGCAGGGCTTTGAAGATTATCTTGATTGTGCTGCCCGAGGAGTTGGCCGTAATATCCAGGTGAGACGAAGATTCGTCAAGGTGTGCGCGCTTTTTCCGCTTACGCTTGTGCTCCTTGCCAATAGACTTCTCGGTATCCGAAGACAGATTATGCTTATTCTTGTGTTTGTCCTTGCGCTTGCCCTTGCGCGATAGCTTGCCGCTGGAGTCGTCAATAGAGTCCTCACAGGCAGAAAGGTTCATGGTGCTACTAGCAGTGGGAGCCACTAAAGGTGCAGGAGCAGCAGTCGTTGCCGTGACTTGAGCAGCGGGAACTGACGGGAAGAGAATCACAACAATGGGCATTAGGATTAAATTTAACAAATTGTAATCTAAGAATATGCCCCAATTATGAGGTACCCGGTACTCACGCATCTGTTTACTCCAGTGGTGTTCCCGGACTCCGTAACAAAACCAAATAGTATAATGTAACATTTTATATCGGCTATACAGACATTGATATTGCAGTTGTGTATTGAAATAATTAAATATTTTAACAGCAAAATAATACCATAAATTAATCACACTTCCTTGTTTTCAGATTATCATTGAAGACAAAAATAATAATAATTATTTTCATTTAACATTTTTATACCCTTGCAGGGCATTATAATTTCAGTCAGAAGTTTGCAACGCAGTGAAGGAGGCACCTCCGACCATATAAAGTATATATATTCTTGATCAGGATCAACAGCCGAGTCGATCTAGCCATGTCCGTATGTCCGTCTTTCCTTCTGTCCGTCTGTCCGTTTCTACGCAAACTAGTCTCTCAGTTTTAAAGCTTTCTGAATGAAACTTTGTAGTTAGCCTTCTATATACTCTCACTCATATATATGTCGGAACGGGCCGGATCGGACGACTATATCATATAGCTGCCATAGGAATGATCGGATAATTTTTACAACAAAATTATAACAATTTCAGTTTTCAGCAGAATTTGATCAAATTCGAGATATAGCCATTTTATTATACTCTACAATTTTGTATAAAATTTTATGAAAATCGGACAACTTATCATATGGCTCCCATAGGAACGATCGAGAAATTAAAAAGAAATTAAAAATTATAACATTTTCAGTTTTCAACAGATTTTCATCAAATTTGAGGTATCCATTTTTTATCAGTCTTAAATTTTGTGTAAAATTTTATGAAAATCGGACGACTATATCATATAGGTGCCATACAAACGATCGTTAGATGTAGAGAAAAATGCACATCTGTGACTGTAAAACTGCAAATATAATATGTATACGTGAATGAAATGAAAGCAGGTATTACTTCATTGTTTTTTAACACAAATAAATATAATTTATATTGTTGGGATTCCAAGTCATAGAAGTTCTATCTGCAAGAGTATATACACTTCGGCGTGCCGAAGTTAGCTTCCTTTCTTGTTTTTTTTTTAATTCAAACTTTTGAATTGTGCAAAAAATAGCTTAAGCCATTATATATAAGCATTGCTATGCTTTTGGTTACGAATATTTTGTTAACAACACAACAGACTTTTATATTTCAGAATTCAAATTTGTATATTATATAAATATTTTCTATCGGCCCTAATCAAGGCACATATTGCAACATTTCTTGTCGTTTTTTATTTAATTTCAAATTCAATTTAAAAAATTATAATAAGAACCAAATAAAGATATTCTGAGTTCATTATTTATCTTTCGTAACTATTCTCCAGCAGTATTTATATGATCCAAATATTTGCATTAGCACTTGATATTTTTATAAAAACCAATTCTTGTACCAGTTCACATTTTTAAGGAGACAACGAATCAATTTTAGGAATTATATTCAAGGATAATAACGCCAACGCACCAATACCGTTTGCATTGTGAATTCCCCACATTAACTCACCATTAATGGGTGTTTTACGGGGCGATTGGACTCTGGGGCGCTTCGGTGACTTCGCCAGGTCCTCAATGGCCGTTTCGGGAGCAGTTGCCAGCGGTAATGATTTGTTTAACGAACGCTTGGCCGCAGCCTCCTTGGGAGTAGTCAGTGAAGTAGTGGCAATGGGCAACGGCACATCATCTAAAGAATACCGATCCACATACACAAGATGGCCGTCTTTGTTAAAACGAGTACGCGATTTCCTTGGACCGGTTGAGATTTCAGTGACAACATCCGAACCGTCTGATTTGTCGCAGCATTCGGAGCATTGCCAGCCATACTGCTTGGACTTTTTTGGCGGACGTGTTAGTGGCGGGTTCAGGCAGCCCAGATGGTAGTGCAGGTTGCAGGTGTCACACTTGACCAGCAAGTGCTGGTCCTTGCTCCGCTTACAAATGCCGCAGGCAGTCGAATGGGCTGCATCCATGCTCCCAGTTCCCTGTTTGCCGTGTTTATTGGCATGGGTGCTGAGCATGCGTGACGCGTCCAGTTTGCTTCCCGGCGGCCCGAGATGGCCAAGTGGAAACCCCACACCCATCTTGAGTGCAGCTGCCGTCGGTACAGATATGGGCCGCTGGGGTGGAGTTGGAGTGCTTGTCTTAGCCGGGTGTGACTCTGGAAGTGGATGTGCTATGAGCTCAACACTAGGTAGACTAATGTTGGGTACTATTTCGGCTAGAGCCGTGTGCAGAGATTTAATGTTGGCTAACAGACTATCCTTTGTGGCCTTTACCGCCTTGCGTTCCTCCAAAGCACTGTCGTATTGGGCTCTTAACACATCCTGATCCTTGGACAAAATTGCGTTGTGCGAGATGAGCTGGCGCTGCTGCTCCCGGAAGTCCTCCATACGCACTATACGATCCATGTAGTAGGCGGTGAACTCAACGCTAAAGGCTGGCGCAATGTGCCATTTCTTTCGGATGTCGGTGAGAGCGTTGATGTGCGCCTCACGCTGCTCTAGATGCTGCACATCCACCGACATGACCTCCGCCTTAGCCAACAGGCGGCGGCAGGCAGAGGCGGAGGTGGTTAGTAGGCGCGACATCTTTTGAGTGGGTACCCACGGAATGGGCTTAAGCTCTTTGTGCCGAGCGTATTTGTGCTGGATTTTAAGTAACTTGCGTTGAATACGCGCCTGGGCGGGATTTGGATCGGGTTCCTCGTTGTGTCCAGATGTCTTCGCCTCCTTTTCCTTGGCCCGCTGCAGCATGTTGAGGCGGAGGGTGTGGTAGTTACGGCGCCGCTTCTTGATCATCTCCTTCTCAGAGTGCACCTTACAGTGAGCGTAAAACGGATCGGCAGCGTCGTCCTCATGATGCGCCTCAATGAGAAAGCCGGCGACCTGTGCACAGGTCACGTGGAAGTACGTCTTGCACATGCCCGCATCACAGCCAATACAGACGCCGGAGCGAGCGAACAGCGCATTATCGCAGAGGGAGCACACTTTAGCGCCCCACTTGCTATACTGCATCTCAAACAGTGTGACCGACGACAATTGCTCCACCTCGCCAAAAGCCACTCCAGGTACGTACAGGGCACAGATCAGGTGCACCCACTTTCCGACGTCCGTCTCCTTGTAGATGCCACCCTTATTGGGACATAACTCGCAATCCGGCTCCGATACTCCAGCGCGGCAGGCCTCGCAGAACCACGGCTCCGTGGAGCAGGTGGAGTTGGTGCTGGAGATGCTTACGTTGTCACTGACACCGTAGCAGCCCTCGTGCACCGACACGCCGCAGGAGTCACATTCGACGATCTCGTTGACATCGTCGCTGCGCTCGCCCAGACAGACGCAGCACATACGCTTGGCGGGCGCACTGGATAGCTGCAGTGGCGCCCGAATTGATCCGATCGCAGTATGGTCGATCCCATTAATCCCATTTTCGTGAGGAGGCGCCGCTGTGCCTATCGCATCGCTTTCAGCCAGCAGCTGCTGAAGTTGCAAAGTAGAGTCCTCGCTCTCGGCATCTGAGTCCTCGTCAGAACCCGACCCGCTGCTTGCGTCGCTGCTGCCGTCACCGTCGCTCTCGTCCTTTGAGCCATCGGAGCAGTTATCAATGTCTGGCAGGAAGTCGCTGTCCGAGGAGCTTTCGCCCAGGTCGAAATCAAGCAAAGCCTGTGTGGTGACTTTCGGCTGGCGCACTCTTTTAAAAGGCGCCATAAGAGAGAAATGTAATCTACTTTCTTCCAAATTTTCTTTCCAATTTTTTTTTTCAATTACAATGTGCCCAGATTTGCTTAACGTTTAGCCAATGTGACTCCCGGCCACTTTCTTCCTGTTTATCGTTATCGATGTAATACATGGAACAAATAAATATGTTTCAAAATTAAAAACACAAACCTTTTATCCTCATATTGTATAAAAATTGTTTTTATTTTAAGAAGTACTAAAACTGAACACCAATTATAATTTAATGCTTCATGTATTTTCAGATTTAAAATTAGGTTAAACATGGTAGAAAAAGCGACCTAGAACACCTCCAACTGCTCGATGGGCAGCCACTTCGAGCTCTCCAACGCGTCATACAGGCGACGATCTGCATCAGCGGTTTCGCGATTCAGCTTATCGATGTCCAGCACAAATTTGTGTTCTACCAGCCCGTACTCCCCCTCCGACCCATTCGAAGCTGTAACATTGGTTTGCTGCTGTTGTTCGTACTGAGCACTGCGCTGGGCGCTCCAGGCTTCTGCATGCTGAGCAAGTGTTTGCGGATTCGAGTGCGACTGCGACATGGCCTGCTGGTAGTAGGCGGCAGCATCTGTAATTGAGGGACCGCCTTGCTCATAGTAGCCCTGCCATGCGTGGTATCCCTGCCAGTATGTGCTGGTGGGGTCGTAGTATTGTGAGAAGTCTGTTCCCCCGGCAGTGCTTCCGGAGCTGCCACCGTATCCATAGTTACTGCTCGAGTCCCCAAGGGCTGCACTTAATTCAGACTTCGGCTTGGGAACAGCATTGCAGATCTTGATAGGCTTGCTGCCCAGGCCGATATAGCCGTTCATGTCGTACAGCGCTGATTTCTGTTCGTCCTCGATGCCAAAGCGAACGAATCCATAGCCCTTGGAGAAGCCAAGGCTGTCCAGGATCACCTTGGCCGTCTTGATCGAGGTGAACTTGCTGGAGAAGACCTTGTACAACTGGTAGTCATCCACGTCGGAGCTGAGGTCGCCCACCCATACACTAAACTCGCGCTCGTTGCCAGGCAACTTATACGAGTTGCTGGCAGAGTTAAGCCGAAACCGAACAATGGGATTGGTGCCAGGAATGGGCTTGCCATTCAGCTTGTGCATCGCGTCCAGGGCGTGGTCATCTGACATAAAGTTGACGAAACAGTAGCCAGCCGGTTCGCCGGTGTATTTATTACGCATCAAGCGTACCGTGGTCGGATCCTCTCCCATCTTCCGAAAAGCGGCGATTATGAAGTTCTCCGTCATATAGGATTCCAGCTGAAATGACGATGCCCGAAGGTTGACTACCTTCTTTTTGGATAATAATGTTTGCTACTTACACTGCCCATCCACAGTTGACAATGCACGGATGCCATATTGTCTATAATTAAAATTCTTTGCTGTTCCTTTAAAATTCGAGCAAATTATGTTTACTAAATACTAGTGATGGCAATGCTGTCAAATAGCTGTCATAAGTAATCGATTATTTTTATAAGGTATCGAAACAGGTAACGAATATTTCCGTTACAATCGAAAAATGGTTTTATATATATAGTCCCCTCACAAAATATTTTTAAAAGTATTGATACGAATTACTTATTATTCGACAACCCTGTACAGTAACGACATTTACTTTCATTACATTTTCTATCATTTCAAAATCAGTAACACTAAAAACTCTTTTCTAAATAATATTTTAATTTTTTTTCATAAAATGCGTTCAACGTTGGCACGTCTAAGTAGTTTAACACCAAATTTAAAGGAAGTCCGCATCATACTGGATCCCAATAGTGTCGCATCCAAGGGCGCCAGGTGAGTTCTACATTTCCGCTTATTAAAATTATATAATTTACCCTCCCAGGGAATATGTTAAAAAGTTTTACCCAAACCTGAAGAAAAAAAACCCAGACCTGCCGATACTTGTACGCCAGTGCTCCGGCATCGAACCCCGTCTATATGCGCGCTATGGTAAGTTGTAAAACTTACTTGAAAACTTTAAATATAGTCAAAATCTTCTCTGTAGGCAACGGCAAAGAGGTGTCCTTGCCCCTAGCTAACAAAGCTGCTCCTGACATACACAAAAACGTCGAGGCGGTTGGTAAGTAGGGCTCCCAAGACTTAAGGCTGGATGAAAGGCAACAATACTAGTTACACCGAAATATGTATATTGTATAATGCTCGTAACCCATGACTCTGTAGCACCTTAGGCTTAAATAAAGATCAATCCTTAAACGGAGGCAGACCGAATTGCTCGGGCTTAAAGTCCGCGAGGGACCGCAGCACCTGGGTTGCGTGGGAGCACTTCTCCGGGGTAAGTCGTGGATCCGGCACCATGACTACCTGCATTCCGGCGCTATTGCCTGCCGCCACACCATTGGGCGAATCTTCGAACACCAAGCAGTCGGCGGGAGCTGGCGGCTTTACAAATCTGCCAGCAGCCACCAGGAAGATATCGGGCGCGGGCTTACCGTTTGCAACTTCGCTGTCAGTGCCGCACACCTTGTGGTTGAACAGATCGAACAGGTCCCGGTGATCAGTGCTCTTTAGCTCCATCATTTCGGCGCTGGAGCTGGTGGCCAGTGCGAAAGGCACCTGGTTGGCGTGGAGGTGACGTAGAAGACGTTCAGCACCTATAAATAGGTTAAAGTAAATTTAAATTTAAAAGGATCCATACACTCTGAGCCGTTTAGAGTTCGGGGAAGACTTGTTTAAAGGAGGAAGTGCAATGTAAACTTTATAACCCTGCTAACCTTCTAGCAAAAGAACATTGATGACCTTCAGCTCCGCCAAGTGCGTGATGGATGAGCAGAACGGAGTGGGGTACCTGGCATTAATTGAGAGTGCAGCATCAGTTTCTCGGTATTGGCGCGCTGCTGCTGGGCCAACTCTTCCCACGGTATGGGCAGGCCGTAGTGCTTGATCATGAACTCAGCTGCCTCCCGCGTTTGCAAGCCCATCATTTGCTCCTTCACTTCGAACGTAAAAGTCTTGCCGTATGGACTTAATGTCATTTTCGATGCTTCCGTATAAAGGCGCTCCGTATCTGTTCCACATATTTGTTAAAAAAGGTCATGTTCAAAAGGCACACAAACTTACCCAACAGCAGGCCGTCCATATCGAAGAGGCAATGCGTTGCCTTTCGCAGCACTTTGGTGGCCATTACGCTGTTCTTTAAATCAGGACAAATTTATTTCCTGCTCTGACAAGGCAATAGGGCAGATATTTGACAACTCGGTCTTAATCTTCTTGCGTGAGAATATGTTTACTAAACACAGCTAAAGAAGACACTTTTTCGATAACATTTTTAAAGGAAAGCGAATGGTATTTTTTCGGCATTGCGAATTTAGGAAGCTTTTCTATAATTCATAATAATAATTCACAATTCATTATTCATAATTCATAATTCATAATTTTACAATAATCACAGCTGATAGAAAATAAAATGGTATTAGTATTTTTAGTATTTATATTTAGATGAGGGAAATGCCTAAAATTGGCGCACCGAGTACGGTCCCACCGTTGAAAAGCCAACTCAGCTGAAAGTGAAGACATTTTTATACACAAAAAATTAATAGCTGCAGCAAGTATACGTTTACTTTTCCCGTCAAATTGCACCCCAAAAACAATGCAAAATGCGGCTGGCCAACGAGAAAGCGAAAATGCAGCCCCAGGTGAGAGACTTAGCCCTGTTCATCGGCCTGGCGTGGATCTTCTGCTGTCTTCCAACCTCGACGTGGGCGCAGGGTGCTCTCTCGGACAAGCGATTGTGCGCTGACCCAAAATGTGAACGTAAGTTGTAATCTTTAAGCGAGACAAGACAACCGATATTGTGAAACCCGCCTTGGGCGGTTTAAGGTTGAAGTGGATTGTCTGGAATTGCGTAATTAATTTTATTTATGTTGCAGAAATTATTTCGACCGGCAATGCCAAAATCAGCTATGCGAGTGGAAGCGAAGGACTCATATCCTTTAAAATTAACACCCCAATCCGCGTGCTGTCCAAGAGCGCCGGCTCCAACAAGCAGCTCTGGGGCGTGGAGATTAACGGCCGGCGTGGCTATGCCAACAAGGACTTCATTATGGAGAAGAAGATCAATGTGCCGGATGCCCAACTAAAGTTTGAGGTTCCAGTAGTGGGCCCTGGTAGTCCTCCAAGTCCTCCTGCAGTGGCGGAGCCTCTGCAGACCGTGCTCAACGCCTCTGAGTCATCTGATGACTTGGCCACGACCACGACAGCCCCGCTGGACGTTCAAGTGGAGTCCATTGTTGTGGAGCACGATAAAACAAAGGATCAGCAGGCACCTGAACCAACGACGGCTTCTCAGGTCCAGATAGTGCAGCTGGTGGATGGCACTGAGCTGCCCCTGGAAGCCATTCCATCTGTGACTGATAGCACACTCAATACGCCTCCAGAGCCCTTCAACCTCAGTGAAGCAGCAAAACCGGAACCAGCTACAACAGCAGCTGTTCACTTAAAGACGCAGGATGCAGCTGTGGAGTCACAGAAACCCCAGGATGCTGCTGTGGACTCACAGAAGCCACCAAATGCAACTGTGGACTTAGAGATGCCCAAGGATGCAACTGTGGACCCACAGAAGCCTCAGGATGTAACTGTGCAGTCACAGAAGCTCCACGATGCAACTGTGAATTTAAAGAAGGGTGCAGATGTTGACGAGAAGAAGCCCCTGGACGAGCTGAAAGATGTGAAGAAGCCCCAGGAAGATCTAACGGAAACGAAGAATCCTAAACTCTCAGACTCCATCAACGCTGAGCTTGAAGACTCTGATGATTTCGATTATGGGGACGACGAAATAGACGAAGACGACGAACTGAACGAAGATATCGAAGATAAGGAACCGACCCACAACGAGAAATTGAACGATACCAAAGCAATTCATGTTAATGAAACGTTTGGAATTGAGCAAAAGAACACGACTTTAAATTTGGAAAATCCAAAGGAAGAAGCCAACGTAGAGCCTACAAAGGAGAAACAGGAAGAACTAACAACTGTTCCCACGGAGCTTCCGAAAGAGTTGATAACGGAAAGTGCATCGGTAGTTAAGGAAGTTGTTGAAGAAGTACTGGAAACAATCATTGAACCACAACCAATAAAACCTCTCAATGTGATGGAAATCGCCGAAAAGTTTGAGGTTCCTGAGACGTCGACAGCTCATCATGAAAAGGTTGGCAATGGAGTTGTCACAGCAGATATAGCTTCGTCTGCGACTGATGGAAAACCTGAGACTAAAAAGGATTTAATTGCAAATGCTGATGGGCCCGTTGGAGTACAATCTGAGATAAGCTCCACTGCCAGTAGTCCAATTGAAGAAAAATTGGTTAAATCCGAGCCTGCTGTCCTGCCACCACTCTTTGAAAAGAAAAACTTTGATAATCACGATTATTACAAGCATTTGAAAGAACAACAACAGCAGACGTTAGAGCAGGAAGTGGAGCAACAGACACAAAACCAGAGATTGAACGAGGAAGTGGTTCAGGACCAGGAAAAGCAGCACAAAGCCATCAACGAGGAAGCGGACCAGTCCCTGCGGCTTCAGGATGTGGATGCGCTTAAACAGCAGCAAGCGCAAAGTGTACCAGTGAAACCAGATTCTAATGAGGTATTCGGTGATCCCAACGATTACTACAATCAGCAGCAGAGCACTGAGCACTCCCACCAACAGCACCAACACCAGCACTACCATCATCATCCCACAGAAAGGGAAGAGCAAACTACTATATCGCCTGTCCCTGAATCACCGTACGGAGCTGTTCACGAAGAGGAAGTCACACCGGCACCACAAGCTGCTTCCTCAGAAAATGCGGGGGTGGGTTCCGTAGAACCAGTTGCTTTACCCGCGACCGCGAGTCCCTTGGCAGATGCTCCAATTAAAGACGATAGTGGTTTGGGACTGGGATTGTTTGCCACCATAGTGGACACTGTGAATAATTTTATAGGACAGGAGCCGGAAACCGCTGGATTTGATGGCAGCGATGAACTACAAAGAATTCTTTATCCGGGCATGGGCGAGGTGGCGGGATCCCCGAGGAAACCTGGGCAAGGTAAGTCCAACTCTGCAACTTTGTAATGCCCTTACACTTACGCTAAATTGATAAAACTTAATAGAAGCGGCCCCAGCAGTCGACGTGGACGGTTACTGTGCTCGGTATCAGTTGCAGCAAGATGATCATTGCCATCGCTCTATTTCCTTAGATAATTTTGCGGAGGTTCTCACCGCTAAGGTGGTGGATCACAGCCTACTTTTGTTGTGCGTGGTTATTGCGGCAGCGTCATCCCTGTTCTTTATCTTTGCCTACTACTGCTTCTGCAACAGCAGCCAGGAGGGAGCGCTCCTGTCTAAGCTAAACCATTTGGAACGCAGTTTGCTGGCCTCCCACAAGGAAAACCATATAATCAAACACGAACTGATGACGACGCGTCACAAGCTGGCCAGCATCGAGGACAACACCTTTGGATCCAACGACATGGTGGCTGACCTCAAAAAGCAACTGGAAACAGAGGTCTTTGAGAAAGCTAAGCTGCAAGAGCAGGTTGGCTCACTAGAAAGGGTAAGGTTTTTCCAAAATGGTACAACCGGAGGTTCCGGACTTGATCTTAATAACTGTGTTGTCAGGATCTGGATAATGCGGCTGAGGCTGGTCTGGAACTGAACAAGATGCTATCGGAGGTACTGAGCAACCAAAACGGGGACGAAGCCTTCTTGACCACCGTGGATGAGCTACAACGGCAGCTGAATGACCAGGAGAGTGAGTATCTTTAAGCCCAACCAACTATAGTGTCCATTAATTATTTTACCGCAGGGGTCATCATTGAGATTAATTCAAGTCTAGCAGAAAAGAGTCGCGAGAACAGCGAGCTGCAGTACACCTTCGCGGAGACCACGTCGCGTCTAAGCGGAGAGCTAAAGACTCTGCAGGAAGATAACTACGAACTCGAGATGGAAAAGTCCAGGCTGCAAACCCGTCTTGACGAAGTTCAGGCCGAAACAGACGCGGAGATGGCCAAAGCGCTTGAAGCACGCAACTACGAGATGCAACGACTCCAGAACCAGATTCTTGACCTCACCGCCAAATGGGAGCGAGAGCATGGCGACTATCAAACGAGCTTGGCCAAGATCGAGGCTCTTGAGGACTGCCTCAAGGCCGTGAAAAAAGATGCCAACCTTAATGTTCAGGAGCTGATTGCTTCGGCCAAGACGCGCGGCGAACTGAACGCGGCCCAAAGGAAGTTTGTCGAACTGCAAGCGAAGCTAGAGCAAGAAGTGGCGCTCAAGCAGCGCCTAGAAGGCCAGCTGCAGCAGTCTAGCTCCGATGTGGAGCAACTCAAGCAGGACTTTATCCAGTCGGAGCGCGACAAGTTAGAAGCGCAGACAAGGCTAGAGGTCCTCTCCGGCTATTTCCGCGAAAAGGAGAACGAACTGAAAAAGTACGAAGACATCAAAAATGTCTTTCTTATAAGAAATTTTATTACATATGTCTTTGTTGTTTCAGGGAACTCAGCCTGCAGGAGACCAAGTGGCTTCAACATCAGGGCGAAAACGCCAGCACTGTGGAGACGCAGACACTGATGAAGAACGAAATCCAGACTCTAAAGTAAGTTATCACCGAAAAAGTATTATATACTCACTGGTGCATTTACAGATCTCAGAACGACGAGCTGCGCGCTGAGATCGAGGCCCAGATAGCCTCGCACAAGGCGCAGATGGGCACGCTGGAAAATCGCGCCCACGAGTCTTGGCTGGCAGCACGCCAGTCGGAGCGTCGGTGCGAAGAGGCGCTGGCCGAGGCCGCCGGTCTGCGGCGAAAGTTGACCACAATGGCCAGCGGTGGCAGTGGCGGCGGAGATCCAGTTGCAGTGGATGCCATTGCTGCCAATGGAGCAGGGCCTGTTCTGGGAGCGGAACTAAAGACTGCACCGTCGCCGTTGCCGCTGCCTTTGCCTGGCTTGCCGGGTTCACCCATGCTGAACATGCCAAATCCACTGCCATTCCTAGCGGCACCCTTTTCTCCATTCATGGGCCTGCCGCCGCCGCCATTCCTGCCGCCAGCGGGTGGCGGGGCACGTCCGCCACCTTTGGGACGCATGCGCTCCCCACCACCCTCTGCACGCGGTGACCGGGACAGGGACCGGGATCGGGATCGGGACCGCTACTCGGACTACAGTGATTACGATGACTATGAAGACGATGATGAAGATGAGCGGGATGCATTGGATCATCGACGAAGGCACAGCGGCAACTGGGGCCGCCATCATCACTCCTATACGCATTCGCCGCGCACATATCGATCGCTCTCACCATCGGACAGTCGCTACAACTATAATGACACGGAAACGGACTTTAGTCCTCCGCCAAGTCCACCGCCAGTCTCTTCTAATCGAAGCGCGACATCGCGACCCTACAGCGAGGTGTGAGGGAAGGCCGTTCTTCCCACGTAACCAAGTCCTACCAAGTATATTAGACTCAAAAACTAGTTCAAATATATTTATTAATCAATGATTCGAACGAAGGGTCGGGGACGGCGGAACAATATCCCAAATCCATTATCCCATTAGCAGGGATTTCAGGGGAATCCGTCAGTATCAGAAACAAATGAAAAACATATTTCGACTCAGCAAATGGTGAATGATATCCGGCAAAAAATAAAAGTAACCAATTAAACATGGTGACACAAAACCAATGCTATTTGTTTTACTAAGCGTGTGTTTAGCCAACGAAGCTGTAAATGTATTAACATGATTGGCTTTACCGAACAAGTTGAAAAAATTATATTCTAAATTTAAAAAAAACACGTTTTATTTTTTTGTTTGCTTAGCACCTGAGGATTAATTAAATTAAAAGGCGCGATAAATTCAAGTATTAAATATTAAAGACCTTATTTTTAATTTCTTTGTAAAAAGGCAGCAAATAGATAAATATCAGCCTATGCATTTGACAGTGATCAAATGTATCTCTCTCCGGAAGGAAAAGCTAAACATGCACTTGTATCACAAAGATTTTTCCTGGACTAGAAATTCCAACTCCATACATTCTTCAGGTATCTGGGAAACAGCGCAATTTGTGGCCATATATAATACTTTAAGTTTGTTATGTACAAATTCTTTTCTTATCTGGAAACAAATATATTAATATCAAAATTTAAAGCACCAATTCCAATGCAGTATTAACCCACCAGTTCTTCATTGCCAGTTCCATGGAACCGTATACACAAGGGCTCGATGCGCTGATTTAGAACCCGCTGCATAGTAGAAGCACTAAAAACAAAAACTCATTTGGAAGATCGGGGTTGAATATAGTGATTAACTTGAGTTGTGGACAAGCAGCTACTACTTCCCAGATGCCGTCAGCATTTGGCCAAAGGAGCGAGTGTTCAAAGTGCAGTTGCTCCAAACGGGGAAAGCTTTTGATTATAACGCTCAAGTCGATGTCGTAAAGGCCTCCATCATCAATGAGTGTTAAGCGGCGAAGGTTATCCAATGTCGCCAATACTTGGGGACGCCAAGATATAATATTGTCTCTGCAAGTAATCGCCACCAAATCCTGCCCACGCAGTTGGCCAATAACCTCTAGGACGTCATCAAATAAATCCATCATTTGTAGGCGAAGTTTTTTTAACTTGGGCAGACTCAAGAGCTTGCGGGCATTCTCGGTGCTGAGGTTGACTATGTCTAGGTCGAGCTCCTCCAGTTCCCGTAGAGACGAGATGGCCGGAATATAAGTATCTGCCTCGAATCGTCGCCATTGGACGCATAAGGTTTGTAGGCGCAGTTTCTGGCAAATACCTTTGAAGCATTGTGAGTCCAGGTACCAGCACAGTTGAAGATCCACACGGCGGAGGTGCTGCCACTGGCTGATGTATTGTCCACTAGTGTGGCCACTTATCCCGATGGATTCCAGTTGAGGAAAGCAATTTACCAGAATGGCAATGTCGGCGTCACTATCGGCTTCGTCGTACAAGTCCCCCAGGTAGTACAATTCCCTTACGTTGGGAAACGAGTGGTCCTTCCAGCGTTCCAGCTGTTCTATGGGCAAATGACAGAGTGTGAGCTCTACGACAGTGGAGTTGATGCATTGGAGGAAATTCTGTTGAAGATGAGGCCTTCCAGCAAATGTTTGCCGGCTGATACAGTACTTGCTTTGGCGCTGCCAAGCGTATAAAACCACCGAGCACAGACGGGAAGTGGACTTTGTAGCCTGCCATAGCTCCAATTGCTCCTCCAAACTCAGGTACTCTATAATTTGACTAAAGGACAATCGTGTTTCTCCATTCTTTTTCCAGTTCGAATGTTCACTCACAGCAGGCAGTCATCGTTGAGGCTCGCTATGTTCGTCATTTGGGGACGGTTAGAATGCAATATGTGGCTTCAAGGAAGGGCCTAGAACTATTGGGAATTTCGCATTTAAATCTAAAGTATTTCCCCAGCTGATGAAAACCGTCAATACAAAGCTCTGAAAGCTTTTTATAAAAATACGTTTTTCTAGACGACGGGCACATTTCACGGGGCTACACAAAAAACAGAGTGAATCGGAAATTTTCAATATGTTTCCGCAATAAAGTTTAAATAAAATTGTACGCCTATGCTTTACGTACAATAAGAGTTTTTTTTAAATTAATTTTTTGGTATTTCTAATAAAAGCCTTTTTTTATCTTCTTTTAAAACTGGAAATACTATATTGTATTAGTTTCGGATTTAAAGAACTGTAAATTTGGCAGGACTTTCGTTGACATTTTCTAGAGTTTTTTGTAATGGTTTTTAACAGTATTTTTCTGAAAAAAAAACAATCAAAATCTTCGAACATAGTTATATTTTTATTTTAGTTTTTTTTATAATTAAACTTAAATAGAAAAATGGAACAATCAAAAGACCGATAAAATAAAGCATTTTATATACATAATTTACATTTTTATTTTCAATATCTTTGAAAAATTTCAGCAAATATGTGTTATTATCAGAGATAATGATCAGCCTCTGTACTAGGGAGCTCCGACATTGTGGAGGAAAGATCCCTTTCTTAACTTTCTTTTACTCTCGGGAATTTAAAGACAAACATGCACGCTTATCATGATGATTTTTGCGGGACTAAGAATTCGAACTCCATGCATTCTTCAGGTACTTGGGAAATACTGAAATCATTAGCCTTGTGGTGTATTTTAAGATTGCGATGTACAAAATGCTTGGCAATCTGAAAACAAATATATCAATAAACAAAATAAGAAAAGATAGGACATAAAAAGATTCGCACCAATTCTTCATGGCCCGTTCCATTAAACCGTATGGACAAGGGTTCGGTTCGCTTATCCAGGGCCTGTTTCATAGTAGAAGCACTAAAAGCAAAAAAATCTTCGGCAAGACACTGATTGAACACAGTTATAACCTCGAGATGTGGACATGCAGCCACTACGTTCCAGATGCCGTCCGCATTCGGCCAAATGCGCGAATTCTCCAGATGAAGTTGCTCCAAGTGGGGAAAGTTTTTGATTATAACGCTAAAATCAACGGCGCAACTGCCCTCATCATCCACGAGTGAAAGGCGCCGAAGGTTTATCAATTTTGCCAACACCTGGGGACCCCATCTCACAAAATTGTCTCTGCAAGTGACCGCCACCAAATCCTGTCCACGCAGTCGAGCAATGTCCTCCAGAACACTATCAAAAAGGTCCAAGTTGTGTAGGCGCAACTTTGCCAGTTTGGGCAAACTCAACAGCTTGCGGGCGTTTTCGGTGCTGAGGTGCACTATGTCCAGGTCGAGTTCTTCCAGATCATCTAGCGCCGATATGGCCTGTGCATAGACATCCTCCTCGGCTCGTCGCCATTGGACGGTGAGGGTTTGAAGGCGCAATTTCTGGCAAATATCCTCGAAGCATTGTAAGCCCAAATACCAGCATAGTTGCAGGTCCAGCCGACGAAGGTGTCGCCATTGGCTGATGTGCTGCCCACTGGTGTTTCCGCTTAGCCCAATGGATTCCAGCTGAGGAAAGCAATTTACCAGAATCGCAATGTCAGCGTCACCATCGGCATCGTCGTACTCGTCCCCAAGGTAGTAAAGTTCCCTAACGTTGGGAAACGTGTGGTCCTTCCACTGCTCGAGCTGTTCCATGGGCAAATACCGCAATGTGAACTCCGTGACTGTGGAGCTGATGCAATGCAGGAAGTCGCGTTGAAGGGCGGATCTGCCAGCGAATGTTTCCCGGAGCACGCAGTGTTTGCTCTGTCGTTGCCAAGCGTATGAAAGCACTGAGCATAGACGGGAAGTGGACTCCGTGGCCTCCCATAGCTGCAGCTGCTCGTCCAGACTTAGGTACTCTATAATTTTACTGAAGTGCAATCTTGTTACTATGAAATAATTCCGTCTTCAGTTAGAGTGCTCACTTACATCAGGCAGTCTTCGTTGAGGTTCGCAATGTTCGTCATTTCGGGGAGTTGGGTTAAGTTCAGTTGATTCAAGAAAGAAATGAAATTGTTGTGAATTTCGTATTTAAATCAGCTGATGAAAACCGTCATCAAAAGCTTATTATGAGTGAAAGCTTTTTGATAAAAATGCCTAACTTTAAAGGCAACGGTCACTCTGATTATAACATCAATTGTTTACAAACCAGTGTTGCCAGGTTAGCTTATTATAAGCTAGTTCTAGCATATTTGAAACTAGAAAAGCTTGAAAAATTTCCATCTAGCTTATAGCTTGAAATATAGCTTATTTTAAAATTCATCTAGCATATTTTAGCTTTTTATGTATTTTTGACATCCACGGAATGTTTTTTACGAAAAATATGCTTTGTAGCATGAAAATATTGGAGTTTGTTCTTTTTTTCCGATGGTTATGTGCATTTTATGTGATCGTGAACTTATTTCTAATCGAAAGTGTCATCGGAGATCGATTTGTTGGCTGAAGTGTTACCACCAATAATTTTGTTGTGTTGTGAAAATAGGTAAAGCGTGTCCTCAAAATGCCGAAAGTTATATATAAACAGATTTTTCGGGATGCTTGGCTCCAAAACAACGAATTTAAGTGCCAGGAGAAGGAACCAAAGCATATTGTTGCTACTGTAAGTCGACAATATCAGCCAAAATTTTTTAAATCAGGCAGCATGCGTCATCGAAAAAGCACATTTTATCAATGAGATCAGTTGCTGAATCGCAAAAAATAAATTTTCCGGCTAAGTGTTGCAAGACTCAGGATCAGGAAGCAGCGCTTTGTTTGTTCATTGCCGAACACTCGGCGACGAACAACATGAAGGAATTGATGAAATATTAACTAATTTGTTTTAAGTGCTTACTTTAAGAACATATTTTTAAGACTTTCTTTAATAATAACATATTCATATAATATAATAATATATATTATATGTTTCGTGTTTTCTCATATTTGGGTGTAGCTTGTTTTTTCGCATTTTTTAAAAATTGTTTAGCTTATTCTAGCTTTTTTTTTTTTTAAATCTAGCTTATATGGGCGCTCATCACCTGGCAACACTGTTACAAACTTATATTTGTCCCAAAAAGTACAAAACATACAAGTCTGATATGAAAAGATAACAAAATATTTGAATGAAATTCCAAATTCTATATCGATGTCAAAATACATTGATTCGAATTATTATATTATTATATTATATTTATATTCAATATATATTTTCCTATGTCAAAGCATTTTGAATTTCCAAGTTGTGTAGATGTTTCCATTAGACAGCTGAAAGTTCCAAAAGTTACAGTTTTATGTGTAAAAGTTTTAACAATTACATCGAGATTTAAAGATAATCGAGAGAGATTTAATGTAATCGATAATCTCGTGGTAAGGCCAAAAGACATTTATAATATATGTATGTATGTACATCATCGACTAATCAGTCGATCTCCAGTTTTCGAAAAGACCCAACAGCTCCAAAAGCGGTGCGATGATCGCTTTGGACCCGATCTCCAAGTTCACGCAACTTCTCTTGCGCACCGAAATTCTGGGAGGCTCGGAAGTAAGGTGCGTAGCTGGATAGTTTCTCTTCCATAGCTTGGCTTATGTCCTTCATGGAGCCGGCAGTTCCTCCATATTCATGTGGCAAATACTCACGGCGAACTATCTGAAACACAGCTTCCGGATCAGAGCTCACCGAGATCTATCGTAAATAAGTATTAAGTCTAACGAGGAAAGAAACACCTAACTTAAAGAATGTTTAAACTCACCCGACTCTTGATTTTTGCAGGAAAGAAAGACTTCAGCGAATTGAAACCCTTTTCAAAGGCCGCTGGGACATTGATAAAATGGATGCCCTTTTGTCGCGTCGGCATCGCCTCGTCCGCGTATGTGGAGAACTTACTTAGCAGCTGAGGCTGAAGAGCAAATAGGTGGGATCCGGTTACTCCAGTCATGTCCATAATTTCAACGTAACCGCTGACTGTGGCGGCGTCGTCCTCGAACATCATGATTTCACCAAACATGGAGCCCACACGTATGATGTCCTGGAACTTGTACTTGCCCGTGTCGTAGGAACCAGCTCGAATGATGGTCACGCAAGGACCAGGATCATCCGCGTCCAGTGGAAGCCGAAGAAGAATTCTGTGGGATAATTCCTAAGTGAGTACACAGAATCTGAAACCGATTAGGGTTCTCACCCCATCCTTATGATGTCCAGAACTTGGGGATCGGTGGCCAGGCGACGTTCGTTAAATACCTCTGGAATGGAGGCTTGCAGCGAGTAGAACCGATCGAACTTCTCTTTGGCCCGCTCCATGCTGAACTTGGTGCCCCGGAGAAAGGCAAGTAGAAACTGGTCTTCGGTGCAAGCTTGCAGATGTGGCTGCTTCAATACCCAATCCCTTAGAGCTTCAATGTCCTGGAGCACTCGGCTTGGCACCTCGTTTAGCTCTTTGATGGCAATCGCCTGCAAAGCGGGCTTCAGTGGTCGCACCGAACTCATCGTTCGAAAATGGTTAAAAATCGTTAAATCACCTGTATCTTATGTACGTGTGCTGCCGCCTTTCTACTAACTCCGCCGAATAGAAAACGGAGCTGCGTGCATATGTTTATTGTTTGGAAATGCCGCGCCGACTGTCCAACTGATATGCGAGTAACATGCGGAATCAACGAACTTCAAGGCGCTTGCTTTGCCTGATCATAAGCCGATTTAACAATCCACGAACACATTTCTCGGAAACCTCACCGGCAGGCTGGTTGTGGGTGCTTGTGGATAGTGGGAGTGCGCACTGCCTGCGTCACTTGGCGGCGCTTACAGTATTCAAGCTGTCGGTTCGCAATGGTTCGCTTTGCGATTGATTGTCTTAATTGGCTTTGGATTTATTTTTTGAGTGCATACGGCTGCAATTTTCGCTGGCCCAGATATAAGCTATGTAATCCTCTTGATAAAGAAGGTTAATCAACTGCAATAATTTAACGAAGAGCAAATTGATAACCAGTACTGGGTCCAAAGATAATCAGGAAATTAAATAAACACAAAAAAATAATAGGAAGTTGAGCTTTTTTCACATTTTACCAAAATTTTCATCAGAGTTAGTTTCAGAATTTTTGTTACATAAATATATTACAAAATAATGTATATGTATAGCAGAATCCTTAAGTAGCTTTAAGCTCTCCAACGTTAAGAGTCAAAGAAATATAATGCATATGTATAAAACTTGATAGAAAGGTCTAACAGGACTTCTTGAAGTCTCATATTTTCAATATTTCATGCTCTTATAAGGCCCTTTTTTTATTTGAAATTTTTGTTTTCACGTTAAATATATTTTAAAATTATGTGCATTATGTTTACACTATAGAAGAACATTGATGCAGGTTTAAATAAAACTTTGGAAATACAATAGTATAGAAATTTTAAATAATTTAACAAACATTGTATTTCCGGACTGGATATACAACTTTTGAATCAAAATACCAAACCATATTAGCGTTGCCACATCTGTCTTCAGCTGACTTGGACGAACATTGGTATGAAACATTCGTCAATCTGGCAGGCCTGGTCCAATCATCTGTGGGTAAAGTTTCTGATAGGAAAATAACTTTTTATTCTGAAACTGTATCGGAATTGAAAGTCTTGCAGTGTGTGAATTAATTGAATTAAATTAAATCAGGTGCCCCCGACCCACGCAAGCACACCAAAAGAGGATGACAAATGTTGACGAGAACCCGTTCGCCGCCCTGCTGCAGCAGGGCACGAAGTCCGATGATGTGTCCCACAAATTGGTTGAGGAGGTTCTTCTCTTTACACTGAACAAGGCCCGTAGTGCCGACGGCACTAATCTGCTTTGTCTGTCCGATGTGGTGGTGGATACTAGTGACGAATCGCTGGGCGAGGACTTGGTAGCTCACGCCCTTTTCGAGCGCCTGATGCTGAACGAAACAGCGCAGTACAGTGCAGGGAAAGCCAGTGCGGAGGCCCTGGAGTTGCGAGCCATATGTTATCTTCATGGAGCCTTCGCTCGGTGTGAACGGATCCAGGCCGTGCAGAAAGTAAACTGTTCCACTATCATAGCTCTGATCCTGAACAACGCCAGCACCTGTATGCGCCAGCCGGATCTCTTTGCGCCGCAATCGTTCGCCAGCCAGTGGCTGGAGCTGTTTGAACAGGCCGATGAGCACGACACCAGCACTTTAGAGTTCCTGGTTCGTGTGGCCTGCAAGGTTGTGGAGGAGGACGAGCCAATAGAGGCACTGGGTGCCCTCAAATCTATTTTCTATCCCCTGCTGACCGAGCTGCAAAAGCTCATCGTTAAGGAAAATTTGGTGACGATCAAGAAGAACATTTTCTGGATTCTGGGCTTCTTTGTGCGTGACAAACGAGCAGCGGTGTTGGGCGAGCTGCTTATAGATTACACCACACCCAACCCCAAGGCGAAAGGTAATTTTACAACATTCCATTCAGTTAATTTTCTCACATCGTTATTGTTTCAGGTGGCGATTATATGGACACTCTGCTGGGCAACCTTCTCTGCATCTCTATCCTGCCCAAAACCCAGGGAGCCAAGTACGAGTTCTTCCAGCAGATATCGCTGAACCAGTCGGATCCCGCCTTATGGGCAGTGCTCGCCCGCCATCGGGATTCCATATTTCAGCTGGTTAAGCAGCTGCTCGTTGTATCGCCCGAGACCAAAAAGAAGACGCTTCAGTGGCTGGCAAATTGCCTGGACGCGAATCTGTCACGCGGGCATCTGTGGAGCAGCATCAACTTAAATCTAGAGCAAACGGTTCACAGCACGGCCAGCGATGCGTTTATGACGAACTTAAGTGCAGTCCTAACACGGTTATGCACCCCATTGTGTCAGCCATCGCTAAAAGTCCTTCTTGTTGATCCCACATACTGTGCCGTAGAGGACAAGGATCGGTTGGCTAAGGGCGTTAGTTTGCTGAAAGCTCATGACGAGACTTGCTTGCTTCCGACCCAAGAAGGCGAAGAGCGTCTGACGGCCGAAAAATACAATTTCGTGACAGAGATATTCTTCATGACCCACAAATGCTTCGAGCTCGCGAATCGGCCCTGCCTCGAGCGTCTCAGTCGGGCAATGCGCGAACTGCAGAACACACAGACGGCCTACGAGGAGTTAGTGAGTAGCGATCCCAACAACGAACTGACTAAGAACCTCTTTCGCACCTTGCTCGAGCAGATGCAGCAGGTTCTATCAATCAAGAACGCCCTTTCCGAACCTACCAACGACAGCGACGTGCTGAAATTTTTCGAGGCCTCTGCGATCTGGCTCACCGAGGTAGCAATGCTGCCCCGTGAGATCTACGAACAGTGCGTAGACAAGCGAGACTTTTCCCCGCAGATACTGCGTAACTTGGAGCTCCTCTCAGACACGCCGCCCTTTGTGGCCCCGTACATGAAGTCCGTTCCGGAGAGCATTATCGACAATATTGCTACGTATTTGAATTTCTGCCGGCGTTTAAATAGTGATCTTTACATCCACCTATACTTTTCTGCCCACGATGCCTTCTTCAAGATGATCTTGCTTTTCATGGGCAGCTCTGACCTCGTCAAGAATCCCCATTTGCGTGCCAAGCTAGCGGAGGCGCTCGAGTTTCTGCTGCCCACACAGATCCTGGGGAGTAATCGGCAAGCCTTTAACACACGTGTTTTCGAAAATCACCCGGATAGGCAAAAGGTGGTTCGCAGTCTGCTTAATGTTTTTGTCAGCATCGAGATGACCGGCCAGTCGGTGCAGTTCGAGCAGAAATTCAATTATCGAAGGCCCATGTATGCCATTATGGAGTTCTTGTGGACGAAGCCGGAGCACGTGCAAAATTTCCGGAATCTGGCCACCGAGGCGGAGGAAAGCATGGAGGCTATTGAGCCACCTATTTTCCTGAGATTTATTAACCTGCTGATTAATGATGCCATCTTCCTGCTGGACGAATCCTTGTCGAATCTGGAGCAGATTAAGCAGCTGCAGCTGGCCCAGGCCAATGGTGAGTGGAACAGTCTGTCACACAACGACCGTCTGCAGCAGGTGACGAACCTACAGCATCTGGGCATGCTGGCGCGTTTCGACAACATCCTCGGTAGAGATACCATCAACATCCTAAAATTGCTGACCACAGAGATCAAGAGCATTTTTTGCCATAACAGCATGGTGGATCGAATTGCTGCCATGCTCAATTACTTCCTGTTGCACCTGGTGGGGCCCAAGAAGGAACGCTTTAAGGTGAAGGACAAAAAGGAGTTTGACTTCGATCCTGCAGAGACTGTGCTCGAGATCTGTCGCATCTACATCAACCTGAGCACCGATGACAGCTTCTGCTTGGCCGTTTCCCAGGACGGACGCTCATACAGTGACCAGCTCTTTGACTATGCCGAGAACATTCTCATTCGGATTGGAGGCGGCCAACTGATCGGGGATATGTCAGAATTTGCTGAAAAAGTAAAGCGAATGGGTCTTCAGTACAAGGAGGAGCAGGAGCTGCTGGCCGATGCTCCTGAAGAGTACCTAGATCCTATTATCTCTACGCTGATGACGGATCCTGTCGTGTTACCCAGCTCCAAGGTCACCGTGGATCGGTCCACTATTGCTCGCCATCTTTTGAGCGACCAAACAGACCCCTTTAACCGCGAACCGCTTACCATGGATAAGGTCAAGTCCAACGAAGCCCTCAAACAGGAAATCCAGCAGTGGATTGAGGGCAAGCGGAACGAAGCGCGCTCAAAGAGCTGAGGAAGCTTAAAAGAAGAAAGAGGGGCAGCAACATCAGGAGAGGCTGCTGTCCAACCAAAGAATTAGGTACAGACTCAATGTGTTTTTTCTCCTTTATAATGAATTCCATTCCCAGCATTGTATCTAGTGTATGTGTCTGTTATTGTCTCTTTATTGTACAGTTCTTGGATTTTTGGTCTACTAAGTCGAATAAATGGTTCTATATTTTAACTGTTTGTACTATTTTTTTGTACTTTACTAAATATATCTTTTTATAAGGGCGGAGATTAGTGGTTCTTATTTCACTAAACTTTTTATTTATTTTAAAACTTTACTAAACATTTGGACCTTCTTTTTGACTTTCACCGTGGAATGATTTGAGGAAGTTCTCGAAATGGCGGCGACCCTCCAAATACCAAAGCGCCTCATGGAAGCTGCTGGGCATAATCTCCGGCATGGAGCGATCGGCTTCATACGTTAGATGGAGGGCGTTGGTGTGAACCTCAGTAAAGTTCGCGGCGTCCAACGAGTTAACCGCAGTCATCAGCTGGATGTACTTACCGTGGGTGTAGACAACGTAGGCAGTTGTCTTCATAAAACTCTGCACGGGAATTTGTTGGGCAAACGTAACGTCCGATATAAAACGGATCAGCGCATATGAGCCGGCGTAGAGGCATGCGGCAATGTAACTTGTCTCGATGGCACTACGGATGATGAAACCCCCGAAGATGGTATTGGACGCGTTACGATTCTCTGGGAACGGGTGCAGGATGGTACTGCGATGCCACTTTGATATCCAACGGCAGTCTGGAGGCAAACAGCCGCCCTTTATGGCGTCTTCGGAGCCCTTGGTGCGCGAAAAGACATCGTACATAATCTTCTCCTCCTCCTTTGTCGGCTGCAGAAGGACGCCGGAGCCTTGCTTTTGTTTCTCTCGCCGCCTGTGCCGCTCCAGAGCCTCTGAATGGAACCACTCTTCTATTTCGTTGGCCGGTTTTAAGGGGTTAATCGGGGCAGGTCCACTGTTAGTGGCATTGCGACCCTCGACAACAAAGATTGCCATCGCCAGTGTCTCATCGTTCTGGCGCACATAGGTCGCTACCTCCATGGAGTTAAGGCCTGTCCACGAAACGTAACCAGATAGTCGCAAGTCGACATCCGGTTTGAATTTTTGCACCATAAATTTGACGTGCTCTATAAAGAGGGTGACAAACGTGTAAGGCAGTGGAACGCCCCTTGGCAGTTTTGGGAGATACACATGACGGTGACAGATCCACACTACAAAAGAACTATAATTAGTGACATTAATAACAAAAATTACAGTTGCATTTACAACATTAAAGTTTATAAAATATATTTATTTGTTTTCAAATTAGTATATTTAACTTCTCAGCACTCAGAGGGCCGCTATTCTAGACTTAGCTGGATAGTAATTTTATTAAAATATTGACAATAGTTCTAAAACAGTTGACACCCTATGGTACCATAGACTTTACCGGCTATGAGATCGAGTTGCTCCATTATCCTGCCAACGCGCACTTGACTAGTCTCCTTGACGAAAAGTTGGCGCATCAGTGGATCTGATTTCAAATCAACAAAGGCAGTCGTGTGTGAATCCTTTATGGAACGCTCAGGCAGGTCTTCTTGCTTGGGCTGATATTTAAGCAGGCCTTCCCGGCTCTTTGGGATTGTGTGATAGCCAGATTCCACTCCTAAGTGCTCCTGAATTTTTTTAGCCACTGCTCTTGAAATATTGTTTAATGGAAAACTTTATACAGCGGCTCTTCCCTCCTTACCGTCTGCCATGGAGCCTGAGCAGTGCGCAGGCTCCAGTTGCTTCCCATCGCATTCTACAAAAAAATGACGGAGCGTTCTGAGCTGAGAGCACAGGTTTTTAGTCACTGCCCTCCCAGCGTATCGGTGCGAGTTCATCTTAATTTTACGTATTTGGTGTATTTGGTGTGCTCACATGTCGTACATCCAAGATCTAATACCGAAATTCTCAAATCTTCAGCAACGACAAAAATTAATATATATTTCCTTTTCAAATTTAATACTTTGAGTTTAAACGTCATATTAATTTTTCATGAAAACTTTTAGCAAAAGATAAGCTTCAATTTCTCGTCTAACTGTTTAAAACGGAATCCCTGTTAGATCTTTTTACACTTGACAATATTATTCATGATTCTAGAAAGACGAAAGCATTTACAAGAATACCGTTAATCCTTATCGTTCAAAATTTTCGAACAGATATTTTGAAAATGCCCCCAAAACTGAGGTTCCGCCCCTGACCAGCTCACAGCATTGGTAATTTAGTGATAGTCCAGTCTGGGCACACTTTGTACGATTGTTTCCATATGAACTGACTGTTTTTTTTTATACGGAGTGAAAAATGGTTTAAGCTTTTTAAGGACAATTATATTTTATCTAAAGGTATTGCGACTATAACAGCTTTAAAAGGAGGCCAAAACACTTCCCTGGCGCGCATGAGCGTGGCCAGCGCCGCCCTGTCCTTCTCCAAGTCCTCCCTTCGAGTTGTGCGCGAAATCAATTACATCGTACCGCGCGTCGCGCTTACAACGTTGTCGTAACGCGAAAATCGATTTCGGATGCGGTCGCCGCATGCAGAAGCAGCCATCGGAATGCCCCACTGCAATATGGTTACGGAAATAGGCATGACATCGCCGTCGCACGGTCGCTGGCGGATTATCCTACTTTTCCTCCTGGCCGGAATAGCGCTGTGCACCATGATTCCGGGCTGCTCGGCCACGGACACGGACATTGCATTGGATGCCAAGGCCACGCTGAATCACCGCATTCAAAGTCTTGATCTGCTCGTCTTCGTGTTCCTGCTGGCCCTCACCGTCCTAACCATTTGGCTATTCAAGCACCATCGCGTCTCCTGGTTGCACGAGACCGGGCTGGCTGTAATCTACGGTACGTAGGCTCGAACTTGGGCTCTCTCTCCCTTCTCTCTTATTTTTCAAGTTGAAGGCCCTCGAATATATGTCATCTGATGAACCTGCTCCGACGTCGCTTTCACGGACACCTCTTTGTTGTCACACTTTCGGAATTACGCTTTGTGCACGCCAGTCGTGACACCTGCCGTACCTTCATTGGGAAGGCATTAAGAGTTAGCACCCCCATACCATAGCAGTAACAATGGCTAGATAGAAGAATCAGCACGCAATGGTATTAGAACCAACACTTTATTCGACATTGGGACCTTGACGTGGTCGGGATTTTCCGAAACCAATACAGTTTCAGTGTCCGTTCATGATCGTGCCAATGTGCTGAGTACTTTGTTATTCTAACTTTCTCATCTACAGCATGTACTATGCATAAATGCACATTGTTCGTACGTCATAGCTTTGGAAGAGTCAACCAGATTTCTTCCAAACTAATTGAAGCTAATGAAAAAATTCAATAAAACAGGTTTAGGCGACGGGGAGGGAAATCTTTACAGATGTGCAGGCAGGCAGAGCAGGGCGTAAATTAGAAAATATTAAGCGAAGCCGTTTTTTTGTGCCAGCTCGATTTAATCTTACCAGCAAGCTGTGCTTTCGCAATGTATGCGGAAAATAAAACAGTGATGATTCCGTGTGCGAAAAGTCGGAATGATAAAGCATTCTTAAGCACTTGTCGAGTGATTTTATTCCTCTGCCGATAAGGTTCAACTAAACAGACTCTTATCAAGTCTTGACGCACATTAGTCACTCTCACTTTTTGTGATAGGTCAGGCCATAGAGCTGACTTTAAGATTGACCGTGAACAACAATATTTAAAGGGGTTTTCTGTTATTTAAAAATATTTTTTATTTTAAATTTTATTATTGACATATACGAAACTAGTTATTCTTTTGCTTTTAATTAGTGTTCGCATAAGACAATATGTTATTTTTTCGAGACGGAATCTAAAGCTTATAGTAAAAGGCTTTACAAACTAAGGTTTTATCTTTATTTTATTGACTCCACTTTCCAGGCCTCATTGTGGGTGCTATTATACGCTATGCCGGCACGGCCAACACCCTCGTCCATATGCAGGTAGAGCCGCAGGGTACGCCGACATACAGTGATAAACTGCCGCCCGATACGCTTTGGTTTAAGGTAAGCCAAGCCGCTGAAAACCAAGGTTCATAAATAATTGCTTTCCATTTTTAGTACCCAGTTAATCAGACGAATGGAACTAAGCTACCGGAGGGCATTAAGACGTATGCCTATGTCTTTCGTGGCCAGGTGCACGACGTCGATGAGAATGAAATCGATTTGAAAGCCACATTTGATCCCGAAGTTTTCTTTAACATCATTTTGCCGCCCATCATCTTCTACGCGGGATATAGTCTGAAGAAAGTTAGTTTATTGGCCATTTTTTGACTTGGTCGTATTATTAATTGGACTATTTTGGCAGAAATATTTCTTCCGCAATTTAGGGGCCATCCTTACCTTTGCCATTGTGGGTACCACGCTGTCGGCATTCCTAATCGGCGGCTTCATGTACGGCTGTGTGAAGCTGATGCCAAAGTACTTGAGCAGCAGCTTCACATTCCTGGACACTTTATACTTTGGAGCCTTGATATCACCCACAGATCCGCTCACCATTCTGGCCATATTCAATGACCTTCGGGTCGATGTTAATCTGTATGCGCTGGTCTTGGGCGAATCTGTGCTCAACGATGCAGTTGCCATTGTCCTCAGCGGGTGAGTTTGTTGTTAGTCTATTTACAAGAATGTAAGCTAATGCCAATCTGTTCTTCTTTCTCCCCATGCAGAGCCATACAGAACTATGGCGAACATTATTCCAACACGGGGGAATTCGAAACCACGGCTTTCCTACGCTCGTTAAGCGATTTCTTCTCAATCTTCCTGTTGTCACTGATGATAGGCGCCGCCATGGGCTGTTTGACAGCACTGATATCCTTTTCAAACATAATTTGGGCTTAGCCCAAAACTTAACCCCTTATTTCCACAGCCCGTTTGTTTCCTTCACTCTCCCATACATGACCAAGTTTACGCGAGTGCGCGACTTTCCGTTGCTGGAGTCGGCTCTCTTCGTGCTGATGAGCTATAGCACCTTTTTGCTGGCGGAGGCCACCGAACTTACCGGAGTGGTCGCCGTGCTCTTCTGTGGCATCTGCCAGGCACACTACACGTACAACAATCTGTCGGAGGACTCGAGGCAACGCACCAAGCAAATTTTTGAGTTACTTAATTTCCTCGCAGAGAACTTCATATTTTCTTACATCGGTGTGTCGATGTTTACCTTCCCCAAGCATCACTTTGACGCTGGTTTTATCATAACCGCATTCGTGAGTCTATTATATATTATTGAGGAAATATTAGGATTATAATAATAATTGTTTATTCTTAGATCTGTGCCGCTTTGGGAAGAGCCGTGAATGTCTACCCTTTATCCTGGTTGCTTAACATTAAGCGAAAGCCCAAAATCTCGCCAAACTTTCAGCATATGCTGTTCTTTGCTGGCAAGTCCTTTCCCATCCTATCGCTTCTTAGAGCATACTCTAAATATGTTGAATTATTTTCAGGACTGCGTGGTGCTATGTCCTTTGCACTGGCTATCCGGAATACAGTGTCGGATGCGCGACAAACAATGCTGACCGCCACATCGCTGATTGTCATCTTCACGGTGGTTATACAGGGTGGTGCAGCTAATTTTCTGCTCAATTGGTTAAAAATACCGTGAGTACAGAGAACATGCTACCGATCAGCTACTAACATCCTTTTATGTTAAAAAAATTGCTTTCAATTACAGAGTTGGTGTCGACGATGAGACTGAACAATTAAATAATTATCAAGTGCACAGTGTGAGTATTAGGGAATGGGGTATAAAATAATTTATTTATTTTAGAGTGCAGCAATGCAGCCACTTTTGTCATTTTATCGCTATATATGTGAAGAGGGCTCATCAGCCTTGTGGAGTATGATCAAGATTTTTAAGATTTCTCAGCTCTCAGAAACATTCTTAGATAGCCAAAATGGAAAAAGTGGCAGCAGCATAGATAGACTAATAATTAATGAATTGATTCTTGGGGGAAAATAAACAATGTTTGAAATGGCTCAATTTCCATTTCACTTTCTCTCTTTTATTCTTTTAAGAGAGTAGTATTTAACTCATGATTTTTAAATATTTATACATTTCTGCGCACCTCACGACATTTTAAACCATCTGTTAAAAAAGGTTTACAATTCAATGGACAATTCACACCCGCAGACGGTAGGTTGTGATATAATTCCATTATTCATTCCGTTGTGTACTTACTGTATAATTTTACGATTTCCTTCTGCAGTTCCCATAAATATTATGTTATTATATTAGCATTTTTTAATTATTCCCATTCATTCTTAATTTTTAAGCCCATTACCCCTCCTTCTTAATGTAGAGCTAAAATCACTTTATTGATATCTGTGTTAGTCCGATGGTTATTTGCAGGATGTTGAGAACGGCGGCGGAGGCCGCGGGAAGCTTCGCATGTCCGGAGGAACGGAGTCGAACCTAGACACTCCAGTAGATGGGCCGAATGGCAGCTTGGGTGGTACTAACGGAAGGCGCCGCAACAGTCATGAGAAGGCCATTCTGGCCAGGATCTGGGGAAGCTTCGATACTAAGTGAGTGACAAGCAACAATGAGTATACATTTACCTTGAAACTATTCGCAATATCTTAGGTACATGAAGCCCTTGCTCACGCACTCGCGTCCAACTCTCCTCGAGACGCTGCCCGTTTGCTGCAATCCCATTGCAAGGCTGCTCACCACAACTCAGCAGCTGACGCAGGTGAGTGCTAGATTTGAGTTGGAACATCCACTGAATCAAATGAATCAAATATCCATTGTGCAGGATGGTAGCGAGTTCAGGCGCGTTGACTCCGACTCGGACATCTGCATAGACAACGACACTGGGAACAATGGTCTCAGTCAGCACGACGGTGGTTCTGGGCAAGGAGCAGGAGCCAGCGTCGGGAGGCGCAACTCACTCAGTCGCGTAAGTATCAAATACACCACTGGCGATGCTCACCATCTACTTGCTAGCTACCGAAATATTGAATAACAACCGAAATAATGCGGAGCACCCCCAAGCACCACCAAAGACTAATCCTAGGCGCAACTAAAAACAAAAAAAAAAAAAGAATACACGATAGATAGTTTGTTATTGAATTTGGCCAACTACTTAAAAACTGCATATATAAAACGTGTGATTTTTGGTTTATGTATAATTTAAATATTCTGTGGTATAAGCAGATCAGGAATCTGATTGATTATTGTTGATTATTTGAATAAGTGTTTAAGTGGCGGTAGGAGTATCTAGTCTACGATTATACAACACTTGTCTAATATTATTTTGACTGTTAACTACTGAAAACTAATTATTGCATGCTTACAAAATATATTTATACTTGTATAACCAAATTGTAATAACTTTACTCTCTCAGCAATGAAATATTAATTTATTCTATTAATTTCTGCGGCATCTTTCTTTCTTTTTTATCTTTCCTTCGACAAACCAACAAACAATCATCTAACTAACTCATCTGGACTCCTTTTTCAATTTCACTTTGGTTGCTCTGCAATAATAACAATACTACAACAAACCCAACATTTCCAATTTAACAACTACTCATCTCAAACAATTCCAATTCAACAACTCATCTTAAAAAAATGACATACTAATATCTATTGGAAACCGAAAGTCTATCCAATTGAACGAAGCTAGTAATCACTTCGCGAATGAGCTTAGCCTGGTTACCAATAATTTCATGTAAACATTTAACTGGAACTTCGAGCGATTCGACTACAAGTTATTATTATTATTAATTGTTTATAATGAGTTTGTTTTTGGTTCTGTCTAATTTTCCTTAATAAACCTAATATATTGTATGCGAAACACAGATGGAGAACCAAACATGATTAACCCCGAGTCCCAGAGTCAGAATAACCAATTAACAAAGGCTTCTTATAGCGCACAGAGCAGTTGAGAATGTTCGTTTTAATTTCTGTATTTGTTTCTCATACTCTAATTTCTTAGATTCTAACACGCGACTAACCATGTAAGTACAAATTACTTAATCGCAGCTTATTTCCTCAGTTCCTTATCTTCTTCATTGTACATAAGTCATGCATTTGCACACATTTTTATTTAAGAAAACTGGAAATAATTTTGATTTGTTCTAAACGTCTTTTTATTTTCTTATAGGTTAGAGCGAGTGAGCAGCGAAATGTGTATATATAAGTTAAATTATGTTATGTTTTCTTTGTTGTTATTTATTTAAAAATTGGTCTCATTTGAAATGGAACATACGGAAAATGTACAAATTAGATTATTAGCATTCAGTTTCCCCTTGTGATTTGTAACCCTAGCTGTAAACGTAAATGAAATATAAATTTTTCAGTTAATTTAAATTGTGGATTCCAACGATTAAGGCGCAGTAATCAGGATATTAAAGCTGAAAAAGCTGTCACACTCGAATTCTATAATTGCTAAAAACGATAATATATATAAAGCCTATTATTTTTATTTTACTGTCCCTCTGTGCATACACATGTGTAACTTATTTAAATATATTCACATAAACAAATGGTTTAGTAAATATTATTATAAATACTTATAGATTATTACCTTTTCTCTTATTTATTTGGCATCACAAAATATGCAAACTTAAAAAATATATTCGCTGAAACCGAAATCATACTATATTCAGATGGAGATAATGGAGCATGTTCAGAGTCCGGTGTCAACGAGAATCAGACTTTTAGGATTTTACGGAAAAAAGTTATAAGATAAAGGGCATCGCTTGCGTATGTTTAAATAGAAATTTCTTGTTCGATCTAACTACAATTGGTGTAAATATCCCCTATTCTTTTATTCATTTAAATTTTTAACTAATATTTATTTATCCTGATAAGAAACTATTTATTATTACACACGTACGCTGTATTTAAATCAAAGCGAAGCTCTCCGAATATATTAACTGTTGTGCTGTTAATTTTAAGTCTGAAAACAGGAAATAAAAAATTGAAAACCAAACATAATTTAAAAATGTGCGCCTTTCGATACTAGTGTGACCATCCTCAGGGGTTTTATCGGCACATGCGAAACGGCCACCTTATGGGAGCGCGGCTTCTGTAAAAACAATAATATTAAATTTGCTTTAGATTTCGAGGAATTGTGCACTTATTTCGAAAATGGAGGTGATAAAACGTGGATTTATCCGCGCTTGTAAGAACCACAGCTACCTCAGCTACGAGGGGATCGACGAAATCCTGACCCCGCTCTGCGCCACCCACAAAGTGTCGAAGCCTGCCAGCAAGGAAGCGATAAAAGCATTTGTGAATGAAATAAACGACTCTATTCGGGACCTGGGCCAATCGCTCGTCTTTATCAAGTACCCGCTTATGGGTAAGGAGTATCTGGTGTACGCCAAGACAGACGCCACGCCCGACAGCATTGCGAACACTGGTCTGACGGCAGAGGAGTGCCGGTATTTCTCCAAACTGCTAGACAAGATAGCTACCTCGGACGACTCCCGCATTCCGTGGAACTTTGCCTACAACGAACTATTATTGGAAGGCCTGGTAAAACCGCCAAAGAAGAGCCGCATGCAGCAACTGCTCCAGAAATGGAGCCAGATGGGCTATTTCCTGGACAAGGACGACTACATCTACCTGGGGCCACGAAGCCTCGTGGAACTGAGCTTCTACCTCACCTCCAGCTACTCGGAGCATATAAAGAACTGCACCCTTTGCAAGGGCTTGGTGCTTTGGGACATCAGATGCGGTTCCTGCCAGATCCAGTTTCATCGCGATTGCATCCACACCTACTTACAGAAGCGCGATATTTGTCCGTCTTGCGGTAGTCTGTGGACAACGCCACTAAGGCGATCCACCAGCTCAGCCTCATCCTAGCTACTTTTTATAAATGTAAACAATTGAAGTATGTATAACCTATGCCTAAGTATTAACATATATTTAAAATTGACAGAATTACATTCACGTGCGCCATAAAAAAGTTGTTAAAGTATAAATATAAAATATAAAATAAGGATTTGTAGCATTCAGGCAGATATGGCTAGATTGACTCGGCTCTTGATGCTGATCAATAATATATTTAACCTTCAAGGGTATAGAATGAAATCAACTATACTATTTTTTGATATATTTTTAAAATGAAAAACTTTTAATTTGTTATTTACAAGTCTGTTTTGTCAAAAAAAACTTTTTCCGTTGAGAGAAAATTTAAAATATTAACAAAATAAACTATAATGTGAGGGTATTGAATAGTTTAGTTGAATAATGCAAACGGACTGCTAAAGGTGTTCTAACTGTAACTCTCTCTACCTTGGAGGGGAAAGACATTAGATATAGATTGAGTAAGATGGCGCTGTCCCATCAGTATTATTTTAATGTTCGTCGAGATGAGTGTGTGCGATACTCCCAGTAAGAATTCAAAAATGGACAAGAAGTCCCTGACGCCTTTCAAGAAAGTGCGCCGTAAAAATTGGCAGCAGGAAACGGCGGCCTACAAAGTACAGCCAAAAGAAGAATCCCTCCGAAGACACAATGTAAAGAGCCAATTTTTCTAGAATGCAAAGACCAAGGGTCAGGTGCTCTGCCACAGCAGCGGTGACAGGTTTATACCTAAGCGATTCCAGCAGGATGGCATTGACCACAATCTAAAGTTTATTGGCCAACGCGAAGAACGGGATATTCTGGAAACGGTGGGCAGACTTTTATGGTATAATCGTCTCTATAAAATTTTGAATATTTGTACCAATAGGGCGTTCTGTGGACGGCCAGCTATTGGCGGCAGAGTGGCTTCATCTCAGCCATCAATAGCACTTTCGGCATTCAGGAGCGCCGCCTGTTGCAGTTCAGCAGTTTGCAGGGCACATCACCAGAAGCTGTGTCTAGTGGATCTGCAGACTTTGATTGGCCATGCAATCCGAGACCACGCCCGATTGCCATTCAGAATGCCACCCATGAGATGCCAGGCATTGTCAGTCCCGTTGACTACAATATGATGGACTGGTCGCCCAAAGACATGGTGGCCGTCTCAACCGGTCAGGACATCATGCTATGGCACAACCTTGACGAGACCACCATGATATTCAGTGTGGACTCACCGACTGCGCTGAGGTACTCGCCGAATGGCAAGTACCTTTCCATTGGCTGCTTCGATGGAAACTATCCAGGTACGCCACATACCAAGTCGTTTGCCCATAATCCATAATTTTTTGCGTTAACCGCAGTCCTGGACCTCTGGGAGGTCAAGACAAGCATGGAATTCGAGGTCTCCTATCGCAAGTTCTTCCTCAAGTCGATTGGATGCATAACCTGCATCGAATGGTCACCCGACGGCGAACAGATTCTTTGTGGCACCATGAGCGGGGGAATCATGGTGCTTGCCCTGCCCAAGCTTAGATCACAGCTGATTCGCGAGCATCGCCGGAAGGTCACCAGCATTAAGTTCAGCCCGACTCAAAAGTATTTTGCATCTAGCGACACGAGCGGCACCATTTACATATTTGATGGGGCTCTAAAGAAGCGCCTTCTGCGGCTGCGTGGCAGATCTGTTGTCTTTGACTGGCATCCCTGGACAGGCGAGGATATGGTCGTGGGTGAGTTAGAGGCTCGTATTCTTCTTTACTTTATTTATAAAACTATTTTAATTATACTTTTTCCATGTTGTATGATTGTGTTGATTATTTAATTTAAAAAATCACAAGGTTTAATACTATAATAAGAAACTTAAAATGATTTAATATTCTCTCTCTCTCTAGCGGAACGTCGTCCGGCCTCCATATTCATCCTAAACATCCCACGCCGACAGTTTGTTGCCTCGTACAAGCGCAGGGATGACAGGATCACCATTAAAACGGTTACCTTTAGCAAGATAACGGGCGAGTTGCTGGTCAACGTCCTTAGGCGAGGTGAGCATTTGGCCAAGTCGACTACCAGAACTAATACTTGGACTCTTCTTTTCTTCAGTATCACCAGATGACATGGATTGTGTGACGTGTGAGATCTTGGTATTGGCGTCCTTAAATCGATTGGTCGACCTGATGTGCAACTCTGAACGCGGCACAATATTTCTTATGTGGAATCCGGATGGGACGAACATCGCTACGGTCGGACTGGACGACACCTTCTCGGTGTGGAGCTTTATTCCCACACACAAGCAAAAAGCTATTCTTCGGAAGAAGGAGCAACAGGGAGCCAAGGAAAAGAGCAGCTTGCTGAGCCTATTTAAAGGGATGCGGTGATTCATCTGGCTGGTTCCTCCATTATTTTAAATGCGTTTTTCTTTCTTAAGTTATCATTCGTATGTTTGTTTATTTCCAACCAATTGTATGTTTGTATGTTTCACTGATTATTCAAATTCAAGTATATTGCTTCCATAAAAATTCAAATTGGATATATAACCTGGACTTAGTTTACTACTCTATAAATTGAACATAAGAAAATGAGCTAGGTTCTAGAAGATGGACACCGTGTCCTCTCCTCCCAAACTGAAAGTATGAAAGTAAAATTCCATTATCCACCGTAGTGGTTACAGCATTGAAATTTTGAGCTAATCCCTATACCTAGGCTCGATAAGTAAAAAGAGGTTTTTATAAAATCACTGGCATTAGTAATCGCTCCGATTCGGTCTTAATTCTGCGACTGGCGACGCATGCGTCTCCTGCTGGAACAGATATTCCGCACATGCTTCCGCCTCCAGTCGTCGTTTCTCGTTTAAATGGGGCTTAATAATTAGGCGATGGGTGGTGTAGATGAGAGCGGTGGATCCGATGCCGATGGCCATTAGACCGACAGTCGTTGTAGCGAACTTCTTAAGGCCGTTAATGAAACTCATCTAAAATGGAGAAGGAAAGAAGTGCATGAGTTTCAGTTTGTATGTTAAGCAGGCCCGAAGGAGCATAGAAATAACCCGAACTTTTTAGGATCTGTTGTCGATTCGCCGGCGCTTTCAGTTTTCTTATCGTTTTTGTACTTTAAGATCAGTGGCTGCCAAATGTAAATCCCTCCCAGCACACCAATAGCGGTGACCACCATCAACTGCGGAACTGTTACACCTTTGGGACGACGAATTTGCATGGCACGAGCTTTGGCTTAGTTTATTTAATTCCTACTAGTACTAATTTCTGCCTTTGCTATAAACTTGGGGCAAATTAATTGAAACTACAGAAATGCATGAATTGAGGTTTTTTTTGCCGGCGCAGCTGTTACATCAACGACTTCCAGTGTGACCGTGGCTCTATGCAAACATAATCTTTGGCCGGCCATATTGCCAGACCGCAGCACTGGCGCAATGATTTACTATTCAAAATGCAAGTTGCCTGGGTTTTTCTTGAAATCTAATCTTGGCTCGGGCGTTGTAACCCGTTCAACATGTGGGAGGAAATAAATCTTCCACCTCTACGAGCAGAAAGTAATTTATTTTACAGTTGTCTGGATGTCTGGGAGAGAAACTGAGACGTCACTGCCATATGCAAAATCCCAGGAAAAAATATCGTATTTGCGGATACGGGGGAAATATTATGATTTGCATATAACTATCAAGTATTTCAGATTTTAAAAATTTTAAAAACAATTGGCGATTGCCTTATTACAACAAAAACTTAATAATATTATTTGTTTATGCCAAGTAACTTAGAACGCCTAAATAAGACCTCTAATTGCCAAACTATTTTTGCTTTGCTCTCAGTGTAAAGCCAACAAATTTAATTCTTCACTGCTCCAAACACATTCGGCGAGATCATGACGTATACGCCTTTTGCTTGGGAGTCCCAACACTAACAAGTGAGAAAGACACTGCCGAGTATGCTAAGCCACGAGATACCCGGTACCCAGAGATTTGTGGGGTAAATCTAATTGTCAAAGTCGTTGAGATCCGCTGTATACAGAGAGACGGATATGGGTAAATTGCATTTTCTATATATGAAGATTTTGAATATATATACATTACTTTGCTTCGAGATGAGTTCTCCTGTTCTGTTGAGTTGGCGCACAGCTATAACTCCCTTGTACTCAATGGGTACTTGGTATCAAAGCACATACGCGCAGCCTCGGCAGCGGCGCAGCAGCAGCGGAAAGAGCAGCTTTAAAGCTGGTTTTTAAAATGGCCTGTTCACTCAGCCTCCCGAGTCATTCTCAGTTGGAACAGCGCGTCGAACGGTTAATCGCTAGCTTGACGCTCCCCCGCGTCCCCCGCAAGTCGCTCCCGTACCTATTTAACAGTTGTTTTTCCCGCTGTCTCTCCTAGAGAAGCGGCAAAGAAACGCAAAGCAAAAGCAATCGTCGATCGAAGATCGAAGAAGATCGAGCGAGCAACACCGAAAACAGTCACAATGGCAATGACAATGATAAGCAGGAATCCGGACGTGCTGCTTCTACTGCTGCTGGCTCTGATTTTGGGCGCCACCGATGGCAACTCCATACCAACGACCATGACGATAACGACGCCGCAAGGCGTGTTTGAAACGCGCACAGACAAGGTGCCCAGTGGGGTCGCTGGAACGGGAACGGCGCTATCCGGCGCAGGAGGAGCAATCTACGATGATGTGGACACCTTTGTGCCGTTTAGAAGTGATTCGCACGACCCTTTCTCATGGCATTTGCTCAAGACGGTGCTCCAAAACGAGACATCGGCCAAAAATGTGATCATTTCGCCGTTTTCGGTGAAACTGGTGCTGGCCCTGCTAGCAGAGGCCGCCGGAGCGGGGACGCAGACGCAGCAAGAACTGGCCAACACGCAGACAGACATCCGGTCTCAGAATAATGTGCGAGAGTTCTACCGGAAGACCCTCAACTCGTTCAAGAAGGAGAACCAGCTCCATGACACGCTCAGTGTACGGACTAAGCTTTTTACCGACAGTTTCATCGAGACGCAACAGAAGTTCACCGCTACCCTAAAACACTTCTACGACAGCGAGGTAGAGGCGCTGGACTTTGCCAACGCGGACGCGTCGGCGGATGCCATTAATGCCTGGGCCAACAACATTACGCAGGGACGACTCCAGCAGCTTGTGACGCCGGACAATGTGCGCAGTAGCGTGATGCTGCTCACGAATCTCATCTACTTCAACGGGCTGTGGAGACGGCAGTTCTCCAGCACCTTCCAGGGAGCCTTCTTCCGCGGCAAAGACCCACAGTCACAGTCACGGGCCGAGTATATGGAGCAGACTGAATACTTCTACTATACCACCTCAGAGAAGCTAAAGGCGCAGATACTACGGCTGCCGTATAAGGGCAAGAACTCCATGTTTGTGCTGCTCCCGTATGCCATTGATGGCATCGACGAGCTGGTTCACAATCTGGAGAATGACGAGTTGAAGGGCGCCCAGTGGGCCATGGAGGAAGTGAAGGTAAAGGTGACGCTGCCCAAGTTTCACTTTGACTACCAGCAGAACCTCAAGGACACGCTCCGCGGCTTGGGAGTGCGCGAGATCTTCGAGGACACTGCATCGCTGCCAGGACTAACCCGAGGCGCAGACGTCGCTGGCAAAGTTAAGGTGTCAAACATCCTTCAGAAGGCTGGCATCAACGTGAACGAGAAGGGAACGGAGGCCTATGCCGCCACCGTTGTGGAAATTGAGAACAAGTTCGGCGGCAGCACCACAATCGAGGAGTTCAACGTGAACCGGCCGTTCGTGTTCTTCATCGAGGAGGAATCCACTGGGAATATACTATTTGCCGGAAAAGTCCATAATCCCGCCTCCCAAACTTACTAAATTATGCAATAAAAATACAAAACGAAATCACAACAGTTTGTCTTATTTAAAGTGGATCTTTGCTAATGGTGATCAGAAATTAGAAATAGGAACGGATGTTATGGGTATTTCTTAGCTTATTCTCATTTACTCGGTTGTTGCAGTGGGAATCAAACGAAAACAACCACTTGCTTCTGAATCACTGTATCAATATATATATATATACGCTCTGCTCTTGACATGATTTTCATAATCGTGCGTGCCGGCGACTTGACTTCCCCTTACTGGATCCGATTACATATACCCACTCGGAATCCGTCTCCGTTGATAAAGCTTAGCTATGTTGTTAGAAATACTTTTTTTTTGTATATTATGCCTCGCCTCGTAGGTGCTTTAAACAATTGAAAATAAAAGCCCGCAAGTCAAGCAAGAGATGCAAATATACTTTTTAGATCTGGGAATGTCCCATACGTAACACTTTACGATAATAAAGGGAGGAGATCAATGGGTAAAACGCTTGCGCACATAACTTACTCAGCGGCAAATACAATCTGTGACTCACTGAAGGGGGGTTGTTAAGTTCTCTATTTATAAATTGTAAATTTTGTTTAGTAAATTATTTTAATGATTTTTTAACAAAAATGTGAAGTTTTCCCTCGGATAACTCTTCAGAATTTTTGCAAGTGTGCGAAATTCGTTTTTCTGCTGTTGTCTAAGCTGAAAAGCACTGCATCACAGTAGTTAAAAATCAATAATAATTTAAAAACTTTTGATGCTTTAAATTTTAAATTGCGAATATTATAAAAATGTTATTAAATTAATTTGTCTTTTCCGATTGATTCCAGAGCATCTATAGGACGGAATATACCAATCCTGCAAGTTATAATTATTACTTTTATAGTTCTCGTGGAAGAGACACGATACCAAAATTACTTAGGTTTTATTTTATATCAGCAATCCCAGAAAAATCCTTGGCAAGAGGCATTTAACTGATAGTCTTGAATCAACATCTTGAGGCTTCGAGGTGAGTAAACAATAACTGCAATGTTTGCAGCAATCAAAAAACCAGTTTACAAATATAATACGTGAAAGTGCTTATAAAGTGCATACATTTGTATTTGCAGTGCTTTCGAGAAATGCGAAGACCCACCTGACTCAGACAGAGTACAGACAAGAGTAAAAAAAAGTAGGCCTCAATTCTGCGATAACACAATTTTGGGACTACAATAGATGGCTGTTGACCTGTCATTGCAAGTTTCTAAGTCCTAAAGAGAGCTAACCTGAAATATACTCTGCCCATTCATTTCGGGGGAAAAACAAAAGGCTGTCATGATAATATTTAAAGAAACTCACCTCCGCCATTAGGTAGCAATGCAATCGTCGATTGGGTCTGCATTTGCGACTTGTTGAAGTTATTGTTTCCGCCTCCATTGTTGTTGTTTTGCTGACGAATTATCGGTTGCTGTTGCTGATACTGCTTGTATTGCGATTGGAAGTGAGGCTGACTGGGATCAGCAGCGGATTGGAAATGTTGGTTTTCTGCAAATCGCAAGCTTGTATCAGCAGCAGCGCCACGACGATGAACCTGCTGCTGTCCCGGTGCCGCGAGATGACCAGCAGCTTGGTTGCTGCCAGTGCCAGAAATCAGGGCCTGCAAGAGAGCATTGGATGCCACGGCATCCTGTCGAACAGCATGGCGTTGTTGCTGCTGCTGCTGTCCGCCACGAGATAGTTGCTGCTTGGCACCACCGCCATTAATCAACTTTGAAGTCTGCTCTTCCATCTTGCGCTTCATCACAGCATTTCGCATTATGACATTGGCATGGGCCTGAAGATCCTCTTGCGACAATTGTTGGGGCGTCTGCTGCTGTTGTTGCTGTTGCCTTGCAGCCAACGTTTGTTGTACAATAGCCAGGTTGTGCAGATTCTGCAACTGGCTAGCAATGACGGTGCTCGAGAGCATATCCAGCTGCTGTTGATGCTGCTGCTGTTGTTGTTGGGTGTTGGTGAACTGCAGCACCGCTGTAATGGCCTCTCGGTCCATGCTCGGCAGGCGTGGATTGGCCAACTGTACTAATAGTCCGTGCTTCGAAATCTCACCTGCAAGTAAGTTAAGGCGGTAATTGAAATTGCTATTTATTAAATCCTATCGCTACAAGTTCAAAACTTATAGGCAAGCTATGCTCTTAAGACGGGTAAAACTTACCTTTGGTCAGACGCAAAAGGAGCAATTGGGTGTCGGCCCTGCCCAGGATCGCCTTTAGCTGTAGTCCCGCCAAAAATGCGGTCTGTTGTTGCTGTTGCTGGATCAGGACATGCTGCTTCTGCTGCTGTTGTTGGTACTGCTGCTGCTGGATGATAAAGTTGGATATGGCATCATTGCCAACAACTGGTTGCGACTGTACAGCCTGCTGCGGCTTAGTGGCGCTGAGAGAGCCAATCAGCTTTTGGAAGTTATCATTATTATGCTTGTGAACAGACTCCGCGCCAGAGGTTAGCGAGTTGCGACGCCATTTGGCCTCTAACTGCTCAACCGATGGTATCTCATGGCTCATTTGTCCCAACGATTTTGGCTGCTGGTCTAAAATATTGTTGGAATGTCCTTGGTTGTTCATCGCTTGTTTGAAGAACTCGTTAAGGGATGATGAGGATGAGTTCCTCTCCCGGGAAAAGAACGACATTAATTTGGAATTATTTGGATTTGTTTGCTGCTGTTGCTGATTTACATTGCCATTATCAAAGGTCTGCTGATTTTGATTGAATTTATCAAACTGAAATGAGCGTATGCCACCGGAACGTTTGTCCTCTTTCTGGTGATGATAATGATCGCCAGTAGCTGGAACTTTGTTCATATTCTCTACATTCTGGTTATTGTTGCTGTCGTACTTGGGCATGAATTTATGACGCGCCATGTGCTCTGATGGCGCCCACTTGTACTTGTTGTTATCCACTTTATGCTTTTGCGCCTTCTCTCGCTCCACTTCTCTATCACCCCCTTCCTTGAGCATCCTCTCTTCGTCCTCATCAAAGCCGCACAGCTCGATGGTATCCAACCTGGAGGTCGGACCGCAGCTAAACCACTCCGGCTCTTCGCTCTGGTTCCTGTACCGGCGATGATGCTTCTCTTCCATATCCCGGGATTTTGGCTTTGACACAACCAGGAAGCCGGACATAACGCGCTTTACATAGTTCTCATTAGCACGGCTCAAGTCTTCGGTGGACTCATTGGATTTTAGCGTCTCGTTCTCCCCGCGATTATTGTTGGACATGCCCATGACTGGAGTGTTCGGTCTCCCCATCTGGCTGCTGCTTATATCACCATTATCAAAGAATTGAAGGACCGTCATGTTGCTGTTGCCGCTCTGATGCTTGGTCTTCGGCTCATCAATTTGAGGGTTACTGTTGTACGAAGTCATAGAATGGTGGTAATCGCCACCGTTGGGTCCCCATTTAGAATGGCTAAAGCGTCCGCTTCCGATTCGTCTTTGGTTGACAATAGCTGGATCCTAAGATTAAAAAATAAATCAAATTATTAAATAGTCATGGCCTTTTATAATTTTTTTCTTTATAAATTTCATATTTCACTAAGCACAGAAACCCAGGTAGAATTTTGTTGCACATTTTTTAATAACCGTTTCAAGCTTTGTTTTATGAAAAACCGTAATTCTTTTATGCAATTCTTTTTCATTTTACAAAGATACAGGCACTTCTCAGTAAGAAATATTAGAAGCGATTAGAATTATACGTTTGGGTCGTAATAACGAAAGCATTAATGCTTAAAATGAACGATTTGAATGTAACATAAATTACATCACATTGGGTATGATCAATAGAAATATATATATGTGTCAGAGTCAAATTTCCCATTTTCTTCTGTCCTGTCTGGAATGAGTTTTTATACCCATGCAGTGAAGGAGTCATCTCCGACAACAGCCGAATCGATCTAGCCATGTCCGCCTTTCTGTCCGATTTTATGCAAACCAGTTCCTCAGTTTTTAAGGTACCTTAGTTGTTAAATGTAGAGGATCAGTATCTTTTAACAGTAGGTTACTATGAACAGTAAGTAACTATGATCAGTAATTAACTATGATCAGTAAATAACTATGACTAGTAATTAACTCTGACCCGTAAGTAACTTTGATCAGTAATTATCTATGAACAGTAATTAACTTTGAACACTTATAAACTATATAAAGACTTATAAAGACTTGCAACTTTTGTAACAACATACTTCTGAGACCTGGCCGGCAGAAGTCACTTCGTTCCGGGGAGGTTAGAAGCAGTTGAGAATCATATGCACACATGTGCGAGATTTGTTTTGGCACAAATTTAAGCTATTTGACTGAAACTATGGTGAAATTCTTTTATATAATTTTACTAGTATATAAGTTGGAGCAAGGAGAGTTGGTGGACTATATATGTATATGTATACATAGGATCGATCGAAAAATTGTAAGAAAAAAATTAGAACTTTTTCAGTTTCCAGATTTTTATCAAATTTGAAATATAACCGTTATATATAAATCTAGAATATTGTGTAACATTTTCTGAAAATCGGACTACTATGTATATCATATAGCTGTGACACAAATGATCGTTAAGAATAGAGGAAAATGCAAAACGGTGAATGTAGAACTGCAAATATAAAATGTATAGGTGAATGAAATGAAAGCAAGCTGTTCTTTATTGTTTTTTAGCATAACTATATATAAATTACATTGTATACAATCTTCGGCGTGCCGAAGTTAGCCGCCTTTCTTGTTTTCAAATCTTTTCCATACTCACAAAAGTGAGAATAGACATAGAAATTTGCACTTTGCGTCATAAAGACGGTGTACGCCCATAAATTTTAGAAAACAGTTCGAAAACGTTACGTTATTGAGTTAGATAATGGTTCGGTTTCGCAGAAATAATAACTCGATGAGCTTTTATCGACTTTAGCACACCACTAAGGGCTCGGGACTGTTTGCTTACATCCACGTACTTACATACACAGGCATATCAGCAAGCTGAGTGAGTGGGAGAGATAAATGCTATAAAAGGCAGCAGCTCCACTAAAAGCTAAGTGCGTGCTAAACTAAACACAGTCCCACAAATAGAGAACGGGAGAGGCGGCAGAGAATGCAGAGTGGCTGAGAGCGTTAACGCAATGAGGGCAGGGGGAGAAAAGAGCGCTTGGCGAAGCAAAAAAAAAAATATATATATATATATAAAAACAACAACAATTTGGAACGCTATATATCAGGCGGCGGCAACAGCAATAGTAATGAGCTGTGGAAGCAGCAATCGCAGCCGTAATCGCAACGCGGCAGGTTGACATTGCGCTGTCCCGTGAAACAGAACCGTCCCAAATGCGGAGCAGCGACCACAGCCCGTAAACAGTAGTCATAATCCGATCGCAGCGATACGAGCTCCAGACTTTCGACACGATGCAGTTTGTGGCCAGCGGTGTGTATATTAAAGAAACTAATTCCTACTAGAATCAAATCATTTGATAATCATTCCATAGAACATCCGCACCGTCGCCTTAACCCCTGACCGGACAATGGGTCCTCGTCTGCCCACATCGAACCCAACGACCGTGGTCGGGTCAACAGGAAAAGGCGCAAAAGAACGAGCTTCCCGAATTCGATCCTAGCAATCCCCTGTGCCCCGGTGTAACCAGACCCAACGGAATAGTAAGCGACCAGTGGTCAGGTATTGGGTCTTGGTCATAATTTTCTACAACGTATTTTTTCAGGAAACTCCTGCCTACGAGAGCACCTATGTGTTCGAAAACGACTTTCCAGCGTTGGTTGAGGGTGTGCCGGTGCCACCCAACAGCGATGATCCCCTTTTCCAGACAGCCGGTGCCCGGGGCAACTGTCGTGTGATGTGCTTCCATCCCAAATCGAATCTAACATTGCCCACTATGAGTGCACCGGAAATTAACATTGTTATCGGCGAGTAAGTGACAAAGATATATGGTTGGGCGCAGGCGGAGATAGCAGATGCAATAAACTCGGTTTTTATCTAGGTGGATTAACCAGTTCAATGAGCTAAGTGCCAAATACGCGTGGGTGCAAATATTCGAGAACAAGGGCGCTGCCATGGGTTGTTCCAATCCCCATCCGCACTGTCAGATCTGGTCTTGCTCGTTTCTGCCAACGGAACCTCAGCTGAAGCAGGATCGTCTTCGTGCCTACTACGCCACCAACGACCGACCGATGCTGGCGGACTATGTGGAGCGAGAGCTGCAGCGGCAGGAACGGATCGTGATTGATAATCCCGACTGGCTGGTGGTGGTACCCTTCTGGGCCACCTGGCCCTTTGAAACCATGCTCATCTCCCGCAACAATAATAAGCGAATCAACGATTTGACGCTGGAACAACGCCATAACTTGGCGGTGACCATCAAGGAGCTGACCACCAAATACGACAATCTTTTCCAATGCTCCTTTCCCTACTCAATGGGCTGGCACGGTGCACCGACAGGACCAGAGCACGCCCACGCCTCAAGCGCCCACTGGACCCTGCATGCCATCTACTACCCTCCACTCCTGCGCTCGGCCACCGTGCGCAAGTTCATGGTTGGCTTCGAGCTACTGGCCATGGCGCAGAGGGATCTGACCCAGAGCAGGCAGCCCAACGCTTGAGGGAAGTAGATGGTAAGTGTCATTACCTTCAAAAGTGATTGTCTCTTGGATTAGTACACTTTTTTATATACCCTGTCTTCACATTATTTTTGTAAGCCTCGACGAGCTTTTCAGCTGCATCCAATTAATAGATAAACAGAACGTAACCAACATATGCGATATTTTTTTGATTTATAATCTTATGGTTTGGTTTTTGTAAGACATTTTGAAAACACATATACAGAAGCCACTGCATTTTGGCGTCTAGAGAGTGATCAGGATGATTACTAACGACCCTTGTAGGTCAGTCAGTGCAATCATCGATTTACCAGATAAGCCTGACATGATGATACGCCTTTGAAAGTTACCTAATCTAAAATTGCAATCACGACCGATGCAGACGCACGTCTATTCACTACATTTAATTATTTTTGGTAACTACGTATATATTATATAAAATTAGATACCTCTCTATGACCTTAATTTAATAATGTTTAGACTGGATTCACAGTCAACAAATCCATAAATGTAAATTATTATAAACTTACCTGGAATTCCGTTTGCGGCTGAGGTGGCTGACTCTGGATGATAGACTCGTCACTGATCATTTGTGGCTTGGTTTTGTTCTTGTAAAAGGCTGGCATGCATTCGTTGTTATTGTTGTTAATGCCCAAGCCGTTGCTGCTGGACCGAGTCCTGAAGCGAGTGCCGTCCGAAATACGCCACAGATTCATGCGCCGCAAGCGGGCCTCCAATTCGATATCATCGCAGGTGGCGATGCGGGGCATTACAAAGCTCTCCTTGGATCGGTGCATTAAGGCATTGAACATCCCGTTGCGAATCTCCAGCAAGTGAGAACGTGCATAATGCTTATTGGGGTTGCTGCTTGCTGTACCGACCGAAGGAGGGCGAGCAACTTTGGGAGCTCGTATGCCCGGGAGCTTGTGCATGGCCGCGCCGGGTGCTCGCTTCTGCTGCAGCTGTTGCGCATGCTGATCCTGGAGTAGAGCTGCTGAATGGGCCTCCTTGCCTGCCATTAGCTGCTTCTTCGGTGAATCCTGCTCCAAATCACAGCTCACTGCCGTGCACGACAACATACTGGAGGGCTGCGTATATGGCGTAGATGCCCGAGCCGAGAGTACCTGCAGAGTTAGGCCCTCGTCTTCGTGGGTCTTTGAAGCAGCCGGCGTCATCGCGCCATGCATCGGTATGGCCTCTTGTGAAATGGAAGTCAGGACTCGATTCAGTTTGGCCAGCCGATAGACGATCTTCAGACGCCTCTCCAATTGTACAATCACAGCCGGCTTCTTGGTCTTGGGGTGCAAAATCAGGGCCATGGACATGGAGGGCATCATCAAAGGACTATCGCCTACTTTTTCCAGACTAGAATATCTAGGCAGCATTTCCAAGATCTCCACATTGGCGGCGTTTTCCGAGAAATAAGGGGAAGACTATAAAAAGAAAAACATTACCACTTAAAATATGGCATAACGTAAATGCGTCTAGGTTTGATTTCACCAAATACTTAAATATTTATGGTCTTATATAACGTCTAAACACAGACCTACTCAATCATAAAAGCTATCATCGATTATATGAACTTATCTTAAAACCTACCTCACGGCTGCTAATTTTCGGAAATCGTCTGTTGGCCTCGAGCTTAGTTATGGCCTTCTCGAGAGCATCCTTTAGCTTAAAAGCGGGCAGCTTCAGGTAGCCGAGCCCTGTAGACAGGAAAGCATTGGTAGGCAGCGGTGGTGGTGGTGGTGGTGCGCAGGGATCCTCCCACTTCTCCGAATTCGTCTCGTCGTCGTCATGTTCTAACGGATCCACTGGCAGGGCGTCTGCTTTGGCGGGCGGCGGGGCCTGCACAGGAGTCGGTGGCGGTGGCGGCGGGGGATACTCGAACTTTCCCTTTTCCGCGGGGGTCAGCACCTCTTCCACCTGCTCCTCCTTGTGCAGGGCTAGGAGATGGCGCGCGGGTTGCTCGGGTCCCAGTCCCGCTTTTGTGGCAATTTTCACGGCGCCAGCGCCATTTTCTTGCTTAGCTTCAGCCATTTGCATTGATCCCTTTACTGCGCAGATTCCCATTCAAGTTATTTCGCTTTACTTTTGCAAATATGAAAACTTACCAGAGCTGTTGTTTATTTTGTGTTAAAAATTAAAACGAACACTTATTTTATTAGATCGGGAAACTAATGTATTGTAAAAGTACGAAATCACGTTTAACACAAGTCCGGTTATAAGATCCGTTATTTGGCTCTGGTACCAAAGGTACACAAGAGCACTGGAAAATACTAAATAAAAAGACGAATCGCAAAAGAGAGAAGAAAAGAATAGGGAGGATCATTCGGGGTACCCCAGTTAGGTACACAAACAGAGTGGAAAGATACTGAAAAATAGCCACAAAGTTGGCTAATTTTCTTCAAAATGAGACTTAATGTCAATTATTTGCCAATTGTCAGCCAATTTGCATTTATTTGTCAATATAAAATTTACGGATCTTATTTCGAAAATATCAAAAATAAGAAGATCAACGAGTTAAAGAAAATAGGGAGTTTACATAAAGATTATTGCCTGTCTAGAGGAGGTACGTGACCTCAATAATATATATTACTATTTTAATTGGAATACAATTTTAAACAATGTCCGTTATAGAGGAATAATTTATAATTATTCAGTTATCGATAATCGACTTATCTGGTATATTTCACGGCCATACTGATTTTGTCCACCCGTCAAAGTCTCACAGGGGAAATTTTTTTGTTTTAAATCACTTCGCGTAAAAAAAATCTTTAAAAAATACCTTTCAACTTCGAGCCAAATTTTCTTTCCAATTGCCATCAATTTTCATATATCATCGATATCTAAAAAGTGTTTCCAACATCGATAGTGGGATAATATCGATTATGTTTTCAACACCAATCTTATTATCGATTTTAAAATCGTTTTGCAACTCTACTACACAAGCCAGCCGAAAAAAATTTAAGAAAAATTGCAAAATATTTTTTGGTCAACGATTTTATAGTTGGTACTTCTTCCAAGTACCGAAAACTATATTCTTGCCAACCGGATGGCAGTCTGAAGTGAGTTGACAAATTTGGTGGACGGAGTAAACAAAACGAAACATAACCTATTTTACTTTTTATACAGACGAGGGAACGCAAACACAGGAAAGGTAAAAATAAAAAGCAAAAATGACCCAATATCTTCCGCCCAATCTGCTGGCGCTATTTGCGGCCCGGGACCCTATTCCATTCATGCCGCCGGTGGATAAGCTGCCGCATGAGAAGAAATCGCGTGGCTACCTGGGAGTGGCCAAGTTCATGTCCGACTTCGAAGACCCTAAGGACACGCCACTGCCCAAAACTGTGGAGACACGCCAGGAGAGGCTAGAGCGACGGCGGCGCGAGAAGGCCGAGCAAGTGGCGTACAAGCTGGAGCGCGAGATTGCGCTGTGGGACCCGACCGAAATCAAGAACGCTACTGAGGACCCGTTTCGTACGCTGTTCATCGCACGCATTAACTACGATACCTCAGAGTCCAAGCTGCGCCGCGAATTCGAGTTCTACGGGCCCATCAAGAAGATTGTTCTGATCCATGACCAGGAGTCAGGTAAACCCAAGGGCTACGCCTTTATCGAGTACGAGCACGAGCGGGATATGCACGCCGCCTACAAGCATGCCGACGGTAAGAAGATCGACAGCAAGCGGGTCCTGGTAGACGTGGAACGAGCTCGCACTGTGAAGGGTTGGCTTCCGCGACGCCTAGGTGGCGGTCTTGGCGGCACGCGACGCGGTGGCAACGACGTCAACATTAAACACTCTGGACGCGAGGACAATGAGCGAGAACGCGAACGCTACAGACTGGAACGAGAGCGAGAGGATCGCGAAGGTCCTGGGCGCGGCGGCAATAACGGCATGGAGGCCGCCAGGGGCGGTCGTGGTTTTGGAGCAGACCGTCGTCGATCCCGCTCCAGGGACCGTCGAGACAGAGAGCGCGATCGCGGACGTGGTGCTGTGGGCGCTAGTGGGCGCTCGCGCAGCCGATCCCGCGAGCGCAGAAAACGACGAGCCGGCAGTCGCGACCGATATGATGAGTTTGACCGAAGGGATAGGCGCGACCGAGAACGGGAGCGTGATCGCGATCGTGATCGTGAGCGTGATCAGAAGAAGAAAAAGCGTTCCAAGTCACGCGAACGAGAATCCTCCCGGGAGCGCCGCGAACGGAAGCGGGAGCGAAGAGATCGTGAACGAGGTACCGGAGCTGCCAGCGGCGGTGATGTTAAGGAGCGCAAGCCCGACTTCCGGGAAATGGACATCATTAAAATAAAGGAAGAGCCCATTGATGACGGGTATCCGACATTCGACTACCAGAACACGGCTATTAAGCGCGAGGTCGACGACGACGAGGACGAGGAAAAGTACCGGCCGCCGCCGTCTGCGCACCACAACATGTTTAGTGTGCCACCGCCACCCATTTTAGGGCGTAGCAATGCCAACGCCAATTCCGACAATGGCCAGCAGCAGAGCTCCAGCAACGACCAGAGCTGGTGGCGCCAGTAAGGTCGAGGTTAATCGTAAACAAAAAGCCGACTTTTGGGTCGCACGCGCCTATTTATTCATTTGACTTGAGAGTCCCAAAGTGGAGTCGCAATCTAGAAGGGGAGTTCCGCATCCACAACCTAAACCAATTCACGGTTACCATTTTACACAGCAAATTTTAAAGGTACAGCAAAAAACCAGACCGCAGAACTCACTAATGTGTGCGTGTAGCTTAAAACATTTAAATTTATAAGTAATTCTTAACAAAAAGAAAATGAATATGAAAGAAAAGTAAGTAAAATAAAGCTAGCCCTACACGTGTTTGTTTCCCCACCTTTGGTAAGGGGGTCAAAGGGAAGACTCTGAGGATCCAGGTGCAGGATGCGAGGATAGATGGTATATAATCCCATGGTGGTTCCTGGGACTTTCTTAATTTCATATTAACTTAAGCTCAACAACAAAACGCAACTTGATCACAAACCCTTGCACTAACTCGTGCCTTTTATTTTCTTTGTCTTTTTGCAGTTTTCAATCAGTTTTCAGAAAATCTGACTAATGTGAGAAACCATAAGTATTCAATGCATTACAGAAATCCAAATCCAATCCAAAAGCACGGAAATTAGTTCCGCAAGAATTCGTAGCAAAAAGTCAAAGTCCAAAGCCCGCATCAGGTAATTTGGTCAACGTACAAACCTCACTAATCTATGCGTCGTCTACCGTTCTAGGACAAAATCTCTAGAATCGGGACAGCCACAGAATCTGAAACAGAAACTGACACTTCACTCCTTCTCCTCCGCTCTGAGTTGCCCGTTGTGGGGCTATGTAAGTTAAACGGGGCTTAAGTTTCAAAAACCTTCCGAACCGAATGTAAGTTGCCTCCGGTAAGATTTTACGCCTCTGGGCGATTTTATAAGGGAGTAGCATTCCTTTGTTTGGTACACATTGAGAAGTGCTCCGATGGTCGTCTGTGGCAATCCTCTAATGCATTCTTCATTATGTCTGTAACCAATTTACAATCTCGATCTTTTCATGTACGTTGTTGCGCTGACGAACTCGCGGCGGAGACTTGCACATAGAAAGTTAAAAGGCTTGAACGGTTTGGTAACTGGTAAACTGACAGGTCAAGTCCTCTCTGGGGTTCCAGATTCAATCATCGAAGTAGGTTCGGACATTCACAAATTAATCTTATTGTTTTGATATTTTTCGGTTCACAAGAATTTTTTAACACGTAAAAACTGACTGCAAATAAGTTTTTAGCTTCTTAGTTGCCTTAGAATTGACTCATTATTTAAGGCAAAGGCCAGGCTATTTGCTTGGGTTTTAAATTAAAATAAAGGCAAAAGGTTTGAACATTGAAAAAAAAAACATTGTTTTATTTCTCATAACAAAAATGTAATAGGGTAACTTTACATTATACAACTAAGGAATAAAAGTATATATATATATAATCTAAGTCTGACTCTTTGAGTACAATGAGATACAATCAAATAGGTCTCTAGGTCTAAGGCACTAGCATTCTAAATCTTAAATCTGTTTAAACTGGGTTTATTCAAAATGTAACTTTATACTATTTCTTAATTTTAATTAAAGTTTTAGGTTAGAGTACCGAGTATTTCACAGTCGAGTTGACTGGATTTTTATACCCTGGCAGGGTATTATAATTTGCAACGCAGTGAAGGAGTCGTCTCCGACCATATAAAGTATATATATTCTTGATCAGCATCTACACCCGAATAGATCTAGCCATGTCCGCCTTTTTCCGTTTCTACGCAAACTAGTCTCTCAGTTTTTAAGCTATCTGAATGAAACGTTGCAGTTAGTCTTCTATATCTTCTCGTATACGGACGACTATATTATATAGCTGCCATACAAACGATCGGAAAATTGTTAAAAGAAACTTCCCGTTTTCAATAAATATTATTCCAGAATTTTGTTATAAATTCTATGAAAATCGGACTACTATATCATATAGCTGCCATACAAACGATCGAGAAAGAAATACAATTAAAAAGTACAAGTTTTTAATTTGATATAAGATATAGCCATTTTGTATTATTCTATAATTTTGTAATACATTTTATGAAAATCGGACTTCTATATTATATGCTGCCATACAAACGATCGTTAGATATAGAAGAAAATGCATGACTGTACAAGTGTAAATATAATAAATATATATATAAATTCAGTAATAAAAGGATTTATTTCGCTTTTTTTTTAACAGAATTATATATAATTTATATTGTATACATTTTTAATGATCGAATTCAATCTGCAAGGATATACAAACTTCGGTGTGCCGAAGTCAATTTCCTTTCTGGTCTTATAATAAATATAACAAGAAAGGAAGCTAACTTCGGCACGCCGAAGTTTATATACCCCTGCAGATAGAACTTCTATGAATAGGAATCCATACAATATAAATTATATATATTTGTGTTAAAAAACACAGTGAAGTAATACCTGCTTTCATTTCATTCACCTTTACATATTATATTTGCAGTTTTACAGTCACAGATGTGCATTTTTCTCCACATCTAACGATCGTTTGTATGGCACCTATTTGATATAGTCGTCCGATTTTCATAAAATTTTACACAAAATTTAAGACTGATATAAAATGGATATACCTCAAATTTGATGAATATCTGTTGAAAACTGAAAATGTTATAATTTTTAATTGTCTTAATTTCTCGATCGTTCCTATGGGAGCTATATGATATATTAGTCCGATTTGCATAAAATTTTATGCAAAATTGTAGAGTATAGTAAAATGGCTATATCTCAAACTTTATCCAATTCTATTGAAAACTAAAAAAGTTAAAAATTTTTTTGTAAAATTTTCCGATCATTCCTATGGCAGCTATATGATATAGTCGTCCGATCCGGCCGGTTCCGACATATATACGAGTGAGAGTATATAGAAGGCTAACAACTACAAAGTTTCATTCAGATAGCTTCAAAACTAAGAGACTAGTTTGCGTAGAAACGGACAGACGGACATGGCTAGATCGACTCGGCTGTTTATCCTGATCAAGAATATATATACTTTATATAGTCGGAGGTGCCTCCTTCTCTGCGTTGCAAACTTCTGACTGAAATTATAATACCCTGCAAGGGCATAAAAAGGGAACATAAATGAACTCGACTTATTATTAATTCTTTTTCCGAATTCACTTATTCTAAATTCGTATATAAATGACAAACAAATATTATTTAAATATTTAAAACAGTTTTTAAACGAATATATGCTATTGTTGCACTTTGCTAATTATGAAACTTTGTAAAATGCAAACGTAGTGGAAATCAGACCTCTGCGCACGCGGTCCTGGTTCTCTTTTATAAATCTGGCAACTCTTCAATAAAATCACATTAACAGCACAAAGCTTATTTTTTCGTGGACGAACTAAAAAGTCGAAACACCACTCGAATAAGCGTCTTCCTAAGTACCAGGTAATTTAATGATTGTTCATGAGAATTACATAAAAGGAAATTGGGCCAGCGCAATGGCGTAGCCTTTGTTTGCATGCCAGTCTGTGGTTATGTTTGTTAGTTGATAACATACATACATACATACATATGTACATTGTGTTATTTGTTCTTCGTAGGAATATTATTTTAATTAGGAATCTTTTTCTTTATCGTCGTAAAATAACTGGCACACCTGCTTATGAATAATTGTGCTTACCTTGCAGAAGGCATATGTTGGTATGTGTGTATATTTCTAAACAACTAGTCCTTTAAAATTCTTATTGCTCTTAACAAATTCCTGATTCAGACTTTTAAAAATTCGTAAAACAAAAATATTTTTTTAGGGAACACTATTCCAAACAACAAAATTAAAATGTTGCACAAATATGCACTTGGTCGTCTGACTGACCGCCCATTTGTCCCTTCTTGAATTTAATATTTTTTTCTGTTCTTTCTTGACTTAAAAAGCAATCAAATATTTATATAAAGCTCAATTTGGCAGTGCTGTGTTTACTATAAGATACAGGACTATCACAAGGCCATCAAGTACCTGCACAGCTTTCTACAAGTCAAGGATTATGCGGTGGCCCTAAAGCTGTTTGCTTATTTTTACAGACTGCTGAAGATCTATTAACCCACTGAAGGAATTGCAGCACCACCAGTCACTCCATTCTTGGCAGATGTGATCAAGGAACTCTTGTGGAGAAAAAAGAGAAGAGCAGGTATTGTCTGGATATTGCCCCCTCAGAGAACGTTAATGAACTAGATATTTCCCTGCGAATGGAAGAACTGATGAATCTCACAGGAACCCAAGCCAGAGGCATCGACGGCGCTGGTTTGGAGCAAGGCCTCGTACAGGTGGTGAAGTCGCAGGACCTGCTGGAAGATAAAACTTTAGACTTTAAACAAGTTTTCAAGAAAATTAATTTCCTAAAGCAAGCTGAAAAGAGCAATGAGCTAAACAAGGAACCTGTCGTGTCCGAAATTCGCACATGCGAGGAAAACGAAGTAGTCAAGTTCTACAATTGGGCCAAGGTCCGTGGCCTTGGGCTGACTAAGCTTCGACTTGATAACACTTCTGGTATTTTAAGCGTTCGCATGATTGGCGATCAGACCCACGACTATCACCAGATCGTCGCGGACATTTTAAAGCTGGACAAAGCCAAGGATTTTGCTGATCCAAAGCTAATGCCGGAGAAATTCCTGGGGGCATCCAAAGCTCCACATTCAACATACGAGTTTCAGGAGGCCGTCCCCAATAATAAAGAAAGCCTGCAAAAACAGAAGCTGAAACATAAGCAGAAGCAAAAGTCGGACAGGGAGAAAGATATAAAATCAGGCTTATATCAAGGCTATGCATTAAATTCGTCCACCAGCATATACTGTGACAACTTCTGCTTTGGCCTTACCCCCGGCGCTTATCCCGTCACTAACGGATTTAGCTTCCAAGCACTTGATAACACATCTTCAGTTTCTCCATATCCAATGGCAAAGAGCAATAGTATCGGTGCATTTCCATGCTCACTCTTTCGATTTTCAGCTAAAGCATCAGGCGAAGCTACGAGTGAAGGGTTAGGCTCCTCGGTGATGAAACCCTCTCAGCAGCAACCAAGCTGTCCATATCACAATGAGGTAAGTGAATCTGAATTATGCGTAATGATTTTACATTAACAAAATCTGGGTTCGGAAGGACGAGGAGTTGCTGTTTGTAATACGTGCAAATCTATATCGTCTTTCCGATGGTGACTGGATGATGCGTGCCCCCGGGCGTGTAAAGATTTGGCGTCATATTGAGACAAAGAAACTTCGAGTTGAAATGCGGCAAGAACAAGTATTAAATGTCTGTCTCAATCATCTGCTGAACACGGATGTGGTGTACAGGCCGATGGACAGCAAGTCCTGGATTTTTGCCGCTAACGATTTTAGCGAGGGGAAAGGAGTTCTGGAGCGGTTCACACTGCGCTTCAAGAACCAGAATGCGGCGCAGGAGTTCATCCGTGCCGTGATGAGTGCGGTCAGTGGTACTGCTCAAGCGGTAAAAAAGAAGAGCACCAGAGTACAGCGAAGAACAAAGAAAGGAATGGAAAAGATCACGAACTGAAACGCTTTCCTCACTTCTAATTGCTGATGATTATACACCAATTTTTCAAACCTATTGCCTATATTCCTAAAACTTGTATATATTTACATAAATCAGAACAGTCAAAATGACTTGACCAATATTTAATAAAAAGTCCAGTTTCCAGATACATTTATTTTTTAACTAACTTGCAATATTTATGTTAAAGTTGGCTGCCTAAAGGTAACATTTTTTACTTATATTTGTTCACAAGGTTTTTGAATTTTTTTTTCATGTATTTAAATATATAAGTCAGTTAATATATACATATGTATATATCGCACTTGTTTTCAGAAAATCATCCTCTGTGTTATAACAGTTAATAAGTATGGACAGTGCCAGCTATCCATCCCCATATAATACCTTATATGCCCATTTTTTAAAAAATATAAGTATTTTTTCCCGTCCAAGCAGTCGGTTAAAAGTGTATCGATGAAATATCTTATTTTGTTTCTAATATCAAATGGTTACAAAATATTTATCACTCGGATAAAAACGATATATTGAGTATTTTTGGTATTTTTTATTTAAATAAATTTTGGTTTATAATCTCCAAGCACCAATTTGTTTTGTTAATGTTTAACATTTATAAGATGTTTATAAAGAAGAAATTAAAAATTTCAAGAATTTTCTTTTATAACGATCATGTTAATTAAGACAAATAAAGATATGAAATTGTTAGATACATAGATTTCAAATTGTGTCACATGAGTACGCGAATTCGCACGCGTGTTAGAAACAGCATATTTAAAAATAAAAGCCTTTTAAATTAGCTATATTCGATTTATCGGTTATCAAAAGTAACACGATATAATATTTTGTTTCAAAAATATCGATATATAATTTGATGTATGTTTCACATCCCTAGTCGATAGTGTCATCTTTCGACAACCATTTTGGCGTGTGCAAAAGGGAAGCCGACGAAAATTTCAACAGCAAGCAGCCGAGTAGGAAGCGTTGAGAAAAGCAGGTAAATTTTTACAGCAAATTTTATTTGTTACTGCTACTGTCGAACATAGCCACAATTGCTTTCGCGGCCTCTAATTTGCGTGTGCCTTACGGCCTTTTCTCGTTTTCGTTCAGCACGCCGGCATCACAGCAACAACTTTTACGGACAAGCGCTAACGCAACTACGAAAAAAACATGTCTGACGAAAAGAAAGGCGGTGAGACTGAACATATTAATTTGAAAGTCCTCGGACAGGACAATGCCGTCGTGCAGTTCAAGATAAAGAAGCACACACCTCTAAGGAAACTTATGAATGCCTACTGTGACCGTGCCGGGCTTTCCATGCAGGTGGTGCGCTTCCGTTTCGACGGTCAGCCCATCAACGAGAACGACACTCCGACCTCGCTGGAGATGGAGGAGGGCGACACTATCGAGGTATATCAGCAGCAGACTGGTGGCTCTATAAATATTCTTAGTTAAGTTAGTTACAGAAGATTTTATATTAACACGAAAACATGATCCACAACACGAAAAATAACAACAGAAAGATTTAATGTAAACCAGAGTACTCCTCGTACTTGAGAAAAACATTGTTCTGTACACAACACAAAACAACATTAAATAAACAAACTATTGTACGAAATGGGAAATAAAGCATTTTATAAACTATACATTCAGTCTTTTAGTAGTGAGCATGATCGGGTAGCATTTTTTATCCCTCTAAAGCCGGTGTGGATTTCCCGCTTTATATCCCTCTTTAGACGCATACAAACACACATGACCGACGTGCATCGCAACGGGGAAGAGGTGCGCCGGTGTGTGTGAGTCCAGGACGGGAACCTTCTCGTGTGTGTGTGAAAATTGGTATACACACATACACAACCGAAACAAACAAACTTTGCAGGAGAAGTATATTATCATGTACACCGCTATATCAGTTAAATAAGAGAACATTACTTAAGGTTTTACAATTTAAAATCGAAATGACATAATTGCGTGGAACATTCTGATGGAAAATTGCATAGCGGTAGACATAACCTCAAACCAGAAAGCGCTATTTCAGCAGAAACCACACCATGTATGTACCTACGAATTTACATGGAAGTAGCACTACATGATGATTGTGTATGTATACTATAATGCCATTTAGTTCGTCAACATTCACTGCGGTACAGTTTTGTCAAAGTCATTTTTGGTATACACACAAACTTACGCATACATACATATATACAAATGTACATATGTATTGTACCTCTCTGAAAAAATTCTTCGAAATCCTCCGCAGGGAATTATTAATACTGCTTTTGTACTCTATTATAATGTTTTCAGAAGGTTGCATCGCGGCATTTTCTAACGGAGTCCATTTTCATAAGTATCAACAGCCGATTCGATCTAGGTCAGTCCGGCTGTTCTGTACACCCATGTAGTCTCTTCGTACAAGTAGTAAAAGTAAAAGCATACATTTTAGCAGGAATTGCTTTGTTTATAAAACAGTAAGTAAAGTTTTTAATTTGTATTTAACATTTAATTTTCAATAAATTTATTTATTTAAATTTAATTTGTCAAAGCTTGAACAATGCTACATTATGCTATTAATTAAAAAATTTATTTTACTTAACAATAAAACAATTAAAATCTTTTTAGAAACAAACATCAGCAGTTGTCATGTTTATTTGAAACAAGAAATATAATAGCATTGTATGTACATATTGCATTTTTTTAAAATTAACTGAAGAAAGGCACCATTTCCCGCGCATGTAAATGTAAAAATCTTTAACCAGCTTACACCCAATCCTTGGGGTTCTTCAACACCTTCATGAGCTTGCCCTCCTCGGACTTGGCTTTCGGCTCGTGCATGTACTCCCAGCGGGCGTGTAGGGGCAGCGACATAAGTATGCTCTCGTACCGAGCTCCGGGCGTGTACAGGCCAAATTTGGTGCCCCGATCATAAATCAGGTTAAACTCTACGTATCTGCCGCGGCGCAGCAATTGCCACTGGCGTTCATTAGTGCCGTACTCCCGGTTCTTGTGCTTGCGCACCAGCGGCACGTACGAGGGAATCACAGCCTTGGCACAGCCAGTTACAAAGCCAAAGGCCGCCTCCTGGTTAGGGGTGTCGATGTCGTCGAAGAAGATGCCGCCTATGCCACGGCTCTCATTGCGATGCTTAATGCGGAAATAGTCGTCGCACCACTTCTTGAAGCGCGGATAGTAGGTGGCGTCATGCTCGTCGCAGGCGGACTTGAGCGTCTGGTGGAAGTGGGAGGCGTCCTTTTCGTTTAGGTAGTACGGCGTCAGATCAGTACCGCCACCGAACCACCACTGCTTCTCACCGTTCGCCAGCTCCACTTCGAAGTAGCGGTAGTTGAAGTGAATGGTGGGTACGTGCGGATTGCGAGGGTGAATCACGGCACTCACACCGCTCGCGAAGAACGGTAGCTTGGCGCCCTCTGTCAGGTTTTTCCCACGGGCCCGCATTTGCTGCACGGCAGCCGGGGGCAGGGAACCAGTTACCACCGATATGTTGACGCCAGCCTTCTCAAAGACATCGCCGTCCTGCAGAACGCACGTGATGCCGCCACCGCCTTCAGCCCGCTGCCACCGATCCACCTTGAACTTTTGGCCACAGTTCTCTTCAGCCTCGAGGGCCCGACAGAACTCGGCCTGGATCTCCATGATCATCAGCTCCATGCGGTGGCGCATATTCTGCTTGTCCTCGAGTAGGACCTTCGGGTCCGTAATGGGTTCGGCCATGAACCGTGAGATGTCCAGCTTGACCTTTGTGTTGCCCTCTTCCGCAGCTGCATGGGCGTACGTGACCGATGAGAAGCTGGCCAGGCCCAGGCCGGTACCGAGGAGTAAGCCACCCAAATACCGACCCCGCGACCTGCGAACCAGTTGGAAAGTGCCCAGCGATACTAGGGATATCGTGTGTCGAAGTGCGTTCATTTTGAGCTGTGTGACTACTTTAAATTTTCAGTAAATACAACTTTCACCGTGCTAACGCACTTTGTTATCTTTTTTCGCCGGCATTTGGTGTTGCATTGTCGCTAGTGTGACCGCCTATTCACTAAGCCTTGTAAAATATACTGAATATATTATTATTACTATGTATTTTTATTCATTATACAAAATCTATTTATTATTTAACGTCAGCCTGTTAAACTAGCAATGATTTACTAGCAATATTTACACCCCGATTGAATAGCATCCAATGTAAAATGAAAGTATTTTCGCCGTTATATCCTAAATTGATTGTAAGACCTATACAACGGGTCACACTGGCTTTATATTCAAAATTACCGACAACCGAAGCGCGTCGATCGATACATACTGGCAGAATTTTTTCATTTTAAAAAAGTTGTGCTAGCCGCCGAATATTACTGTCCCAAAGGTACGTAGGTAGCGACCTGGATTAGGTGTTTTTAAATACAGGTGAAATACGCGATCCGCCTGGAGAGTTAAGCAGCAAGGACTTGCCAAACACACGCTCACACTAACACTCGATCAGCAGGCCCGTCCACAAACATGTCTGGACTTAAGAAATTCCAAGACAACGAGGCATGGCGTCAGAAACTGCGTGCGTACCTCATGACCGATTGGTAAATACCTTCAACCTCTTCTTGGATAGTGTTGCACCTATCCCATACAAAAGTAATTTATTGATTCGAATATAAACTCGATTAAACACACTTACAAAGTACAAATTGTCATATTTGGAACGCATGTCAAAAACTGAAATTAGTCTAACCGGATTAGTCTGTACGAGTCGACTAACCAGCTCCCATCTTTCAGTTCACCCAAGAAGCCAGGCAAGATCGAGGATAAGCGGTACAGCCGGGAAATGGACGGGGATCTAAGAAAGCCTTTGGAAATCAGGACTGGAATGAATCCGCCCGGGACTGGAATTAGCCAGAGAACAATTAATCTCAACGAAGACACAGTGTGCGAGGGAGCCATGGGCCACTCTGAGGACGTCGATGACAGCTTTGACGCATTTGAGAAAATGTGCGACAAGACTGGATCAGATCCGGACAGCACTCTGTTCCAGTATCTGCACAGTGAGAATAGAAGCCAGGTGGTGGCCATGGCCAAGGATAGGAGTGCCTCGACCAGTCGCAGTACGAATGATCAGATGGAAATCGATGCTCTGCGTCGCATGCTCGAGGCGGTTGGCACGGATGATATGCTGGACAACGAAAGTCCCGTCAAGGGTGTTGAGTGCACCCAGCTGGAGGATGTGGAAGCGCCCTCTCGCTTCTGGGACAACGACAACACCCTGGCAGGAACCATTGATGATTCCGTTTTGGATCCCAAGATCAAAGTATCGCCAGTAAAGATGGTTGGTCTGCTTCGCCCCTCGACCATTATCGAAGACAATGAACTAGAGTCATCAAGCGTGTCATCGCTGAACAGTTTTCTGAGCGCTCGCACCCGGAAGACGAATGCATCCAGTTGTTATGAAACAGCCACGGATAGTTCCCTAGCTAGTGGAACGCTCGTGAACGTCGATGATCTGTTTCATGCTGCAATAGCCAAGGCGAAACCACAAGGCATGTCTAAGGGGGAGGAACAAGAGCTTCTAAGCGACTTGCACGGAAGCCTTAGGGAGCTGGCGTTGTCCCCTAAGGAGCTGCCAGAGGAGGCAAAGGATCAATCGGATGATGTACTAGATGACACAATTATTGAGTTATCCTCCGATGATGATGAGGAGGTCCAGGTCGTTTCAGAAATCAAACAAGAGGTCTTAACTCGCCTTACAAATGTCCAGGTGGATGAGACCATCGAAGAAAATCAAAAGGATGATAGCAAGGAAGACAAGGAGAACGTCTCGTTGCATTTCAACGATACGATGGAGGAAATTCAGTACATGATGGAAAAGGGCATGGAGTATATAAGCAGTGGAGTTCCATCACTCGCCGCTAAGCCCAAGAGCCCGATGTTTCCCAAGCAAAACACATTCGTGGTGTCACCCAAGAAAATAGCAAAATCACCAGTAGCCCGTTTTTTGGAGCCATCTTTACCGCTGCGTGCCAATAACAAGCCAAAGGGCTTCGAAGCCTCGCCTAGCAAGGGCAAGCCCATCCCCAAACATGACCTCAACATGGAGTGGACTAAGAAGAAGTTCTTTGGCGCGCAATCGGGTATTCCTCAGCTACGCAATATTGTCAGCCCCATTCGCGCATACACACAGAAATCGGGCACTGCTCCTCTGATGAGCCTGTTTCGTCCAACCAGTACCGATATATTCAGTACTTTAGCCATCAGTGAGCTGGAGCAGGAATCCCGATTGTGCCAGCTGAAGCCCATGTCCAACACGGCGGCCAGCTGCTCAAAGGCGAGCGGTACTAGTGACCTTATCAATGGCATTGACTCCTCCGCCCATGTGCTGCCAAAGAAGGCTTATATATCTTCGGAGATTAAGCACGTAAGTCCGAAATCAATTTGAATTGCAATTTCCATTCTAAATTAAGTTTTTTGGTTTGCAAGAAGAGTATTTGAATGTCGTATTTCGATAGTTGTTGTAGTTGGAACTTATATTAACTTTATATTTTGCAGGTGGTCGATGAACGCACTCCCATCCCTATGCCTAGTGTGCCACAGATTCAAAAGTATCTAAACTCGGCAGTGGAACCGACTGTGCTCCGCCACGATGGAAAGATGAAAATGCCCAATGCACCAGCCGATAGAAAGCCATCCATATCATCATCGCACATTCCACGCCGCGCCAATCACAGCCTTGCGGATCTATCGCTCGCCTCCGGTGACGTTTCCCTGTATACGATCAGAGATGCCCAGAAATTCTAGGCCGCTAAGAGGAAAAATCTAAATGTGTTAGGGTTTATATTGGAGCGACAAATAAATGTATTTAACTAGTGCTAGTAAATGCCAACGTTTTCATTCTCGATGTGCCGTATGTGTATTACTGAGGTCCCTTCCAGGCGCGGTTCACCTTGGACTCAGACGGCCTGGTTAGCTCTGTGCAGATGTACCGACCTACTTGGATGAGTTTGTCCAGATCAACGCCCGTTTGGAGGCCCATGCCATGTAGCATATAAACTACGTCCTCGGTGGCTGCATTGCCAGATGCTCCCCTGGCGTAGGGGCATCCGCCAAGCCCGGAGACTGAGGCATCCACCACACGAATGCCGTAGTCCAAAGATACCAAGATGTTGGAAAGCGCTTGACCGTACGTGTCGTGGCAGTGCACAGCCAGATCTTTAGCAGGAACAGCCTTCGTCACCTCGTCCAGCATTCGGCGCATGCTGCCAGGAGTTCCTACGCCAATGGTATCGCCCAGGGAAATCTCGTAACAGCCCATTTCGTATAGCGCCTCTACCACCCTGACCACGGCAGACGGCGGTATGGTGCCCTCGTATGGGCACCCAACAATAGTGGACACATAGCCGCGGACACGTACACCATTTTCTTTGGCTGCCGTCAATACAGGCTTAAAGCGCTCGATGGCCTGGGCAGCTGTGGCATTAACGTTCTTCAGCGAAAATGCATCGGAGGCGGCCCCAAAAACGGCCACCTCCTCGGCACCGGCCGCTAGCGCACTGTCGAATCCCTTAATATTGGGCGTCAGTACCGGGTAGCTGATCCCACGAACTTTGCTGATCCCCCGCAGCACCTCCGTGTTGTCACCCATCTGGGGCACCCACTTGGCGCTCACAAAACTGGTGGCCTCAATGGTTTTCAGTCCCGTCTCTGATAACCGATTGATCAGTTCGATTTTGGTGGCTGCCGGCAGCAACTTGGGTTCATTTTGGAGTCCATCCCGCGGTCCCACCTCCACGATTCGGACTTGGTCGCATGCTGTGGTGCTCGCAGGGCGCTGAATATTTATAATTACTTTATAAGTGTATAAAGTCGAACAATTAGATTTACCTTAGCTCTTAAACAAGCCAATGATCGACAACTAGGAATAATTCTTGCGAATTTCATTGCAAAAACTTAAACAAATAACATAAACAAAGGTTACGTATTCGATCTGCCGGAACAGCTGATGATCCAATAACCAGATCTTTTCCAGTTCGAAAATAATACGCAGCTGGGCACACTAAAACCTCGAGACATCACACTCTGGCAACGCTGTTGAAACACCTTTTTTTTTTATTAATAAGCTGTTGAAAACTGGATAAAATAATCACACAAACAAAACGATGGAACCACTAAGCGACACTTCTCCGGAGGATGAAGATGTTTTCCATTTTGAGACAGAACATTTGGCTCTTCGAGGCAACCAATGCTACGCCAACTTGTTGCGCACGATTGCGGTGTTACAGGCGCAAAGAATTTGTGTCCACAAGCAGATCGGTGAGCTGGAAGCCACCCGCAACGCATACTTGGAGAATCCACAGCTGATGCTGGACAAGCTGCGAAAAAATGAGCCCCTTGTGTCGGATAACTACATCAGTACGGCTGTGCTGCCGGAGCTACCAATGTTGGTCGCTAGGGATGAAATTAGAAAAGTCTCAAATGAGACACCGGCGGAGGCAAAAAGGTCTCTTACGCAGCCACTCGACGAGGTCAAGGACAGAAGCAACGGACGGTCGGAGAACTTTAATCGATTGTGGACCAACGAAGAGCAGCAGCGGTTGGAACACTTGCTGATCCAGTATCCCCCCGAGGATGTCGAGATGCGACGGTTTGGCAAAATAGCCAAGGCGTTAGGCAACCGCACGCCCCAGCAGGTGTTTAGCCGTGTACAGAAGTACTTCCAAAAACTGCACGACGCGGGGATGCCAGTGCCCGGCCGCATACCGAAGCACCGCAAAGCAGGTCTAAGCAAACACAAGGTTAACTTGCGCAGATCCACATTCTTTCCCGCCCACAACATATCTCTGCAAATGCCAGACGACGACTGTACACTGGACGAAATTCGCGCTTTGTCGCCCGCCACCGATATAACTATAACATCACACATCAAACGAGAAACAAAGACCGAGACTGATCCCGATATCTTGGAGGCCGGTATAGATGCGGAGGCCAAACGCAAACAGGACTTGCGTCTTATGATTCTCACCAGCATACAGGGCGAAAAGCAACAGAAAGACGCCGATGGCTATCAGCCGGATCCAATGGCACCCAAGTGCGCTGAATGCGAGGAGGCGACTGTGACAAGGACACCGTGGCGGTGTAACAGTTGCTATTGTCACCTGAATCTTTGCGGCGATTGCCTGGCCAGTCAGATAATCGAGGGTCGGTTTGAGCATCTTAGCCACGAAGTTGTCGTGGATCAGGAGACGTAATCAACCTTAAACAAATTGGTATCCTTGTGTTTTCATATTATGTACATATAAGGTTAGAAATTAAGTCAAAAGCATTCGCCTAGGTTACTCATTTAACTAAATCGTTGACATATGAAATAAGAATATAATAGAAAACATAAAGAAGTAATATAAATTGTTCAAATGAATGGTATATTTCCATTGCTGATAGCTTAAGATAAATAAATTCTACATTATATTCAACTTTGAGTGCGCACTGGTGTTGCTGCCGATTTTGGCAGGGATTGAAGCCTCTGGCGACGCTTTGCCTCTAACTCGGTGGCCAGATGCCAGGTTTCCTTGTCCAGCTCATGCTTGCCTCGGGCAATACCCAGTAGACGCGAGAGCACAAGCAAGCCATGGAGATCATTGGCACTGCTTTTCACGTTAGCCTTGCGCATATCCACAAATTCTTGCTGGATCATTTCTGTGTGCTCCTCGCTTACGCGGAACTGGCTAATCCTGGCAGTAGTCAAGTACTTGCGGAACTGCTGAAGTCGCGCAGGCTGAAGGAAGTGATGGGCAGCCTTTAAAGATTCATCAAGCAACTCCACGGCCTTGGCATCGGCATTAATGGGTACCACGAAATCGCTCTGCAACCAAGGCGGTAACACTTGGGAAAATATGTCTTAAATGATTTTGATGATTACACACTTACCGGAAGCATGCTGCGTCCTTCGCTAAGGACCAAAACTGGAATATTCGCTTGATAGTCGATCTGGTAGTACTGAAAGTCGCACTTCAACTCCTGATTATTGATTAAGTGGGCCAAATGCTGAACGGCATGGACGCCGTTGGCCTCCAACTTGCCCTGTTTCATACAAGTCTCGTCGAGCACGAGATGCGTGTGCGGGGCGAGCTGCAGAAGTCCAGATACTAGCTTATTGGTCTCGTAGTCCTTCCTGATGATCACATGTAATAGTTAGCTACAGAGTATATTTAGGTTGTCCAACTCACTTTGGGGCAAAAGCAAACGTGTTCATTGTTTCCAGAGTCATGGGCAGGTAATGGCTGGCCGGCAGCAGCAGCTCCAGCACCTGGTACAGCTTTGTGGTATAGTTCTGAAGGCACTCCCTGGGCAGATTGCATAGGTTCAGTGCGAACTTTCCAATACTCTCCATCTGGGTGCGACTGTATACCGTGGAAATCAAATGGGAGAGCAAATACTCGGCGGCCAGGTCGTCGTCAAAGAGGCAGAGTTTGAGCAGTATGCGCAGATCTTTGTGCACGGCAAGCTGGTTCGAGTGCGCCTCATCACTTGAGTCCGTTACTGGCTGTCGCAGGCTACTGTCCAGCAACGGATTGGCATGAGCTAGGGCCTGGAATCCGAATGCATGCAGGCGAGGTATGAGAAAGGGCGATGGGTGGGCAGCCTGCAGTTCACTTAAGCTTTCGTACCCCTCCATATTCAGGCATGCAGCGTCTAGAGATGGGTCCACGGACAAAAAACCTATAAAGTCCACTAGGGTGTTGAGTTGATAAGTGTCAAAGTCCTCGTAGACTTTTACCATGCAAGCCATGCTTGGGCGACTTGGCAATGGTGAGTTGAGAAGATACTCAGAGCCGAGGACGGATGAACCAGAAGATGCCATCTGCCCCCCTACCGCCTTGATCTCGTCCACACACTGTCGTTTAAGAGAGTTCTCGCCATCTTCGTCCACCTCCATGGCCTCCTCTTGAGCGTCTAGAGAGCGCTTTTTACCGGAGCTGCTAGGCTGACTGGTTGGGCTAACCCCCTCGATCTCTGGCCCGCAAAGCTTCTCGTGCTGCCTGGTCCAATCGTTCAAGCCCGGCACTGAAACCAAAAATAGGGTTCGTCTCTCGCCGTGCACATTACCTTCCGCATTGTAGTCGATCTCCTCGCCATCAGCTAGTTTCAAGCAATCCAAGTACTTTCCGTCATGGAGGCGTTTGCTACCGTCAAGGGCTTTTACCTCATAGCGCTCGAGGTAAATTTCTGGGTCCATCATGTCCTGGATCATGCCCCGGAACCGCACCAAAGTTCGATCCTTCAGCTTGTGGAGAGGCGTGTAGTTCAGCAGCGGAATCGAGTGCCATTGTTTTGAATCCTTGAGTAGCTCCTTGAGAATTGCGACGTCTTTGTACTGTGTAACTAGTTCATCGAGGGTATTCGGTAACTTCATAGCGCATGGCATTATTTAGAGAGATTAAAATTGATTAATATTGTAAACTAAGAAACAGCTGTGGTCCCGCCAAATATAGCGCCGATAGCTCTCTGATAGTCAAACACTGAATGTCGTCATCGCTTAAGGGCAATCGATAGTTTTTGTGAAATACCAAAAAATTCCAAGAGGAATTCGAAATGCGCTAAATATTTAAAAAAAGGAATCAAACAAATAACTTGAATTTGTTTAAATCAATCATTTTAAATTGATTTCTTAATAATTTCTTTATTTTCGCTCACAAACTCTTGATAAAATACATGAATTACAATATCATTTTACCTGTATTTGCACCTGTATTTGGATAATTTTCGAGTAAGCAAAATTTTTATTTTAAACGCAGCTTTATCGCTATTTGAGCCCTCAAAATTTGTTATTTAAATCTTAATATTTTCAATATTAATAAAAAAGGAAACAAAAATTGTATTTTCAATAATTTGTTAAATTTTTATTTACCAAAATAACAGTGTGTACAAATAAATGCAATCAAGAAAACGTGAGCCACGAACCGCACTTAATTTTAGCATTTGTGCTAATATGGCTATTTGCAAATGCAGCCCTAGTACAAAGAACTTTCGCCGCTTGCGCCTTACAGCAATCGATAGCTTTTGTGATTTTTTTCCAGGGCTACCAAGCCTCTGCTGCAGAACGGATGTAAAAGCGGATGCGGACATCCGCAAAAAAGTTTCATCATTCTTTCGGGCTACTCTAAGAACATGAGCAAGAAGAGCAATGTTTGGCAATTCTTTTACAAGGCCTCTGAAACAGTGGCGACCTGCTGCCTGTGTAACAGAAACTATTCGAGGAAGGGTCGTGGTACCACTTGTCTCCGTAACCACCTGAAAAGCAAACACCAAGACGAGTTTCTAACTCTTGAAGACGTTAAATTCGCAGTGAAGAGGGAAATCAACGGAAATCCTAACACAGCGCTTTTGGAGTTGAACTTGCATGTGAGTATCCGTATCCTTCAGCAGATCAAAGAATAGATGCGGTGAGAGAATTTCTGGTTGTCAAGATTAGAATCAAAATTCAATAGTAAAATATTTAGTAATACTGAAATTCAGCATGAATGCATCTTCAAAACTTAAAAGTTAATTTTAATATTTATTTGGGAATTGTTGTCAATCCGGAAAAGGTTCGTACGGTGACTTCATTACCAAGGCTATGTACAAGGATTATATTTTTATGTAACAATCATTTTATCAGATTAAGTAAACATTTTAATATTTTATTTTTAATTTAAACCGACTATTATAAAAATTTCATGAAGTACATAAAATGTATTTAAGCACTATACTAACTAAATGTTATTGATATTTATCATAACTGTTTTCCGTTTAGGAACCCGATTCAGATCCTTTGGAAAGCGAGGATTCCCTCGTAAGAGCGCGTTGTGATGAAAAACTGGCACTGATGCTTTTGAACCAATCGTTCGCGTTTATTGAAGGAGAAGGATTTATTAACTTTGTGAAGGTCCTTCAGCCAAGATATGTGATCCGTTCGAAGAGCTACTACGAGAATCTACTGTGCCACGATATATACAGGAGGATGCACGCGCACGTGAAGCAGCAGCTTGATCTCCTTGACTCCTTCTCGCTATCAACAAGTCTGTGGTGGGAAGGTGCCAATAGTGAGGGACTGCTCAGCTTGTCTTGTTCTGCTATTTCCAGGGATTTCCAAAGCCATCGATTTACGCTAAGGTGCGAAGCCCTTAACTACGACTGCCCTTCAAGGCTAGCATGTTGTATTCGGGACCTCATTCCTGGCATGGCAATAGAAGTGCCGAAGGAAAGGGTGCATTGCATCATTAGGGACGAGCCAACGGCTCTGCCGGGATCACTTCCCGACTGCAGTGTGCATCGCCTGCAAATGTGCGTGAGATTCGCACTGCAGTCGAACGAAGTACTCCAGAATTTGTCGTCGAAATGCAAGCAAATAGTTGACCACTTTGCCCATGACCAGACGGCCCATGATCATCTCAAATTCATTCAAGAGATTCACCTCAAACAAGAGGCACGCTCAATACTACCCGTTGTTCCGCTTGAATGGAATGCAACCTTTCAGATGATGGCAAGCGTGTTCAGGATGAAGGATGCACTCACTTTGTACTCTGAGGAGTATAATCTTGTTCAGATATATCCGGATGAGTGGACAGACATCGATTTGTGCAATAAGGTAATGCAGCCGTGTGAGGAAATCATTAAGATCTGGAGTTACACATCAACGTCGGCCTCATCGGTAATACCACTCGTTGCCGCTTTAAGGGATTCCCTTCGAACGGACGTGCACAACTATGTTTCCTCCGTGGTAATGTTAACAATATAACATTAATAACAAGTAAACTCTATTTTGTTTTTCATAGACTATTTGCAGTTTTGCCAGAAAGCTGCTGGAAGAGCTGGATATGAAGTTTTCACACATCACCAGCGATATTAAATATTTAATTGCCACCTATTTGGATCCAAGATACAAGCAGGCCTTTTTTACTGAACGAGAGGAGCATCTGGTGGCCAATGAAGTTATGCAGCTGCTACTTGCCACTGTTCAAGGGGACGGCAACGGCCAACCGGCATTAAAAATAATTAAAGTGTCATCCTCGTCGTCGTCTCTGAAGATGAACGAGTCCAAAATAGATAGTATTCTGGACAATATACTAACGGCTGGTTCACCTGCTAACATTCAACAGACGGCGACAACAGCGTTTGGCTCCCAATCGCAGATTAAAAATCTTCTTTATTTATACAACTCTGAGCCAAGAATTGATAGAAACATGGATCCCCTATTGTGGTGGAAGGCGAACATCAAATATAGTTCTATGTATGGCATTGTTCGGAGATTCCTGTCGGCGCCAGCAGCAAGTGCCAGCGGCGAACGATTGTTTCGGGAATCTGCACACCTGTACAGTGACATGCGAGCAGGACTGAGTCCTGTAAGTGCATCAAAAATATTGCTCCTCAAGTCTAATTACACTTCGGACAGTAAGGAGAATAATGTTTAATATCTAGACACTTTATATACATAATTAAGACTTTGAACTTAATAGCTAGTTGATCGTTTTAAACTAAATGCGTTAGGTCCTATCCCCTGTAGTCGGGATCATTGTGTTCCTCTTCATCATCTTCCTCTTCCTCTTCTTCATCTAAAACGTAATTATAATTTAAGTTTTGTTAAAAAGGTTATAAAGAAATGAATCTTACCATGATCGCGTCGCTTTCGTGTGTAAGCCCGCTTGCTGGCGACAGGCGCTTGATCAGTTTCGCCATGCAGCAACGAGTTGCGATACAAAACCAGCGGTTGCCATTCCTCAGCGCGGCTGGATGGCATACCGGGTGGAATGATCTTGTCCAGACATCCCATGATCACCTTTTTGTCCTGCTTGAGCAGCTTGTAATTGAACTCATTGAGAACCTCCAAGAACAACAGACGTGTAGGAGCTCGCACCGGATCGTCGGGCTGCTTGTTGGCAGCAAAGTAAATGCCGCCGCGATGAATGGCGGCTACCGACTCTCGATTCTTGAGGGCGTCAAACCCGAAGGTAAGTGCAAATCTTTTTGCCAACTCTTTGAGGTCGATAAATTCCTGCGAACTTTTTGGCACAATGCCGTCTTCATGCTGCTCCTGCAGGCTCTTAAAAACCGTGATAAGGCTTAAAAGCAAGGTCATGGCAAAGTTAACTTTATTTATTTCGCGAGCCTTGCCCAATGTGGCTTTAATTATGTCACCATAGTCATTGTAGCACTTAAAAAACAAACAAAAATACAGTAAATAAATACAGAAAATTATCAATACTCTAATTTTTCTTAAATCACTCACCTTGACATAATATTTGAAAATGCTGGCCGCACGCATTGTTGGTATTATGTTGTAAACAACCAACTTGCAGTAGCAAGCCAGGAAGTTACGCTTCTTATGCAGCTCCTCAATTCGAGTCTCATCCTGAGCAACATCTTGCTTAAGAGAGAACACGTAGTGCTGCACAAAGTTGTCCAAAATTAGGTGCTCATCCATTCGCGACTTGTATTCCAGGCCCCGAATATGCTCGATCTCGCTGCGGGCCAATTTATCGGAGAAAATGATCAGTAGATCGCATATGGATTGATAGGCCTGTCAAGTTTTACAATTGGAATAAGTTTTTCTCAAACAATATAAGTGCTACGAACCGCTTCTTGAATCTGCACGGTGGGTCCATCGCGAGTCAACTCAAAGCAGGCTGCCATGAAGGTGTCCAGATTATTGCGCAGCTCGGCCACCACATCGGTCACGTTCACCGACTCACAGTCATTCTCCACGTAGTACAGTCCCCAGCTAATGGAGAAGTAACAGGCCTCGATACAATACGCCAAAGCTTCGTTGGGAAGGCAGCGGTCAACGTTCTCCTTAGACTGTGCCTCCTCGACGTCTTGGAAAAGGGACTTGAACAAGTCCCAGGGATTGAGATTGTGTGACGAATACAGTATGGAAAGAACTTTGAGGGTAATGGTTATGTTATAGATGTCATCCTCGTTGGGGGTCTCCTCGCCTTTTAGTAAACAGAGAGTGTTAAGTGGAATCCTTAAAGAAATTTTCAAATATTTAACGCACCTTGTATAAGGTTTCGCCACTCTTCTATGGCGTCCTTGTACTTATTCACTGCGCCCTCGATAATGTTTGATCTGGCTATATTGCATCTCGTATAGGAGGCACTGCCTTCGGCGCAAAGGCACTCCAGCGTCTTTGCACACGTTTCCAACACTTCCCGGCCGGTGTGCATACTCATCACCTGATTGATTCTGTCCAGCAAAGCCTGGAGGTTGCCCTCCTGACGATTTGTAGTGTACAGATTCAGATCAAAGTACTGGGGTACAGCCAACAGATTGGCTAGCTTCTCGCTATCCGCTTGATATTTCTCTAGCAGCGAGGGTAGAGTCACAATGAAGTGTTCCGTTAACTTGGCTTTCTCGTCTTGAATTGCCTTGAGTTCCTTGGCACTGAGAGTGCATTTTCGATTGCTTGCTCGTCCGACGGGCACTTCTCCAGTGGCCGATTGCTTAACGCTGCTCACCATAATCTCAATAAGCGTCGATTCCTGCTTGTTGTCGAGAACCTCCTCATTGGGACCCGGCTCTTCCAGAAGCAGATCCGTCATACACTCCCAGTCCCTCACCATGTCGTTGCTATCGATAAACGAGTCAACGAGATAGGCGCCATGCTCATGCAGCTCGGATTCAATAAAGAACTGCACCAAGTCCCGGACAAGCGGAGTATTTGGCAGACGCAGTTTACCGCGCTTTGTTTTTGTCTCTTCCATGTCGGCAGTTAGATGAAATAGACGAACGTTGAGGAACTCGGCGGCAGCCTGAGCCACACCTCGATGCGATGAGTACACAAGCTCGTAGACGATTTCGCAATCTTTATCAGCCAATATCTCCGGGTGAATTCTAAAGTAAAATAAAATTAGTTACACCTTACACCATTAACTCTTTCTTTACTAACTTTAAAATACTGATGACCAACTTAACGGCATGCACCGACACCTCGAACTCCTTGTCCAGGGTCATGGCCACAATTCGGTCTTTAAACTTGGACGTGAAAAGCTCCAGCTTACCCTTAAGCTCATCTTTCTCGTACAACGGAAGCAGCGACTGCAGACAACGTAGCCGCACCTCTCCAATCTTGTCATGAAGCGTCCAGCCAATGTACTTTAAGTAGGAGTCGTCAAGGAAGTTCTGTGGATAGTTCTCCATCCAGATGCCAATTTCCGCCATACAAATGGCGCGAATGTCCGGCAGGCTGTCCCTGTACCGGTGCACGAACACAGACTTGAACATGTAGGTCAACATGCTCTTGATCTCGTCCATATTTTCCTCTAACTCGGATCGCTTCGTCATCAGCGAATCCAGGCGGTCCGAGGCTCGACGATCGCGGGACTAAAGTAAGCTGACATTAGTAAAAGAATCACGTCTTATAAACTTTATACCAGGATACCTTCACGCGTTCGGCTTCAAATTGTTTCGCCGCATTGTCAAAGTTATTCGAGACGAGCAGGGCGACATCCACTAGAGCTGTCATCAGCTTCATGGCCGCTAAGGTGGCCGTGTGGCGAAAGGCTCGCACTTGCGAATCGGATAAACCCGTGAGCAGCGAAATAACGTTGTCCATCAGAAATTGGTCGTAGATAATAGAATACTGACACTGCTTCACCAGTGTTTGCACAAAATCGCAGAAGTTATTCTTGAACTTTCGCCACTGTGTGCCGGTCATGATTAATGGATATTCGCCGCTTTCCTAAAAATCATGTAAAAATTAATATACTAATCGCAGCTTTCAAGCACCATAATACCTCGTCAAACTCTTCAGTCATACGTCTGATAATAGCTGTGTGATCTACTGGATATTGTATATCTTCAGATATCTTGCCCTTGCAGCCGCTGGCGTTTATGAAGAACTGCATCAGGGCGACCAGCGCCGTTTCTCGGTTCGTCTTGTACTGCTCAATCCATTGGTCAACAATGCTCTGGAAATCAAAGGCCCACATTAAAGGACTTTATCATGGAATTAGCGAAGGAGCCCATACCGCTATGGCGTTCTTAGAGTGCCGCACAATGTAGTACAAGCTGTTCTCGTCGGTAGTGATCTCCCGCTCGTTGTCGATACGCTCGTGGTGTCCCCTGTCCACGGGTTCTTTGCGCGGACGCTCAACCCTCTCCTTTCGTTCTCCTGGCGGTTTGCGAGTAGCGGGTGCCTTTCGCTTCCGCGCAACTGGAGCGAAAAACTCGTCCTCGTCGTCATCAATTATAGGTGGCTTGTCCCGCACTCCGCCCCGGGCCCGTAACCTGGTCATACGCTTGGTGGGACTATCTGCATCTGAAGTGCTTTCATTTAATGCATCGCTGAAATAAACAACAGAAAAAGATCTTAGACGAAGCGAACGAAAAAGCTTGTACAAAGAGGTACTGTACCTGTGGAGCTCCTCGTATTCCGGAGGAGGATCATCCATCCGAATGCGCTTTCCCCCGCGGCGCGCCATCATTTTATGTATGTAAAAGCTTTTTTACTACTTTAAATTGTTTTTTAACGCAAAATTTATAACAAATTATGTCCAAGGCGTACTTATAACAAACAAGAGATAAAGATGATACATCGGAAAATATATCGATAGACGCAATATTGCGATAAAACAGTGTTGAAAAATACAAAAAATAAAGACCCTTAATATATCTCACTAAACAAAATATATGTGCGTCAAATATATATTTTATTATGGCGACACACAAAATACGTTAAAAAATTGATTTTTATTTATTTATTTTTATTTTGTACACTGTTAGCAGAAGTTACAAACTTAGGCTACAGGACGGGATCGGCCATAACAGCGGAGATTTTCGGCCGGAATAAGGTTTTCATAATTTGCTTAAATAAATATATTAACAAATTAATTGCACATGGATTATTTACAAGTAACAAATTACAGATATTTTATGAGGAAAGTGATAGGTTTATATACGATGCAAAAGATTTGCTGATTTAAGGAAGTGGGAGATAGATATCTTTTCGTTGGTACAAAATTTACTTTTATTTAACACTAACAACAGTAAAAAGTGGCTAGGTTGGCAGCCCGGTCGCATCGTCATAGACATATCGATAACGGCGTCCGCTGCTCCAAAAGAGAAGAAGAAGAACCAAAACATTATTTTAACCAAACAACTATTAAGCGATTAAAAAAAAATGACCGACTTCGGTGGAGATTCCGGTGGCAGGCTTAAAGGCGTGACCATTGTAAAACCGATTGTTTACGGAAACATAGCGCGCTCTTTTGGCAAGAAACGAGAGGAGGACGGGCACACGCACCAATGGAAGGTTTACCTGAAGCCTTATCAAAACGAGGACATGTCTACTTACGTCAAGAAAGTGAATTTCAAACTTCACGAGAGCTACGCAAATCCGAACAGGATCGTCGTCAAACCGCCTTACGAGATCACAGAGACTGGATGGGGCGAGTTTGAAGTTGTCATAAAAATCTACTTCAATGACCAGTCGGAGCGACCGGTGACGTGCTATCACATCCTCAAGCTCTTCCAGTCGCCGGTTGTCGATGGTGAGCTCAACTCCAGCACCACAATGGACACAAAAAAGGGTCTTGTATCGGAGTCCTACGAGGAAATCGTTTTCCAAGAACCCACACAGATCATGCAGCACTACTTGCTTCTCTCGGAACAAAGCGCCAATGGCCTGCTAACCCACGACACTGACTGTGAGTATTCATATAAACCATTTAGATGTCGTATTCAAAATGTATTTCAATTTAATATTTTAATATATGTGTTTAGTTGAGGAAAAGAAGACAAAAACTTTGGATAACATTGTCAATGTAAAACAGAAAGTAAAAGTGGAGATCGTCACACTCAAGGACAAACTGAAGCTGGCACGAGAAACTATATCAAAATTTAAGGCGGAACTGGCTAAGGTTCAAAAGCCACCTGCATAATACATGCACAAAAGTCAGGACTTTCATATACTGTATTGATAATTATTTCTAGGGCAAATATAAATGCGAAAAATCAGAATCTTTGGCAATTTTAAAAGCATGGCAGCGCCGGGCAAACACTGTTTTGCACTGGACGCAGTTCCTCGATGATTATAGAATTTCGTTTTTAGTTTTTTGAAAATCGGAATATTATATAAAATAACTGCCAGAGAAACGGTTGTTAAATGTAGAGGTCAGTAATTATCTATGACAAGTAAGTATGTATGATCAGTTACTAACTTTGAACACTAATAAACTAAATAATCTAAGATTTGGCCGGCAAAATTCACTTTATTCCGGGGATGTTAGAACCAGTTGGGAATCATATGCACACATGTGCGAGACTTGTATTTGGACAAATTTAAGAGGAAGCAATTTGAGTAAAACTATGGAGTTATTCTTCTATGTAATTTTACTAGTATATAAGTTGGAGCATGGCGAATCGGTGGAGTATATATATACATACATATATATAGTTGCCATAGGAACGATCAAAACTTTTTAAGATACAAAATTATAACTTTACCAGTTTTCAATAGATTTTCATCAAATTTGATATGTAGCTATTATATATTAATCTAGAATTTTGTGTAACATTTTGCCATGTTTTTGAAAATAAAATAAACTACACTGTTTGGAACTAGTTTTCACTGCTTGCCCGTACAAAATCTGCAATTTCATTTTGAACTGCTTGCTTTACTTGGGATCTGCTTGACATCCTTAGTATATATATTACCGAGAGTTATCGATAACACGATAGAAGAGTTATCGAAAAAAGTCCATCGCTATCCGTGGAATCGATTCCAAATTGTTTATTTGTCCGTGTGTATGTGAGAGACAAGTGATGCGCGTTCGCCGAGAGTGAAAATTATTAACTGCGCAAACGCAAACGCGTTTCCTGGACAAACCGATCCAAACAAAGGCCGAGTTGGTCACAGGTGAGGCGAACGCGCTCCTATAGCCCTTTAGATTCAGGACTAAATAATATTTTCAGCACCCCTCAGCCTGCACCACTGCATCAACCATAATGTCGTCGTCGTTGCTGATATCCTCGCTGCTGCTTGTTTCGCTGCTGACGTCGCGGCTCGGAGCAATTCCGGTTTTGCCCCCCGCTTATCCCGCACATCCCTCGCCAGGCGTGCGAATTCTTCGCGCGCCTGAATCACTGGTGGCGCCCCTGGGAGACGAGGTGGTGCTGGAGTGCGAGACCAGTTTGCAGCCCGAGCGCTTCGAATGGAGCTTTCGACGCTGGAATGCCACCACTGGCCGTGGGTCTCCAGGAGCCGGGTTCAAGCACCTGCGCACGGGCACGGCCAAGACGAATGTGACCCAGGATGCGGCCATCTCCCGCCTGAGGATTCTCGTCCGGCCAGACACTCTAGGCGAGTACAGATGCATTGGCTGGATCGGTCCACTGGTAGTAACATCCACCGCAGCCCGCCTTGAGCTGGCCAGCACTCGACTGGTGGGCCCAAAATCCTCTCTGCAATGGCGTGTGTCCACTGGGAACTCGGTGTTCTGGTCCTGCGGCCAACAGGTTCAGTCGAATCCTGCGGCGAGTTGGACCTACTATCAGAATGGTGTGGAAATTAGGCCGGAGTATGTAGCAAGCAATGGCAATCTGGTCTTGAGCAATGTTTCCGCAGAGTCAGCTGGTACGTATGGCTGCCAGGCCACGAATCCGGCTTCAGGAGCAAGAACGGAATTGCCGAGCTCCCTGGAATTGCAGATCATATCATTTGAGAGATCACAGAGCCAGGCACCACACATTCTCAACGGACAACCGGCCGGATTCCAAACTGTTACTGCCCGGGAAGGAGGCACCGTGCTGCTGTTGTGCCCTGGGATTGGTTCTCCAGCTCCAACTGCCATTTGGAGCAGTCCCGATGTCGCTGGAGTCATCAATAATGAGCGCACTAAAGTATTGACTCATTCTTTGGAAATAACCAACGTTCAGGTTCGGGATGCAGGTACATATATCTGCTTCCTGGACAACGGCATACGCCCAGCTCTGAAGCACTCCATCCGACTGCGGGTAGAGCAGCCGCCGCAGATTGTGCGTTCACCTTGGGCGGATCTCACCAACGAGGGCGAACGCATTCGGCTGGACTGTGAGGCGACAGGAGTGCCAGCTCCAGAGATCTACTGGCTGTTAAACGGGGAGAGCAGCATCTATGACACAGAGGCTGAGCTGGCGAGCAATGGTTCCCTGGTGCTACACAGTGTCCTTAAGCGGCATGCCGGCTATGTCCAGTGCTTTGCCCGGAACACCCTAGGCGAGCATAGTGCCGGAACGCTGCTGCAGGTTAATCCGAAGCAGATCCAGAGTGAGCCCCGTGAAGCGGCAGTAGGATCTGCTCACCGTTCTCATTCAAAGCCTAATCACAGCCGAAAGCAACAACAGCAGATGATCCCACCGTCGCCCCCGAATGTGACACGACTTTCTGATGAATCTGTAATGCTCCGTTGGCTAGTGCCCCGCAATGATGGGCTGCCCATCGTCATTTTCAAAGTGCAGTACCGCATGGTTGGTGAAGGCAAGCGGAAAAACTGGCAGACAACTAACGATAACATACCTTACGGGAAACCCAAATGGAATTCGGAGCTGGGTAAGAGCTTCACAGCATCGGTGACGGATTTGAAACCTCAACACACTTACCGGTTTCGCATCATGGCCGTTTACTCCAACAACGACAACAAAGAGAGCGTCACCTCAGCCAAGTTCTACCTGCAGCCAGGAGCAGCTCTCGATCCAATGCCTGTTCCCGAACTGCTGGAGATCGAGGAGTACTCAGAGACTGCTGTGGTGCTGCACTGGCGTTTAGCCAGTAATGCGGATGAGCATCTTATCACAGGATACTACGCCTACTATCGCCCATCATCTTCGGCAGGAGAATATTTCAAGGCTACAATTGAGGGAGCGCAGGCCAGAAGCTTTAAGATCACCCCACTGGAGACGGCTACCATATACGAGTTCAAGCTGCAATCCTTCAGTGCAGTGTCAGCCTCCGAGTTTAGTGCTTTAAAGCAAGGGTGGACCCAACGTCCCAAGACCAGTACCACCGAGGAACCCATCTTACAGAAAGGCGATCGAGATCGGGATACGACCACGCCCAGTCACAACGAGACGTTTAGCATGAGTCCCATGCTCACCGGCACTATTGGCGGCGGAGCAGTGCTCATTCTGTTACTGGTCAGCACTTGTTTGTGTGTGTGTCGGCGGAGGAGCTCTCGTGTCCGTGGCGGCAGCAGTCAGAACAAGCCACGAATGGCGAACTTAAGGGAGGATTTTGTGGCTCTGGGTAGCAGCTGCTCGCCCAGCAAACAGCGGCAGCGGACACGACACATTCACATCACTCTTAACCCACTAGCCCAGCAACAGCAGCAGCAGACGCTTGAGGAGAAGAACGACACCGACCAAGACATGGCGTACTTTCAGTGCCAGTCTAGCTACGACTATGATCCTGGCCTGAGGCGGATGTCCTCATCCTCGTTGCGCCGTTCTCAACGCACGCTGGAACGTGCTGGGGGAAGCAACGGATCCAATAGCGGCAACAACAATCATCTTAACCAATCCGCGGAGGTGGGTCCGGTGGACCTGTCCACAAGCAAGGCAGGACGAGTGCTAATGAAGCGACCCCGGCTCTCCAGTCGCTCGGAGAACCTTTCCTCCGGCAGTCTCAATAGCGTTGGCGTGTAAGCGCAATCTCGTGATCTTTAGTCTGTACATCCCTACGTCCGATGTGTTATGCTATTCCTACCTCTACCTCTGTGTTTTATCATCTTCCCACTTTAAATGACGAAAGTACTTATACGAATACCAGATAGACTTAAGGTACTTATTAGATATTATTAGTTTTACTCGATGCAAGGATCGATTAGCAACATAGCATTACGTCCACTCTAAGCTAAGTCTTCCATATTCGAAATAAGAACAACAAATCTGTACTGATAGCTTCCTAATGACCTTACATAAAAATGATAATAAAGCTCTTAGCTTCTTTTTTAAACTTTATTTTGCGGTTTCAATCAATTTTAAAAAACAAATATATATATATATATATATATATACTCCAGAAGAATTCAGTTTGCTAAAGTGATTATTATTAAATTATTTGGAAAAATACTCAAATACATAAAATATGCGAGGTAAGGATTATCATTAAGATTATTTTTACTTTATACATCTAAAAATTGGTATTATTATGACCGTAGCTGCTTACGAAGTAAGCCGTTATCAGAACGCGTCCGTTAAAATAGAACAGTAGCAATGAAACACGGACGGAATATACAATTAAACACAATGAGCTGTGACATTCTAAGTGTATTTTGTAAAGTTTTTTTTTCGGTTGGACAGATTTTTTAAACACAGCCACGTTAACTATTCATTGAAATAATTGTTTTGAAATCCAAAAATTTCAAAAACTGGATTTAAAATAGTATCGATATTACGCCTTTTGAAAACATCGAGATTATCGATAATGCTATCGATGGTTGGCCCGAAGGTAAGTCATATTGAAAAATAATATCGATATTACGCCTTTTTAAAACATCGAGATTATCGATGGTGATATCGATGGTTGGCCAGCTCTATTAGGTCGTGTCGTCAAAATTTTTATTAGTAAGCGTATTATTTTTTGTATTTTGGCCCAGAAATAAGACAAAACTGTTAAAAAGGACATCATTTAACCTACACCGAAGGTAAGTGCCCATGCGGCACCCATAAAGTTGTCAAGAAAATGTGAATCAACTCGATTGTATTTACAGAGCCAGTCAGGTCGCAAGACCTGGGAACATAACAAAAGAAATTCTAAAATTGCAATCGGGCTTGTGACGGCGGCAGAATGTCGAATTTTTTCGTGGGCCAGATAATAATGGATGCGCAGCGCATGGCCAGTCGGGTCAAGGACCTGGACGCATTGGGAACAGCGCTGCTCGAGGAGGCGGAGACGAACAATAGGCTGGTGGAGAGTTTGCGACAATACCAGGACGACATCGAGTCGCTTAACCGGATCTCGAATAATAAAACGAATGCCGACATGGTTAATAGAATCCAGCAGCAGAATATCAACAGCTCGGAGATACTCAAGGAGAATCGCGAGCTGAAGATCTGTATCGAGGACTACGAGCGAGCTATGGAGCTGATGATGCAGAAGTACCGCGAGCACACAGTGTCCAAGGTGCTGGACAGCAAGTTCAACTTCAAGGAGCTGTACAACGAGCGCATGTGGCAGGTGATCCGTGAACAGCGCGAGAAGATCAACGAGATGGCCGCCGTAATGCAGCGGGCGGCTAGCGTGGACGATGGGATAGTGCAGCGAGAGCTTCAGACTATCTCGCAGCTACGGCTGGAGAATGAGACACTGCGCGAATTGTTGCAGATATCCAAGCAGTACGGTTCTGCCCAACGCCCCATTCGTGAAAGCGACCACCTGCTGGAGGAAAAAGCCGTGCAGACGGATAGCATGGCAGACGACTCGGCTGACGATCTGTCCATTTCGGGCGCCTCGGTCGAGAATATGAATAACAACTCTGTTATCCAGATGTACAGTAGTCCGGAGCCAGCGGCGAAGGCATGCAACAACACATTCAACACTGCCCCGAGTCAGAGTCAGAATCAAGGTCAAAACCAAACCCAGGCACAGCCTGCGTCTACGGTGCTGCTGGAGACGGTGGATCAGCCTGTGGTCAATGATAACAACAATGGACCTGCAGCAGCCAACTCGCATCCGCCACCGCTGCTGCCGTCAGTGACGACGACGCCAAACGACTCTGGCGAGGAGCTGGCGGCTACACCGCCCACTGCTTCCGATGTCCCCAGTGCAACATGATAGGCAGTGGTGCTGCAACCTGCCATTGTTAAATCATATACGCTCTTCATTTCGCTCGGGCCGCTGTTGCATCGTATTTACTCACCCAATTCACAAAACAGCTCACACATGAAGAGGGGAACACACATTCGTCATCGGATAGCCTGCATTAGGACATAGCGATTAATAATCTCTAATTTATTCATATGCATTGGAGCATAATGTCTATATAAACATATTGTAAACAATGAAAATGGAGTTAATCATTAAAATGAAGGCGAAACCCACTCACACACAAACACAAACGAATGTAATGTACACCACGTACTCTGTCGATTTTATGATTTCTAAATAAATTCCATAACAAATCCAGAACTAATCAGGCATTTTTTTATGAAGCAAACAATTAGCTATGTATATTGTTTGGTATATTGCAATTAATGAATTTGTATGATAAAGAGTAAGATAGGCACATAAATACAGTAAAAGCTAATGTTTAATGTGTTCATTTAGATCGATTCTCTAGAGCTAACATAAATGTAAATAGGAAATACAGCCTTGAAACCAAAAAGCTGGTGTTTGGATTGAATTGCAATCGTAGAACATATATGTATGTGTATATATATATTTAAATAAACATATAAATTTCTTTTTTAGAGTTTCAATTTTATTTAAATATCTACTTAGATGACGAAAAAATAAAACTTATACAAGTTAGCAATTTGAAAATAGAAACGAAACGAAAATAAATATATACAGTAAATACTATATAAAAAATCAATGGTTAAAACTGTGAAAAAATAAATTGATGAAAATTCATTTTAATTTGCTTTCATTGGACAAACAATTAAAAAAAAAACGTTTTTGCTATTATCATAATTACAATTTTATATATCTTTATAGTAGCAGATTTTTTAAAAATCAAAATCTAAAAACAATATTTTTATTAATAATATTCCCTATAATCAAACGCTAATTTGTTAGTTCTTTCTCTTATTTACTTCAGCGATTACAACAATTTGAATCGGGAATGGGATTATTTTTAATCCAATAAGTTTTTTTTATGGGTTTCGCATTTTCTACTAAAACGTTAACTATTTTTCTATAGGCAATAAAAACATATTAGATATGTGTATGTTGGAATCGTAGGCGAATTAATCTATCACCTGCTATTTCATTGTCAAGGATCTAGGGTTCAGATTTGAATTTTAATTTATTTAGTTTTCTTCCTTAATTTTGGAAAACTTTCAAAAGGTAAATACTAAATTTGTTCTCCAGTCTTTTGAGCTATTAAAACCTCAAAAACATTGTCGAGTTTTCTTCTGCCGATTTGATTCTCTTCGGTGAAATCTCTTAAACAAAACAAGAGCAAAATTTTTTTTACAATACTACAATTGGCTCCGGCGGTTAGTTTAAGCTTTTCGAAAAGATTTAAATTTAGTTTCTCGTCGATTTTCAACGCGTCCGCAAGCCAAAAACAGTGCCCGGAATCTGCGCCGTGGTCGCATGGCAGCGCGAAAGAGATGCAGCTATCCGCTATATAGGTATTTCGAGAGCTCGACGACCGGCGGTTATATTAAAGATATATAAATATATGTATGCACGGGCTGGTGTGCGTGCGAGTGATTCAAATCCAAAATTCAATTTGGAAACAATTGAAAATATTGTAAACAAATAATATTTGGTAATACCCCCGAGAGAGCGATTAATCCATCGATGTATATATTTCGAAAACGTCTTGCATTTGAAGTCCACTGGGATGATTTGTGTGTGTGAAGTGCTCTGCCATTCAGAAAGAAAAAGAACACAATGCTATTTATAAAACACAGCTAATTTTTGGCCGTAAATGTTGTGGATTAAGTGTGAATATTCCGAAATTGACACAGCGTTTAAAAATTGAGCTGGGATTGCGATTAAAGATACCAAAAGGATAATAAGGATTTAGGATCGCGAAATCAGTTCTATTTGTCAGACGCACGGTACGCCAATCCGGACGGTTACGCAACAACCCAGCTGAAATCGCTGTGGTAAACGAAAAATTCCGCACGCCTCGCGACCAACATCCACATCATATATCACTCACATTGCCCACAGCGAGCGGATCGTCGATTCTTTGGAGCAAGAGTGGATGCGGATGCTGGCCTGGTCCTGGTCGAACTCCCACTCGTCCAGCCGCTAATTATTCTAAATGCGGAAGTATTTCGTGTGAGTAGTCGCTGGGCGTTCTAAATTAAGTCGAACATTTTGCAAGTGTCGTCCGTCACCGAAAAAAAACGGAACGACACAGATGAAAATAGGTTAAAACGGTGATAATTATTTATAAACGCACTAGGGATTTGCAGCATCGAAAAAAGAGCGAGTGAAAGAAAGTAAAGAGGTAATGATAAAGAATTGTCTCCCTTACCTCTCTCTTTGGCCATTTCCTTGGGCTGAGTTATTTATTTTTGCTAAAAACATGCGCAGGCTGAATGAAATCGCCTGCGCAAATTCCACCTGTGATAATCGCATGCATTTCTCTCTCTCTCTATATATCTCTCTTGATGCCTCTAAAAATATATTCTATACATATTTGTTATTGTTTATATTTACAATAAAATATTGTTTATATTTACAATAAAAAATGGTTTATATTTACAATATAATTAATTATTGGTGAAGTTAAAGGTTTATTCTTTGGAAGTGAAATGGTTAACCAAGCGAAAACCAATAACAAACATAAGTTTTGCATTAAGATCAGTTTAATAAATTTATTCGTAAAAAAAATTAGGTACCCGTTTGATTTACTTTTTTTTTTTTAGAAATTATAATTTTTATCTTTGGTTTTGAGATCTTTAAATTCATAGAAAACCCCTTTATAATATTAAATATTAGCAGGATATTTTCCTCCCGTGAGTTACCGCTACTGTAATTTATTATAACTAAAAGGAATTACAGTCGAGTCCCGATAATTCGAAATGGCAAGGGGATCACTTTTTTTACGAATTAGACGGGAATTCGATTTATCGAGATTTCTATTTAAAGGGGCTCAAAAATGAAAGAGTCGAATAAACGGGGTACTTACATTTCACATCATGTTTACATATGTGTTTAGCTTTATTAAAATTAAACAAACATAATAAATATGTACACATTCATGTGTACGTGTTTCAAATTAAAGGAAAATTAAACAAAAAATTAACAAACAAAATTAAGCAGAAACATTAAATTATTAAAAACGAAATTTCAAGCTTTAAAATAATTGGTAATTTTTGATTGCTTCGTGTTTTTTTCTTTTACTTTTTCCATTGCGTTTTCTAAACCTATTAGGTTGTCACACACTATTTGGCACATCATGAGTCGAAAAATAATGTTTAAGTTGAGGAATTAATGCTCTGGTTTGTAAATTCTATAAAATTTCTTCTCCGTTCTGATTTCTGCAAAATCTAACAAAATATTTCGCATCGCATTACGATTTATAAGACGTTTCGAAACAAAATTACTATTTATAAGAGGTTCAATATTCTTTGCGTTGCGCCAAATACTACGAATTAACGAGGGGACCAAAATGTATGGAATTTTTACGAATTAACGAGTTTTTTTCAAGGGGACAGAATTTTTTACGAATTATCGCGATTTTCGATTTAACGGGGTACGAATTATCGGGATTCGACTGTACAAAGTGTTATTAAAGACTAAAGAGTAATAAACAAAAAAAAACCTCCACCTATTCCACTCAAATCAAATAATAACTATATATATCACCAAAAATCACGGCCTACTCCACTCAAAACTTATAACGCATTTTGTTTTAATTCAGTTCCGTTGCTATTTAACGAAAAAGTTAGACAGAGAGTAATATTTAAAAAATGTTTAAATGTTTAAATAAGTACTGTAGGTACATTTTAAACATAAAATGTCACTTAGACCGTCTACAAACATATCCATTTGATATCCCAAAGAAAATTACGATTATGTTTAATAATTTTATGCACCATCTTTCTTCTTTTGAGTAATCCTAAAATAAAATAGCTTTAGAATGTTTTCGTAATCAAAGACATTGATCTACATCAAACTGTGCTACATTAATAAATATAAATAAATCGAGCGTTTAAACAATCTTGAAAAGTATTTAATTTAAAAGTAATGGCCAAGTAAAAAATAAAAAATACACTTGGGTCGAAAACTAAATTCTACTATTTGATGAACACATGTACCATGTAGAAGTGTACAACATTCTTTTGTTGACTTGGATTAATGCCAGAAATTCCACTGTTTTGTACAGAACCTGTCAATTGGGAATATTGTTCGTGCGAATAATATATGTATATAGCGATCAAATATACAACCAAACAAAAAAAAGGAAATAAATCTAATGACCAAGTTCTTTTTACAAAAGTTCACGTGAAGTCGAACAATTGTTCTTTTTTGCAAGGAATTATGTGTAATATACTATTTTTTTTATCTGGTTGACAAATATCCGATTTCAGAAAACGAAAAGCTGCTAAGTTGTACGAGAACAGATGCATCATCTATATCCATCGCTGAAAGGCGATCAGCTCTGCCCCCTCGGCTTTCATCCACAGACTCGGTATCCAACGCGATGTAAGCGCTGTTTCCGGGACTACAAGGAGCATGGAGCGCGGAGGGCCGGCGAAGAAGTGGCCGCTTCCTCGCCCAATTTATCCGATGCCCAGAATTCGCGGTGAGTGATCAGCTAATGCTCGCATTCTGGGGATCTAATCAACACTATCACCTCAGACCCAGTTCCCGCACGTGGACATCAACGCAGAATCTTACCAGCGCGAATGTAACCAACGGCAATGATATAGGTGCGAATCGAACAGATCTAAAACGAACCGTCCAAACAGTAACAAGTATTTAAATTTAGTTGGAATCAATGTTGCTTGCCCTTGTAGTAAGACAAGTTTTCAGTTACAGTGAATGGACAAAGTATATACATACATATTGTTCATTATCATCAGGTCTTTCCGTCGTCTGTTTAAGAATCGTGAAATTGCTTACATCTTCATTTATGTATCTTAAAAGGCATGCAGAACATTAAGTTTTATAATACAATGAATCTACAAGGGTATACCAGCTTCGGCATCCGATGCTAGCCTTCCCTTTTTTGTTATTATTTACAATAGTTTAGTTTTGAAAGCTGTAAACTAAATCATACACTCTATGTTTATGTCTTGAGTGCATACAATGGATTGATCCATTGATTTTCTTTAGTAAGAGCTAAATCTTAGCAGTAGTAAATATTTATTAGGTTTTTATGTATGTTTTTAATCATTTGATCAGTAGTCTCTTTGATAACCTCCATTAATGTTATTATTTATTTGTCTATTAATTATTAAACGATTTCTCAATGTTAAGGACAATAAAATATGAATAACAATTCGTTATGTTATTGTTATTATTAAAATAATCATCAAATAAGATACGTAAATTATTAACTTTACAGATAGTTTTGTTATTTTTTTTAATTTTTTAAATTAAAGAGTATTTATTATTTAACAACTTTTCTAGGGCTTATGTAATGATTTAATTGATTTAACTTTTATGCTTATATTTCATCGTTTCTGAACTGTAAGCATAGATAAATATAAAAATATATAAAAGCCTTTAAACACTGAGAAATTGTTAGCCAAAAGTTTAGTGTTTTATGTAAGTTGCAAAAAGATACATTTAAAATTATTAATCAATGTGTTTGTCTACATATCTCTTTCACTCTTACTATGTGCTTGCACAAAACCAACCCAAAACAACTGTGCCATCTCTGTCTTTCTCTCAATCTTCACACTAATCTCTGCATTAAATGAACCGTTAATGTTAACTCTGCCACTGTAACGCGTGATCTGTACTGTGCTCTCGCTCTCGCTCGTTTGTTTCACTCTCGCACCACGACGTTCGTATGTGTGTGTGTACTGTACTTCAACGCTAATTGCAACCTGCAACTTGCAATGCACCTGCATGTCCTGGCACCTGATGCCCTTACTGAAACCCAGTTGTCCACTTCAATGTAGAGCTGAGGAAGCGTCCGCAGTCCTGGGCCTCCACGCCGGATATCGACGAGCCGGACGATGCCGGGCGCCGTCCACAGACAGCAGTCACTAGCCGAGCAACCGTAGCCGAGGATCACGATGTAGCTGTCACGGTCAAGCTGCCGGTTCCGCCGCGGCGCCACACAACTGCCTTGGACATTAAGGAGGTAGGTAATGGGTCTACTCGCTTAAATGCACCGAGTAAGCCGTTTACTCGTTTACAATGAGTTCAAAATCAACGATTACTTATTTAAAGCTTAAATTTAACTATTATCATAAATTCTAATTTCCTTTTTTTAAACAGTAATAACAGCTAAGTTAAAATAATTTTATATTGCAACTCTTAGTTACAAAAACCAATTAAAATCCGCTCAACTTTTACTTCTAAAAGATTTTATGTTGACTTTAAAGTTTCTAAATATCTATTTCTAATAATGTATACATACATATATACATATATATATACACAGAAATACTTCTAATTTTTTTTTAATTAAACTATTCTGTGCATCCTTCATAGGTGGAACACTCTCTAACACCGTCAACCCGTGTTACATCCTCACCCAGTAAAACTTCAAGTATTCCAGACGAGTTAGTCATCCTGTCGACAGACAGTTTAGCCGAGCGTGTCCGAAAAATGAATCTCCTCAAGAAGCAACGCAGTCTGAACTCCAGAGAAAACAGTCGCGAGCGATCCGTTCCGCGGAGAGATGAGTGAGTAATTGAGAAATCCAATGGCGATAAAATAATAAAATGTACTACCATTGGATAAACTATTTAATTACTTTAATGGTGTAAATTACAATAACATATGTTTTTTTTTTATCAGGGAAACCGAGTCTACAGCATCCACCGCGCCAGCGGTTCCTGATCGACCTGAGCGCAGTAAGTCGGGAACTTCGTTGAACCTGGCTTCACAAGGTGAGCTGAAACGCGCCGCGCTGCCACCGAAAAAAGTGGCAGTGGCTGCAGCCACGACGACGACAGCGGCCAGCAGCAGTGGAACCACTAGTCTAAAGTCCTCCACTTCCGGTACCGGCGAAGTGAAGGCCGTTTCATCATCAAGTTCCAGTTCGGTACGTCGGAAGGAAGCGGATGCTGTCGTGACCAGCAAGGAAATTAAAAGACAAACCGTACCCGCTGCATCACCATCCCACACCTCCTCAAACCACACAACCGCCCCAAGTACTTCAGCCAAGACCCAGGATACCCTGGCCATGCAGGAACAAATGAAATTGCTGCGAACGGAGTTGGAGGCGATGAAGGTACGGGCGGAGAGAGCAGAGCGAGACAAAAGCGATATCCTGCTGCGGCGCCTGGCCTCCTTGGACACCACCACCAATCGAACAGCTGCATCTGAGGCTCTTAATCTGCAGCAAAAGCTAAACGAAATGAAGGAGCAGCTGGACCGAGTCAGCGATGACAAGCGCAAGCTGAACCTTCGGATGAAGGAGCTGGAGAACAAGGGCAGCGAGTCCGAGCTCAGGCGGAAGCTGCAGGCCGCCGAACAGATTTGCGAAGAACTGATGGAGGAGAACCAGTCTGCCAAGCGGGAGATACTCAATCTGCAGGCCGAGATGGATGAAGTGCAAGACACGTTCCGTGATGACGAGGTCAAGGCAAAGACCAGTCTGCAGAAGGACCTCGAGAAGGCCACAAAGAACTGTCGAATCCTCAGTTTTAAGCTAAAGAAGAGTGACCGCAAGATTGAAACGCTTGAACAGGAGCGCCAGAGCTCCTTCAACGCCGAACTAAGTGCAAAGGTAAAAAAATTGGAGGAGGAGCTGCGATTCTCCAGTGAACTCACCAGGAAGCTGCAGGTTCGTTACATGTATGCATATTAATATTATTTTATTATAACTATTTCTTAAACAGGCTGAAGCCGAAGAGTTGCGAAACCCTGGCAAAAAGAAGACTCCCATGCTGGGAGCTCTGGGCAAGTCGACCTCGGCAGATGCCAAGATCACCAGGGAGTCCCTCACACGCGGCGGCTCGCAAGAGGATCCGCAGCACTTGCAGCGCGAGCTGCAGGACTCCATTGAGCGGGAGACGGACTTAAAGGACCAATTAAAATTCGCCGAAGAGGAGGTAAAGAACCCTTTATGTAGAATACACACGCAATTAATTATTTACTGTACTGCATTCCACACGAAGCTGCAGCGACTGAGGGATCGGGATAGAGAGCGAAAGCGGGTTAGATTCAGTTGTGGCACTCAAACCTTCCACGAATTACACCCTGAATTAATGGCTTTCCCTCGAGGCACTCAGACCGTGACCTTGGTACACAGTGATGTGGCCACCAGTACGGAGAACTGGGTGACCTTAAAAGAGGGTGTCACCCAAACTGAAGTTGAACGTGAGATTACACCGTCCCCATTTATGGGGCTTTTCCCATCGTCATCATCGTCGCACTCGACCAATCGCTCCCTGCTCTTTCCCAGCGCCATTTCGCATGTCCTTCTGAGTGGAGCAGGTACCAAGAACCTCAATAGTCGAGGATCTGTGAATTCTTTTTGTGTAGCAATCACTCGTAGAACCAGTACTTGTTTAAAACGTAGCAATACTATTTTTATCCTCGAAGACGATCTTTTATCTTTACTACTGCCTTTTGGTCGTTCTTATTTTCAGTTGTAATATATCAAGTTTTGTGTGTTTCAGGCTGAACACTTGAGGAAAAGGTGACTCGTTTCGAGGATGAAAATGAGTCGTTGATGATGCAGTTGAAAAAAATGGCAACGCGCTCAAGAAGTACGAACAAAACGACACTTAATAAGTACTCTTAACCCTAGTTCGTAGACAACGTATTTCATGTAAATGATAAATCCACGGTTTTACTTTCAAATGGGATTATTTAATAAAATAATTTTTGAGCTAGTTAAGTTTGAAATTTAAGTAATACACGTGGAAACCGTGGGTTTTAACAATCATTCATTTGAACTGTTGTCACAGGAATTTCTTATAAACTAGAGTGACTCACACTTCTTTTTCTTCATTAATCAAGGACAATGTACTTTCTTAACCAACTAATTTAATTTTCCATGCGCTTATTAATGAAAGAATTGAATCAGCAATTTGCCATTTTTTTGAGGCTGCTCATTTTGATTAACAATAGTAACTAATTGAAACAACCCGACGTATCCAAAGTATCCCCATTTTATTGGTAATTAACTAAACTAACTTATGCAGAAGTGCCACCTAATTCTCGAATTTGAAATTACTTTTTCTATCAAAAACCACACAACAATCCCAACATATTTTCTAACAGAATTTCAACTGATTTCAAATTCATAGAGATTTATGTGGCTCCTGTGATAACTGCATATTAATTTGTGAATCGATTTCCCAGGTCGGAAGCTGAGTCCCACTCCGCACCCACACCGCCTCGCACCCGAGGTCCAGGCCGATCGCGACGAGGGAATCTCCGACGAGGATGACCCTGCTGAGCTGAGGATTTTGCTGGAGCTGAACGAGCAAGAGGCCTCCATACTGCGCTTAAAGGTGGAGGATCTGGAGAAGGAGAATGCCGAGTCCAAGAAGTATGTCCGTGAACTTCAAACTAAGCTGCGACAGGACACTTCCAGTGGGAGCAAAAGTTCTCTGATCAGTTTCGGAACATCCTCGAGTGCGGCCGAAAAGAAATTAAAAACCCTCAACGATGAACTCAACCTGCTTCGCAAGACGCTGCAGGAGAAGGAGCAGGCGGCGGAGTCCCTCAAGGACCAACTCGGCAGATTGAGCACACTCGAAACCGAGAACGACAAGTTGACCAAAGAGAATAAGCGCCTTCTAGCACTGCGCAAAGCCAGCGAAAAGAACGGCGAGGTGGACTCAAAGATAAAGGAGTCTCTGGCGGTGGCCCAGCGAGAGAGGGATGAGCTGACTGCCCGTCTCAAGCGGATGCAGTTAGAAGCGGATGCCAAACTGCCAGCTCGCACCGCCAAAAGGGTCAACGATCTGACACCCAAGAGTCATCTCAAGAAATGGGTCGAAGAGCTGGAGGACGAGATCAGCGAGATGCGCGTAATGCTCAGCTCCACTGGAACCGACCAGCTGAAGGCCCTCCAAACGGCCAAGGGCAGTCTTGAGGAGGAGGTGCAGAAATATAAACAGAAACTGGCCCTGGCCGAGGGCGACGTTCAGCGATTGAAACTTCTTAATGGCACCAGCAGCAAGGTCAACGAGCTGGAACAAAAGCTCAAGCGAAGCGATGAGGACGCCAAGAAGTTAAACTCAAAGCTCAAAGATTTGGAGGAGAAGCTTAAAAAACAGGACGCTCAATTGAAGCAGACCGAGGTGAACAAGTCCAGTTTGGAGACGCAGAGCAAGCGGGAGAAGGAGAAGCTATCGGGCCTGGAGAAGGACATGGAAAAGCTAGGCAAGGAGAAGGAGAAGCTAGAGGCCAAGATCACCCAACTGGACGCTGATTTACTCAGTGCCAAGAAGGCAGCCGAAAAGAGCAAGTCCAGCTTGGAGAAGGAGATTAAGGATCTCAAGGCTAAGGCCAGCAAGTCGGACAGCAAGCAGGTGCAGGATCTTAAGAAGCAAGTGGAGGAGGTCCAATCCTCCCTAAGCTCAGAGCAAAAGCGATACGAGGACCTCAACAATCTGTGGGAAAAACTCTCCGAGGAAACTATCCTGATGCGGGCTCAGCTCACGACCGAGAAGCAGAGCCTCCAGGCCGAGCTGAACGCCAACAGGCAGAAGATTTCCGAGATGGACACCATCCGAATCGAGCGCACCGACATGGCTCGCAAATTAAACGAAGCCCAGAAGAAGATCGCCGACCTGCAGGCCAAGGCCCTCAAGACCTCTAATGGCAATGGCGGCGAGTACGAGCGCACGGTTCTGAAGAATAAGCTGTCGGAGAAGGAGCACGAGTACGAGCGGCTGCGTCGAGAGAATGAGATGAACATCGACCTGGTCTTCCAGCTCCGTAAGGATAACGACGATCTCAACGGCAAATTGAGTGATTACAACCGGATCGAGCAGGCGCAGCTATCGTTGAACGGCCATGGAGCGAGACGAGATGCGGAGATCAGAGAGCTCAAAGAACAGTAAGTAGAACTACAACAATATAAATGGTACACCTAGACGTTCTCCTCGGTTCTTGAAAAACTAAGTTTTTATAGGTATAAATTGAAGCTTGGTTTTTATGAATACCAAAAGCAAGTTTTGGCCACTTTGAAATTAAAATCGTATTGCGTTAGGAATATTGTTTATTATATTATCTATATATATATATATTTAATTAATTTGAAAGTCTTATAATAACTACACTTTTACCCAACTCAGATTGCAAAACACAGAGTTGCAGATGAAGTCCGAGGTAGCCACCACTCGACTGCGGTACGAGCAGCAAGTGAAGAACCTCAGCGGAGAACTGAATTCAATGCAGGTAAGACTGGATCAAAAGACTGCTCATGGAAACCTATTTCTCAAAATAAAAATCTGCAATAGCGCCAATGTGAACGCTTCAAGAAGGATCGCGACGCTTTCAAGCAAATGCTGGAAGTGGCTCAGAAGAAGATCGGGGATCTAAAGGCCAACAACACGGGCAGACAAAGTCGCGGCTCCATGCACAGTAGCGATGACGATGACAAAAGCAAGATCGCCTACTTAGAACAGCAGGTGAGTCCATTAAGATAAATACTTGTACAAGTTTCAAACTGAAATGGTGTCAAAATTGCAGATTGGTCATCTGGAGGATCAGTTGGTCGAGTCCCGGTTAGAGTCCAGCAAGATCAAGACCGAACTCGTCTCCGAGCGCAGTGCCAATGAGATCAAAATCTCCGAGATGCAATCGAAGCTGAACGAGTTTGAAGAGGAACGCGTCATCGGGTCGGGCAGCACAAAGTTGCCGGGTATGAAGACCAAGTTGGAATTGTCTTGGCAAAAGGAGCGGGAGGATCAGCAGCGTCTGCTGCAAGAGACCTCCACCCTGGCTCGAGACTTACGCCAGACCCTCTTTGAAGTGGAACGCGAGCGGGACAAGGAGCGGTTGGAGTCCAAGCGAAAGCTGGACCAAATCAAGCGAGCAACCGAGGAGGAAATGGAAGAGGGACGCAAAAAGATTGCCGAGCTTCAATGCGATCTTCTGGAGCTGCGTGATGTCCATGCTAAGCTGCGTACCTCCAATGAAAAGTTAAGGCGTGAGGTAAGGAGATTAGTGGGATCATTAAAATATAATCATTTAACTGGTCGTTTTCCATTTCAGCGAGAACGCTACGAAAAGGAACTGATCAAGCGACGCATGGAGGCGGATGGAGGCGACCGCAAGGTGGGAGCTCTTTTGCAGACTGTCGACGAGCTGGTGAAAATCGCACCCGATCTTAAAATGGTGGGCACCGGCGGATCCGCCCGTGGTGGCTCTGGATACGATAAGAACTTGCGTCCCGAACAGCCTGATGTGCGGCGCAGTCGATCACCCTCGCCGACGCTCAGCAGCTCACAAATCACCAGTGTCCTGGCGCGATTGGCGGAGGCCTCCGAGGAGTTGCGAAAGTTCCAGAGGCTAAATGAAGACGAACAAGAGCGGAGCCGGATTCGGCGTGGCAACTTGCGACGAGCTGCCTCGCAGGAGAACGATCACCACGGCAGTACTAGCTCCGTGGCCAGTGCAGCGGGCTCACAGCGCGGCGGGAACCGTGTGTCCCGAAATTCGTCCAATAATGGCAGCCTAATTCGAAAGAGTCTATCGCTGGATCACTCCATACAGAGGGATCAGGTGAGACATATTATAGACCGGATTGATTTAACAATGACTTAATTTACAACCTCCTTCCCAGAATATTTGGCGCCAGGACGATGGCAGTGTGTCCTCAATGCAATCTATTGACTCGGAGCTAGGCGGTCTGGTCCGAGACTCCAGCTTGGATTCACGACTCGATTCGCGTCTATCTGGAGGATCTACACAGAGCGATATACCCCGGGGACCTCGCAAAAAGAAAAAGGGCATCATGGGCAAGCTGCGCAGCCTGACGAAGAGCAGTCGCAATTCCGAGAGTGAAATATCAGTAAGGCGAAAAAGCGTACGCAAGTTTGCAATGTAGGGTTATTAAAAAATATCATACCTATTCTAGATTCAAGGATCTGATTCAGACATCAGCGTTGCCAGTGACCTGAGGTCAAGCAAGAAGGATCTGCGCGGCCGGCTTTCCGGGATGTTCAAGCGTTCCGGCTCCAATTCGCGCAGTGAGAGCATGGAACGAGCTGGATCCGAGCAGAGACCCGTGGCTGTTACAGTCGTGGGACATCCGGATGGACCACAGCCTCGCGAGCCGCCACCTGCCAATTCCCTTACACCGAGACCCATTCGTTCTGTGAGCAAAAGCTTGACTTTGGTCTTTCCGTATTTCTTTCTATATTTGAAATCCTCTTTATAGATCCCAAAACCACCCAGCGGCGGAGGAGTACCCACCACACCAACCACAAGACGACGCGTAGCCAAGTAGTCATCATCGATTGAACAGTCTCATAGGATTCATTCTAATCTGTAGCTTTAGCCGTTCGTTTATTCCTCACAAATTGTACCCATGGCATGATCACATGACATCATCATATGTATTTATTGTTGCTTTCAAATATTTTACTACATTTTTAATTTAAAAGCTCTCTCAGCCGAAATAAAGTCATCTCTATTTGAAGTAATTATTGTAGCCATCGTCCTTCTCTTTCTCTATTTCTATAAAATGGGAAATTTATTAGGGTAATCTGAATCAGAGACACAAACGTTTTTGTAAACAATTCCAGCGGACAGTATGCCCATGACGATTGGGTATGCAGCATCTATGAACCCCCAAAATGTGGTTGGTTTCTCCAGCTGAGCAATGAAAAAGGATACCGAACTGAGGAGGAATAGCACAACGATTTCCAGCATTATATAAATTACAAATCTACTACTTCTTTCGACAACAATTTCAAAAGCTCCATGAGACATTCAGATATGTCTCAACCCGATTCAAATGTTTTGCCTTGACAAAAATATATCAGAAAGATATTACACCACTTTGTTAATGGTCATTTTGGTATTCCGCCTACAATCTTTGGTCATTTTAACAGGCCGATCCTATTCATTAATATGGTGAATCTTTGTTATATTTAATTTAAAATTGTAAATGGTTTATATGTGTATATACCCTGTTAACCACAATCCCATTTCTAGAAAAAAAAAATTAAGTAAGTGTCAAAACTAAAAAAAAATAAATCTACAATTCAAGCACCTGAATTTCTTGCTCCCCACATGCTGAATTGGAAGGTCAACCATATTACACATAGATTCTACACAATTTTTTAGCTCATGAAAATAAGATTCTGATCTTTGGGCCAACCTACCTTTGTCACATAAAAATCCCAGGAATGTTCGATCAAATACAAAGGTTAAATAAAAAGAGTGAGTGACATTTATTCTATTTACTTGCAATTTATGTATATATTCAAAGTATTTTTTGTTTTGCTTAAAACTTGTTTTACTTCCATGTTTTTTTTTGTTTTTCTGTTTCTTTACACACTACATTAATTTTTCTTTTGTTAAACATAATTTCAAAATGTATAATTTCTTTTTTGTTCCTTATTTTTGGATTCTTTGTATTTTCTTTCAATATGAATTCAAAATAAGAGAAATGTAATTTAGAGAACAATTGTTTTGGGGGGGTTTTTTGACCATTCATTTTAAATAATAAATCAATCCAATATGCAAACTAACATGATTAATGTGTTGCAATTTGATGTCATTTCAAGTACGTGGCATGTTCAGATAAGTAATATCAAATAATTTGTCGCCCTATAGGGGTGGGGTGTCGAGAAAGGAATTGGAATTGGAGGATAAATATTGGTTGTATGGCAATCCATTAGTGTATTCATTTTTTGCGTTCCATATTTGCTTGAATAAAATTTATACAATTTAATATGCATTTTTTTGGGACTCAATTCTGTTCAGTTTTCCCAGTTTTCAGCTTCCGTTTCCTGCTCTTGTTCTTATTAGAGTGTGTTTTTTGCATGTTTCTTATAAATTGGTATGCTTATTTATTGGCTTATTTTTATCCTGTTTGAATTTCTGTCGCTCGAATGTTACTCTGTCTTAAAAGTGGTTCGATTATTATTCTCTTTGTTTTACCATTTTTAGTAACAATGTACTTACTTGCGCTTCTTAATCTCGTTTTGTTTGTTTTATGTAAATCCTTATTTTCATTTTATTTTCGATTTTTGTTTTGATATTACTTAGGCACTGTGTTCGTATTACATTAAAGAATTAATTTAAAATTTAAATTTAGGTATGTATAAATACATTGTAAAAAATTTCTTTAAGTTTACCGTAAACTAAAATCTTGCAACGCTCCATGTATGTATTTCCCATTCAAGTTTCTCTTGCTTCTTGTTTTGTTTTTCATTTTCTCTTGCATGTATGTCCTTGTATCTATGTTTGTTTAGTTAAGTTAAGTTAAGTAAGTAAATCCTGTCCTCAATGTTATTTCTTAAGCACTGTACCACGGCATCCTCCCAACTCTTAACCCTGAACTCAGCTGCTAATGTTAAACCCCTATTTACCTCGCTCACTAACTCGATCGATCTAAAAGTAAGCGTAGAAAAGTCTATGAAATTAATTCAAAATTAAAACAAAATTGAATGCCTGAAAGGGGACAATACTTGGCCATCTATTCGAGTTTCCAAGTCGCAACACTTATATGCCTAAAATCGTTACAATCTGGTTTACAAGTAAGTCCTATATGTATGTATGTATATGCAGGTGTAGGAGGTTTCTATGTGTTTCTCGTTAGATATCTAACATCGCTTTCAATATCAGTTTAAGATTCCAGTTTCCTTAGTTTCGTCGTTTCGGTAAAAAATTCAAATTCATCGAAAGTTTTGTGTGTTTGGCTTACAAAATGCTTAAATCTTTATCTTTTAGATTCGGTTTCGTTATTCTTACGCGGCTCTTGTTTGGTTGTTGATAGTGAATACTTAATGTTTTGTTTACACTCATCTCAAAATAAGGGCTTAAACCAATACTACATAGTAATTGCCACAATTTACAGAGAATAAGCTAGGGACGAGAAACTGAAATAAAATTCAAGTTGATTACAATTTTCAGTTTAAACGAAATTCTTATACGAACTTATGCTGGTAGCCTATTTATTCATCAGTGTTTTGTCCGAGTTGCGAGAGTTGTATAGAATCCTGTATTTAAGCCAACGTTTTCGCCTCGTCCTAACAGCTCCATCATTATGTTTTTGCCTTTCATTTACAGTCTCAATTTTGTTTTTTGTTGGTTATTTTTGCATATTTTTCCTCTTTTTTCTGTGTTTTTTCCGTATTTTTGTCTATTTTGTATTTAATGATAGTGTTTTATTATTAACTACATACAAATAAGTTTTGGTTCACTATATCCTCTGCCTTTGTTACATTTTTAAAATTACCATATACATCAATACAGACCTCAATTCGAATTTGGGTTACTTAATAACGAACATGCGAAAGTCGGGCTTTAAAAATGGATGTTGCTGCTATCGTTCAATATTAATAATATATAATTTTTTGTTTAACTTGCAGGCATTAACAATAATAAAATCAACTTGATTTGACATTTCCTACACAAACTCAATGGGAACCTATTGCTAATATTTTTGCAAACTTATAAAAATAAACGAATAAATAAGAAAAAACATAAGTAAGTAGAAAAACATGCCACTTGATCTTCAATCTTATTTGTTTTTCATTATTGTTTAATTATTATGTTGTGTTGTTTCAACACTCCGCCGCCTTGGCCCTATAAAAATTTAGTCATTACAAAAAGGTGTCTTAGGTGGAATCGTTTTGTCTTAGGAATTTAGCTTAGATATCTCTTTTAAATCTCATCTTATTTCAAATCATTCTAGTTTTTAATGGCTAAGAGTACTCTTTTTCCTTTGCATAAAAACAACAACTCTCGTGGTGAGGAGGGGCTTAGAAATTGGGTTGGGGCACAAAAAAACGCATTTAAAATTCTATTCTTCTATCATATAGTTAGAAAAGGATCCGAGGGTCAGTTGTTCTTAGCTTAACTACATTTATGGGTAACCAGTCGACATTTCCAATTCGATTTTTCCGTAAACAAATTCGAGAAAACTTAATTGTAAGAACTATATAGACCGGAAAAGCTTTGATAAGTATAATCTTTGTTTATCTCCCCTTCTCTCTCGTGTCTCCTACAGCTATATGTAGAGCTATACAATATGTATACAACAACGCACTCTCTTCATTGGTTTTTGGGCTTGCATTTGGCGCATCGATCGTTCGTATGGTTAGCTTATCAGTAATATTAAATAATACATGTAACCCTTATATTATTGTTTTTATATTCCGTTTGCTGATCTTCAATCTGATAAAATTAAGTCAACAATTAAAAGGCAGACACAAACTGTGGCTGAACTGTCGAGAATGTAAATCAAATCAATACCGATACACAATTCACAGCTTTCCGATAACTGGCGATCAATTGGCCGGTAAAACCGATAAATAAAGAAAAATAAGCCGTATACACAAAATGACATCAATTGGTAACCTAAAAACAAACGAAACAATCTGATTTTGTAGTCGTCACTCCTCCTTAGGAGCTCCCCGATCTTCGCTGCACTTTTTTGGACTTTTTCTTACAACGGTTCTCAGGGTGTATGCGTGGTGTGAGTGTGTTTACACTTAAATTTTAAATGTTATGTTATCAGCATCGTCTCTTTTCAAGCTTGTTGAAAGTGCAACACTTTGTTTATTACAATATTTAATTTTATTTTACCGTTAAATCGTTATATGTTATAATTATATGTATATAGTATATAATAGTTGTATGTAGTAGGTGTAATTCATATATATATTTTCTTGTTGTTTATTACGTTTACGATGCACATATATTGTATGTAGTTTTTTTTAATTTTTAATAGGTTTTTACGTTTAGGTTAGTTAAAAAAACATTAATTCTGTATTTAAATTTGGTAAATAAACGATTTTGAAATTAACTTGTTTTACAATTAACAGTCAGTGAGTTTTTATGTCTTCTAAATAATTACGAGTCTCGAATTACTTTACTTTAACCTTCAGTTTATTACGTGGTAATTATGTGCCAACTTCAGTTTCAGAATGAAACAGAACGGATAAAAATGTATGTTAGCCCCATAATAATGAGAAAATAATAAATTGTATCTTATTAAATTACATCAGGTTGATTTGCTTGCTTGCAATTTCTTGAAATTTTCTTAATAATTTTATGCTTCTACCGCTCAGCAGATCACAAATGGTGTTGCGATGATCACTGCACGATGCACGGTGCTTCTCTGTAAAAGAGATGATGTGGCAGAAACACACATATATATTCGAGCTCAGATCCGTAGCGGTTTTCAGTTATGATCCGTTGATCCATCGGTTCTTCCCTTATTTCTCCAAGTCCTCTCTCTTTTTCACGCTGCCCGCCGCCCGGATGATCTTGATCTTTTCGAGGACAACACTAGCCAAAAACAGACGCCTACAATCAAATACAATCACGCACACAGATACAGTTACAGACTACTGGTGGTGGTACAGATACAGATATACGAAAAAGAATCATAGTTTTTTTTTTCAAAAATCGAAACGTTGCTTTTCACACACGTTTTACTTTACTCATTTTTACTTGCTTTGTTTTGGGTTTGTTTGTTTTGTTTTTTTTTTTCTAAAAAATTGTATAATAATTAGTTATATAAAATGTAAGCATATTTGTAGTGTAATTTAAACGAAATTAAATTAGGAATTTGTATCTTTAGGATTAATTGTTTTGTTTGTTGTAGAGTACAAATTATACGAAGAACACTAAGCAATAAATCACCGAAAAATAAAGTAAAGTAAAGTATTGTTATTGTATATTGTAATTAAATGTATGTATTGTTAATTGATTTTTTGTAAAAATAAACAAATTAAAAATTAGTGTATGGTATTTTAATAGAAAAATTACTTCATATTTGTTTTTATAATATATATGTGTGTATGGTAAATGTATTAGCATATAATATGTATGTTTCTCATTTTGTTTTTTGTTGTTTTTTTTCATCTTTTTGTAATAATAAATTGTAAAATCGCAATCATATATAATCATCATTAAAATAGTTTACTTTCATCATGTTTTACACACAGTGCGCGCTCGGTTTTTTGTTTTTGTTTTTGGTGAGCGCGCAGAGTAGTTTAGAGTAAATATTGTATAAGTAATTAAAGATATATAATATATATGTTATATTTATAATCAATTAAAGTTTTTCTGCTGCTTGCTCTTATTATTTTTTGCAATTCTTTTCCTCATCTTTTTTCTGTCTGTCTGTCTGTCTGTCACTCGCGCTTCTGATCTGTGGTTCTTTCTGATTGTAGTTGTTGTCTGTCGAAAGGTGTTAGGTGTGGGTGTTGGGTGTGCGTGTTGATGTTACTGTTGTTCTAGTTGTTGTTGTTGTTGACTGATGTTGGCTGTCGCGCTAGATTTGTTGTTCCTGCTGTTGTTGCTTTCGTCTGCTTGGCAAACGATGAAAGTTCGAAAGAAAAATGTGCAACGCAACTCTAAGCATCGTATCTTGTATAACTTCCTGTCCTATTCTCTCGGCCTGCTTTCCTTGATTACTTTTTACTTTTTACCAGTTACTTTTACTCTTTAGGTTTTACTTTAACTGTAGCTTTAAATGTACGTTTCCTTTTGCTCTTTTTTTACTCTTTTTGTCGTTTTTGTTTCATTTGTTGTATATACTTGTTAAATATATATATATATATTGTATATAAGTATGTATATAGTTTTATGTTTACTTGTTAAGAGTGTGTGTTTCGTATTTTTTGTGGTTTTTGCTGGTTTCCGTATCCATTATAATCAATCATTATCATCATCATCAGTATGCTGCTGCTTGGCTTCTTTTTATCATCCTCACTGCTCGCTCTCTTTAACTTTAAATAATAAATCCAACGCACTATATAATTCTAGTTTCAAGTTCAACTTTCGCTTAGATGTAAACGACGACATACGCTTATCAATTAGGTTTCTTTATATATGTAGTTTAACTTTTAGCTAGTTTTTCGTTTTGTTTACTTTAAATGGTAAATTTTTAATTTTGTAACGTATAATCTTTCCCATGCCAGCAGTCCCTCCGCCCTGACCTTCTTTAACCATCACCTTCCCACACTTCCTACTCCATCTCCCACCTCTCGCAATTTAGATTCGCACAAAAAGGCAGGCCATTGTGTTCCATCAGTGAGTCAAAGGCTAAGGCAAGCGTTGGGTTCGCGGAACCACCATTACATATCATGTATCGGGCGATTCTAAATACTCTGTAAACCTTGTCGCCAAAAGACTCTCTGATACGAAGACGGGACTGGTATGGATAAGGTTGCAGGTCGGAGGATCATCGGCCTCGGCTTTTTGCTTTAAAATGTACAATTTCGAATTTGTGTATTTACTAATTTTAGTAATTAAGGGGAATCGATCTTTCTTTACTTGTGTACTTTTTGTTTTTAATAAAATTATATAAGTTCTAATTTTCTTTGTTGTGTGGTTCTTCTTGTGTTGGTTCTGTTTGCACTCCCACTCTTTTAAATTGATCTCTTGGGTCTAATTAGCTAAACTTTATACTTGTAAATCATTACGTTTAAATCTTCACTTTCTATTTTGTTGTTAATGCCTTGTGTATCGTATGAGCCTACGGGTTTAGTTTTAGTTCTAGTTGGGTGTAGTAGTTCTTGTTAGTTGCTTGGCTGACAGGTGTGTTAGGTAGGTGTTTGCATGGTGTTTGTGTGTGGGGGGGGACGCATGAAATAAATTGGGTCCTCATGTCTGAATAATGGTTGTTGTTGGTGTTGTGTGCTGATGTTTTTGCCTATTATTACATACTCATTGCTATATAGAACATACATGTATATATATATATCTATGAATCTGACTTGTCGCTAGGTATTCATTCGTGTTGTTAAATTGGTTTCGCTTTAAATAATAGTTGTACAAGAGTTTTTAAATATTAATTTCAACAACTGATCTGATCTGAAATAAAAACGAACAGACGACGCTTTAGCTTACAATTACCACCATCTTTTCTGTCTTCATCATTCGCCGACGACGATATCTTTCTGCTCTGCTACTCCGGCTCCAACTCCTACTCCTTCGCCTTCTCCACTGCATTCTCCTTATCCTTCATATGCACATCCGCCACCTTAGACGGCTTGCGAAGTGGCGTAGGGCGGCTGCGTGGAGCTATCGTTGCCATAAGCTGACCGCGGCCCAGCTCCATAGTTGGAGGCGCCCTCCTGCTTCACGTAGTTGCTATAGTCGTAGTCATAACCAGATCCATAGCCGCCATAGTCGTACTCGGAGCCAGACTTCGAGGCAGAGTTGCCGGGGCCGGTGCGCGGCATGCCGCCTACAGGTCCGGTGGTCGATGGACCACCCGCTGCCCAGGTCTGAGCCCGCGAATACATGTCCGTAGCAGTTCCTGCTCCAGCTCCTGGTGCTCCGGTGGGTCCGGCCGAGTTAGGAGGCATGTTCCACGAGTTCCAGCTACCACCGCCCGATGGTCCCGAGGGTGCACCGGTCGACGTCGAGTTGTACATGTCGTAACCACCATAGCCCTGCGTCTGTTGCGGTCCAGCATAGTTCGACCACTGTGGCGGAGGTCCCTGGGGACCGGGTGGTGCACCCCAGCCCTGGTATGAGCCAGGTCCGCTATTTCCGTAGCCGTACTGCTGCTGCTGAGGCGACGTGCCCCAGCCCTGGTATCCTGGCATCATGTTAGGCGCCCCAATGGGCATGTTGAGCGGGGGTCCGCCCATCTGACCATTCTGGCCCTGCATCATGTTGATGGGAGCATGGTGCGGTCCCCAGTGGCTGCATTCGTTGCCCAACTTGCCATAGGCGCCGCCCACAGCACTGTTGTTGGAGTTCTGCCCGCCAGATCCATCTCGAGGCTCGGCCTTCTTGATCTCAACCTGTCAGGAAAAAATAAAACATTATTGTTGGCTATTTCGAGAAGCAAACTTTACTTGCTATTAAGAATCAGGATTAACCAATCAACCCAAAATTAATATAAAATAGTTGGTCAATATTAAATGAATCGAAAACTGTACGATTTAGATAAAGAATTTGACAAAGAACCGTTCACGCACCTGCTTGCCATTCAAATTAATGTAGCGCTCGTTGGTAACATGCTCCACGGACGATTCCTCCTCAAATGAGAGGAAACCGAAACCGCGCGACTTCTTCTTCTCCTGGTCGTACATGATCACCACCTCGGTGACCTTGCCGTAGCGCCCGAAGAAGGTGCGCAGATCCGTTTCGGTGACATTCGAGGGCAACCCACCCAGGAAGACCTTGTAGCCACCGCCCTTCTTCGGCTTTTGCAGCGTGCGCGGATTGCAAGGCTTAGGGTCGATGGTGCGGCCGTCCAGCGTGTGCGGTCCGTTCTGCAGCACATGGTTGACGTTGGTGGGATCGGCGAAGGTGACAAAGCCGAAGCCGCGCGACCTGCCGCTCTCGTTGTTCTTCATCACCACGCAGTCGATGATGTCGCCGAAGCGGCAGAAGTAGCGCGACAAATTCTCCTGCGTCGTCTCCCAGGATAGGCCGCCCACAAACAGTTTGCCCCTCTCGTCTTCCTCCATGATGTTGTTCTGGTTGTGGTTGTGAGCTATGGCGCCGGGTAGGTTTTCTATAATTGACGTAATCTTGCCGCTTTTTTTTAACCCGGTGTGCAAAAGAAATTAACTTGTGTGTTGGTGTGTTTGTTGTTTTTTTTTTAGGGGATGCGCACTTATAGAATTTTTTACACTGTTGCCGTTGTTGTTGCTGGTGTTCTTATGTATCTTATAGGTTGGTTTTAACGTTGCCAAAGTTCTTTTCCGTTCAAAACAATTAAACAAAAGCCACGACGTTCACACGTAACTTTCTACACATTATCGATGATGTAGTTTATAGTAGACACATGGAAAGACATAGAGATAGAATAAAATAGAAATCTTGTTAATCAAAACAGAAGAACTGATCTTGACTTATGAAGGTGCGAATGGGGCAGGAATGGCCAGATGACAAAAAGAGGGAGACAGGGCACACACAGGGGCGGATAAAAGAGAGCCAGCGAAATAGGCACAGATAATTATGAAAGGCACAGGTAGGCAGAAACAGCAACCGGCCGGTACCCACACACACAGAGACGATGGGCATGGGACACCAGTATCTATGTGATTTTTGCCGTCTAACTGCTTTTTGTACACGTTCACAAGTTTGTTCGCTTGTCTGCAACTAGCTCGCTTCTCTTCTGAGCAGTTTGTCTTCTTCACCCGCTTTTACACGGCTACGTGAAAGTATTGTTTTCTTTTCGCTGTGTCACGAGCGGCTTTGTTGTTGCAGCAATGTCCCCAGCCTCAGCTCTTCCAGCACTCACACACACAAACACATGCCGCCCGTCAATGAGAACAACGAACTTATTCCAAGGTGAAAAGAGAACAGCCGGTTTACCACATTTGCGCGCCATTTACTGTAGGATTGCCGGATGAGATTAGGGCTTCATAAATGCCTTCAGCACAAGTGTATTGAAAATTTCGGAGGTATACTATGAATTCTATGTTAATTATTTTAAATTCACATTTCTTTCCTAGCAGCTACCGGTCGGGTCGCGCAGAAATTATTCCATTGGCAGCCAATGAAAACATGTGGCAACGCCATGTGCGACATGAAAGCGAATGAATGTCGAAAGGAAGCGTATCAAAAAGCAATGCCCTCGCAGTGCAGGCCAAAGGAAATGTTAATTCCGTAAAGAACAAAAAAAAAACAAACACTTCTGTTGCAGATTTCCTCCAGATGGGTGCTAACCTTTTTTCGTAGTACACAGAAGCGAACTGAATGAATATCGCCGGAGTGTGTTGGAAATTCACCACAGCAGAAGCAGGCAGCGGCGGCGACAGCAACGAAGAAAAAAAAACAAAATGGAAGACGTGCCTGATGAAAAATAAATGCCTCAACAAAGAAATCTTAAGAAATATCTTTCCTGGATTTTGAGTTTATGATCCTGAAATCTAGAACACATATCACTGGAAGCTATTTATTTTTTTAAGCACAAAATCGGCTTATTTAATTTCTTCAGTTGGGCCGAGACCGGAAAAGCACATAGTTCGCGGCAACACAGTTCACACAGGGCACACCTCTTGGACATTTTCGCTTACGTGCCGGGTAAACAGGAGCGAAATTAACTAAGATTTCTACTACGCAATTTTAAAAATTTCGCATGATTTTTGTATTTTGCACCGCAATCTGCTTCGTGTGTGTGAGTGCATGAGTTGGCATGGGGGTGTGTGTGTGTGTGTGTGCGAATGGCCGCCGCCGACAGACCGAACCGAGCGATTTTCATTGGTGTGTGTGTGCGTTGGTGTGGTGTTATACATAGCATTTCTTGTATGTATGTATAAAAATATGAAATTTTCCACTTTGATGGGTGGAAAAAATGTGCCGAAATTGGCACGGAAAAACTCTTGTCCCAGGCGAAAATGGCACGGACCGAACTCACAAGCGCTTGGCGAAAAAAACAAAGAGCTACTGTGCTACAATCGAACCGAGCCGAACAATTTTTGCTCTACACACACACACTACCATAACCACAGCGAGCAATGGCAGCTGCGTCAGGTATTCATTCGTTTTGGAAAGGCAGGCATTTTGTTAAAGCCCCGTAATTGTTATGTAAAATGTGATTTTCAGTTGCTTTCCATTCTTACCGTTTGTGCCAAGTGTTCGTCTGTGGTTTTTTAAAGATTTCGCACTGCAAATTCACTAAATTTAAGTGTTTTTTCCTTAAAAAACTAGCTTATAAATAATTGTATGATTTTGATGCATACGATATAACCTAACTTATATGATAAAAATCGCCGCCACGTTTAATGCTGTGTGACCGCTGTCTGGTTGATGCGATATACCATCGGACACGACGATATATACTGAAAAATATTTTGGTACAAACAAACAGCAGCCACACTGCGCCAATGGGGGTATATTTATTTAAGGTTTAATTATTACATTTCGCTACCATTTTCACCTTTTAAGGGTAGTTAAGCTTACGGTATCCTTCGATAATCTCGGATAATCCTTGGGTAACCTTACTTAACATATGGTATTTTTGTCTAAGAATAACCGCAAATCTTCTAGGCAAAATATGAAAATAATTAAAGTAGAATTCAATCTCCTATCTTTCGAATCTGGATTTTCTACGGCAGCCCGGCCTGATGATGAAGATGCCGAGCGCTTTTCTGTTTTCACAGGCGGTATTTGTAATTTTGTAGTATTTTTACGTTTCTTGTGCACGTTGGTATATTCTGTTAAGCCTATGGTATATTTGCACAGCCCACGCAGGGTCCCTTTGTTTGCTACCCGGTAAAATGAGTTTTGTGCTGCAAAAAAATAGAAAATAAACACAAATTTGCAATTGCTGCTCGCCCCGAGTGAAAAATAGCGATCACCAGCGTGTGTCGAATAAAAGGAGCTCCGGAGGAAGCGTAGGAAGTGAATATAACCGACCTTCATCGATTTTTTTCTGCGCTGCACAGGCCGCTGCTGCCACATTAACACAGCGCCCCCAAGCCCAAGCCGAGCCTAAAAAACGAAATAAACAGAATGTCGCGCCACCCCAGCGATAGAAAGGTGTACGTCGGCGACCTGGGCAACAATGCCCGCAAGAATGACTTGGAGTACGTGTTCGGGGCGTACGGCAGTCTGCGCAGTGTCTGGATCGCACGCAACCCACCGGGCTTTGCATTCGTAGAGTTCGAAAGCGCCCGGGACGCTGCGGACGCCGTGCGCGGATTAGACGGCCGGACAGTGTGCGGACGCCGAGCTCGTGTGGAGCTATCCACTGGCAAATATGCCAGATCCGGTGGTGGAGGCGGTGGTGGGGGCGGCGGCGGAGGAGGAGGACGCGACCGCGGTGGTGGTGGTGGCGGCGGCCGTGGCGACGATAAGTGCTACGAGTGTGGAGGCCGTGGCCATTTCGCCCGCCACTGCCGCGAGCGGAAGGCAAGGCAGCGACGCAGGTAAGCAGTTCGCCATTTCCATTTTCATTCATTGCTAATTCATACTTTTTGTAACATGGCGAGATCTGCATACATACAGATTCGTAAGCGTGTGTGTGTGTGTGTAGCTGTGCCATGCAAAAATTTTGAATTGTTTAGAGTGTGGGGAAGTTGGACAGTTTTCGTGGTGGACTGTTAGTAATAAACTCCTGAGCGTATGTTAGGCTTCAGAGAGTGCTGTTAGGCGGGAAAAGTAATGTTGAGCGCACAGCGGCTTCAGTTGTCCGATAACAGCACGCACACGTGCTCTGTCTTAATACCCTTTGTCTGCAAGCTCTGGGGTATATTCATACCTCTTAGCTGTTTCAAAATCAAATATATATTCTACTAGAAATCTTAAACAATCGTACTTCATAATTTTTAAATAAACTGCAGACAGTCATAAATTATTATTCGAATTAAACCACATAAGTTCAACAATCTGAGAAAATATTTTATATTGCAGAATTTTGAATACTTTTTCTTAACCATATCAGTGAAATGTGTACATGTACAAGTTATGTATTAGAAAATACGAATTTGTAGATTTAGGGTACCGCGTAGTCGAGACACTTGTCTTCCTTTTCGTTCCGCGCGCTTTACTCTTCGTGGTGAACATGTTAACAGCTCTGGTGACATCGGTGGAATTGTGCTGTTAAACGCGATTTGAGTGGCAACGCTGGCGTTCGTTCATACACGTGCTTACGCTTCATTTTGGAATTTTCTTTTACACGCGGCATACGAAAAAGAAGGTTAAGTCTGCTGCTGGCTGCGGAGAGTTTTTCCGATTTTTAAATAAAAATTAAAACTAAATGAGCACAGCGTGATACAATGTTTGTGCTCTACGAAACGCCGGCGGGCTACGCAATCTTCAAGTTGCTGGACGAAAAGAAACTCGAACAGGTCGACAATTTGTACTTGGAGTTCGAGACTCCCGAGAAGGCCAACAAATTATTGAAATTAAAGCACTTTGAGAAATTCAACGACACCACAGAGGCGCTGGCAGCCGCTACAGCGGCGGTGGAGGGTAAGGTAGCGAAGCCCCTGAAGAAAACTCTGAAAAAACTGCTGGTCGATGATGTGCAGTCGTCACTGTTGGTTGCGGATGCTAAGCTGGGCACCGCCATCAAGGATAAGCTGTCTGTGCAATGCGTCTACAACACGGGTGTCCAGGAGCTGATGCGCTGCATCCGCCAGCAGGCGGACAGTCTGCTAGGCGGCCTGCCCAAACGGGAGATGACGGCCATGGCCCTGGGTCTCGCCCACTCGCTGTCGCGCTACAAGCTGAAGTTCTCGCCGGACAAGATCGACACCATGATCGTTCAGGCGCAGTGCCTGCTCGACGACCTGGACAAGGAGTTAAACAACTACATGATGAGGGCCCGCGAGTGGTACGGTTGGCATTTTCCCGAGCTGGGCAAGATCATCACCGACAACATTGCTTTTGTGAAGACTATTAAGTTGGTGGGCACCAGAGACAACATGTCAGCGGCTGATCTGTCTGACATTTTGCCTGAGGACGTGGAGGAGAAGGTCAAGGAGGCAGCCGAGATCTCTATGGGTACGGAAATCTCTGAGGAGGATGTGTTGAATATCCAGTGCCTGTGCGACGAGATCATCTCGATAAACGATTACCGCATACACTTATACGATTACCTTAAGGCCAGGATGATGGCCATGGCTCCCAATTTGACAGTCCTCGTTGGAGACACCGTTGGCGCTAGGCTGATTGCTCATGCTGGCTCGCTGATTAACCTGGCTAAGCATCCCTCATCCACGGTACAAATCCTGGGTGCCGAGAAGGCCCTTTTCCGAGCCTTGAAGACAAAGAAGGATACTCCCAAGTACGGCTTGATCTATCACGCGCAGTTGGTAGGTCAGGCGAGCCAGAAGAACAAGGGCAAGATGTCGCGATCGTTGGCCGCCAAGGCGTCGCTGGCCACACGAGTGGATGCCTTCGGCGAGGAGGCCACTTTTGAGCTGGGAGCGGCGCACAAGGTGAAGCTGGAGTCGCGCCTTCGTCTGCTGGAGGAAGGAAATCTGCGCAAACTCTCTGGTACTGGCAAGGCAAAGGCCAAGTTCGAGAAATACCAAGCCAAGAGGTGGGTTCAATCAAAATATGCAACACTGAATACCGATTTCCAATGATGATACCTAAAAGGTTTCGCATTTATCCGATTACAATGACGATAAACCTTGGCTGTCTGACCGAAATTGTGTTCATGTTCACACGTAATTTTTACTATTTCCATTATTAAAACATCTCAATTTAATTTTCCAGCGAGGTGTTCACCTACCAGCCCGAGGCTGACAATACAGTGAACGTAAAGAAACGTAAGCATTCGGAGGCGGAGCAGACCCCGTTAAGAAGGAAACTAATGAAGAAGTTGATGTTGCTGAGGAGGAGGCGGAAGTAAAGTCAGAGAAGAAAAAGAAGAAGAAGAAGAAGCAAAAGGACGAGGAGGCCCCGAGGAGGCGGCAGCACCAGAGCCTGTAGACGAGCCCACACCAGCCAAGAAAAAGAAAAAATCCAAGCACCAGGAATAGTTTCTTGGTCTCGATTGGCTTTAGTTTTAGGACTTAAATCGTAGCATTTTAGGTTACCTTACTGTAAAGTATAGGATTTTATTATAATGAGCCAGAGTAAAGTTTTTGTTGTACATTAGAAATAAAATGTAATTGCAAATCCAGATATTATTTACTACCAGATGAATTTGGCTTGATTGATTGATTGATGCCTAACTTCTTAATACATTTAATTAGGCATTAATTTAGGCATTTCTGGTTATTTTTGTGTTACTTACATTTTATAGGTACGCGGTTCACGGTTCAGTCGGATTGACGGATTGTACTGTGATTTTGTGGAAGACATTTTTAATAATTTTTTTCATCCTTGAAGGTTTTGTATATAAATCTTACAAGTAAAAAAAATTTTTACATTTTATTGCCATAAAAAAAAAGTACTCTCCTTTCTCGATTATAGACCGTTGTTCTATGGTTCTGCAACAGCAGATCTAGCCCCGAGAATAAACTTATAGCTCGTTGAAAAAACAAATCTCATGACTTTGGGGGCCAATCTTTCACTCACCGAATAACAAGAAGTTCGATTGATTGCGGTAGAGTGTGCGGAGCCAGTGAAGCAGAAAATTTTTGCGTCAACTCCCGAGGTTTGCTTGCATCACTTCGCCACAAGACCCGGCATTCTGTGGTCCACGGAATATATAAAAGCAATTGCCAGTGCCTGCCGCCCAGTTGACAGGAAAGAATGCGAGATGCATGGTAGTTATATCAAGCTGTTGCTGGTCCTGGGACTCCTGCTCTCCTACTCGGCGGCCAAGAAGAAAGAGTCATCGTCCGAGGAGGAGGAGGAAGGCGGCGACAAGTATGAAAAAAAAAAATTTGGTGCCGAGGAACACAAAGGTGAACACGGTCACAAGGAACACAAGGAATGGGAGGAGGACGAGAAGAAGCACCACGAGCTAGAGGATCACGAACACCATCACGGCGACAAGGGGTCAAAGAAGAAAAAGCATTACGACGAGAAGCACGAGCACGGTGAAAAACACGAGCACGGTGCCCACAAGAAGGGCGGAAAGCATCGTCACAAAAAGAAACACAAGAAGGGACATAAGGAGCTGGAGTATCACAAAAAGTTCAACAAGGATGAATACATTAAGGAGAAGAAGTTCTACGATGACGAGCACAAGGGTGGTCATCACAAGAAGTACGGAAAGGAGCACCACCATCATGCCGAGGAACACGGCGAGCACAAAAAGGGCGAGAAGCACGAGGGCGGCAAAAAGAAGGGCCACAAGAAGCATCATGGTCACTACAAGAAGGGACACCACGACGAGGATCACAAGAAATACAAGAAGGGGCACAAGCACGGCGACAGTTACGAAGAAAAGAAGGAGCACGGCGAGAAGGGCTCGAAGAAACATGGCCAAAAGCACTACAAGAAAAAAGGTGGCAAGCATTGAGGATAACCAAACTTATAGGAACTATAATAAAAAAATTTGTGATGTGCGAATTAGTAATGCTGAATAAAAATTGGGTAGAGGTTAAATAATTTCCGTTTTATTCATTAATTGAGGTTTTTACGGGACATGAACTGTAATATGTCTAATATATTTTTTTGTTGAACACCGTTTTTTGAGTTGAAACCCAATGTCACAGCATAACGTTTTATTTTAGTTGACTGGCTGCAACTTGAAACTTGATATTGAAAGTTCCGGGGTATTTCAGAACCTAGGGATAAAAATCGAGTTATTAATAAATGATTCACATTTTCTACAAGTACCAGTAAGGTTCTTTTTGAATAAAAGTACTACTTACAACTTAATTAAACCCATTTCTAAATCAATTTTTTTTTATAACTTTCAGAAGCAACTCGTTCAGCAGATCTCGTAGCACATCCCGGCGCCGGCGCACTCGTTCTAAGTCCGGCACTCGCTCCCGCAGCCGCTCTGCCGCCTCGGTGGGCCGCCGATCCGGTCGCTCAAATGGACGCGATGAGAATGGATCTTCTGTGCCGCGTTACAGTGATCATGAGCGCAATGGCAGCGGTGCCGTGGACTCGCCGCCGCCTCCAAAACGGCGCTATGATGACGATGACGATGACCGAGTGAGGGGATCACGATCGCGTTCCCGATCACGATCGGCGTCGCCGGCAGTGCGTCGCGGATCACCGCCACCCAGGCGTCGCGGTGACTCGTCCGCTTCACGGTCCGTATCCAGGGACTAGCGACACCGGACGGATGCAGACAGGGCCTGGCGCACGACGACAACGACGACGAAGAAGAGGGCCTGAACCTGCTGCAACCCCTGATGAATCGGCGAAGTGGGGCGACAACTGGACTTACCCTCATTCCCAGACCCAGACCTCACAATGTAACAAGACAGACAGACTCCCCAAAAATAATTTTTTCATGCAGTATCCATCTCTAGGGTTTACATAGTTGTCCAGAACCATATTAGTTAAGGGTCTTAATTTATAGTGGAACTCGCGAGTATGCATATTTTAGGTATTTCTCTGTTCCAACAACACCAAGAATAGGCACATACAGAACAAAAAGAGCGCTTTGGAGGGTCCTTGACTTTGACGGAAAGAGAGTTAAACATGGATCGGCAGCCGCGGATTATCTCAGATTCTCGATCTAGTCAAGATTTTGCTAATTGTAAATTTTTTGCTTTGGATTTTCATTGCTTACACCTGGAATAATATACTCGAACTTGTGCAGGAATCAACAAAGCATCGCCACCATTTTATGTCAATTCTACACATTAACACACACCCAACCAATACAACTCACAATACACTCGATATTTCTTCGACTCCAAAACTGTATGATGAGTGTTTCAATATTCATAATAATTAAGTCTTGAAACTGCATAATTATTATATTCGTACATTGATGTCGTAGTTAAGTATTAAAAATTACATATGTATGGATTCTTAAGATGTGTGTTTGAATTATATAGCAAATACGCTGAACACTAAAATACACACAAATATTCAATCAATAAATTAAATGCCAAAAAAAACCTTTTGTAATTTGAACTGACTTGGAGGTTTCTTCAGTCCCATTTAAAACTTGGGTCTGGCAACTCTGTTTTCCAATACGTATCATAGCCTTTGCGATAGCTACATGAAGAAATGTTATACGTTGCACCTATAACAAGTGAAGTGGTCACTAAATTTTCCAATAATAAAGCAATTATGCGCACATTAAAACAGTTTTTTTGAATTTCTGCTGGAAGTGGACGTTGCGTTGGTCACACTGAGAACTTCTTTGGTCCGGCAGCTCTGTATATTTTAATGCTTTGTTTTGGATATCTTCCTTCGTTAATAAAATATCAATCCAACGGCTCTTGAATTACCTGTCATACCTTTCACTTCGCCTTTATTAGCGACAAGAGCATGAATAAAATTTAAAAACCATTACGGTGCGGCGATCACTTTAGTGGTATATATTTTAGTACATTTAATTTAGCTTTGTTATTTTTTGGCGCCCCGGATGCGGTCACATTACTTGCATCGCATTCTTCTAGTTTGATTTTGTTTTGTGTTTTGTTTTGCCTTTTTTTTAACGACTGAACACCTTTTGTGCACCTTTACCAAGTATTGTCGAATTCGAAGAAAGTGAATAAGAATTAAACCGTTGGCAATAGCACCAGCAACGATGGCATTTCGCCAACCGGACCACGAGATGAGCGTCACCTCGCTCGATTCAAGCGTCGAATTGCGATCGCGTTCCCCGTCGCCGCAGCTCTTCAATCGGCGCAAGCTACGCTTTGCCGACGACGATTTTGACAAGGACGAGCCCGACGGTGCCAGTCCGCAGCAGCAGCAGAAGCAGCAGCCGAGAAAAAAGCTGCCCGCTGGAGAGGGGGCTGGAAGCGGCGATGTGTCTATGTCGCCACCGTGCCAGAAGGTGCGAGCCTTGCGCCTATTTAGCACGCCAGCCACACCGAAAACGATCCTACAGAAGTCAACGACTCAGTGCCGCAACCATCTCTCGGCAGCGGCCGCGGCCGTGAATGCATCCCGCGAGGAGCTCTTTCGGGTTTCGGAGCGCCCGCGTTCCTTGCCACTGCACAACCGCAACATTCCAACCCAGGACACTGCCAATGTGAATCCTTTTACACCCGATAGTGAGTCTTACGTTAGCTTTCTTTAATTCTAACTAACTTCTTTCTTTGTGATGGATCACTTCTATATGTAATGATTTTTGTTTGATTGTGATTCAGACTTTCTTAAAAAATGTATAAGGAGTAAATCGTAAACAATGATTAGATCATCATAGAAATCATCAAATGTATTAAGTTTACAATAACAATACAGTTTAACAATATTTATATATGTATATAACTTAAGTTTTTTTCATCTCTTTCTGTGTTAAATTATAATTCGTTTTTTTTATTGGCAGGCCTTCTGGCACACAATAAGAAGCGCTGCCGCACCCAATTCGGACGCGAAAACCTTAATGTAAATGCCATGCAAAAGTATTTGCTCAGCTCAGACGCCTTCGACGAGGATGCGGCGGATGCGGAGGGCGACTCTGGTCGCGAAATACACCAGCAGGCGCCGAAGCGTCTCGCCTTGCACGACACCAATATTAGCCGATTCAAGCGGGAGTTTATGCAGGTTAACGTAATTGGCGTGGGCGAGTTTGGTGTGGTATTTCAGTGCGTCAACCGGCTGGACGGCTGCATCTATGCTATCAAGAAAAGCAAAAAGCCGGTGGCCGGCAGCTCCTTTGAGTAAGTCGCTTGTGTTTTTGCTAGTATAATATTTAAACAGCTTTATATTTCTTTTTACAGAAAAAGAGCACTGAACGAGGTCTGGGCTCATGCAGTGTTGGGCAAGCACGACAATGTGGTAAGATACTATTCCGCCTGGGCTGAGGACGATCATATGCTGATCCAGAATGAGTTCTGTGATGGCGGCAGTCTGCATGCGCGCATCCAGGATCACTGCTTGGGGGAGGCCGAGCTCAAAATTGTTCTCATGCACGTGATCGAAGGCCTGCGCTACATACACTCCAATGACCTGGTGCACATGGATATCAAGCCGGAGAACATATTCTCCACTATGAACCCAAACGCACACAAGCTGGCTGAGCTGCAGTTGCAGCAGCAAACTAAAAATGATGACGAGGATGGGATGGCCAGCGTCTACGAGGAGCTGCGACACTCGGACAACCTGGTTACATACAAGATTGGTGACCTGGGCCATGTGACGTCTGTCAAGGAGCCGCATGTGGAGGAGGGCGACTGCCGCTACCTGCCTAAAGAGATCCTTCAGGAAAACTACTCCAATCTTTTCAAGGCCGACATATTTTCGCTGGGCATAACACTGTACGAGGCGGCCGGCGGAGGTCCGCTTCCCAAAAATGGTCCCGACTGGCATAAGCTGCGAGACGGTGAGGTGCCCGTTCTGCCCAGTCTGAGCAAGGATTTCAACGAACTGATCGCCCAGATGATGCATCCAGATCCGGAGAAGAGGCCCAGCTCGCAATCCATATTCAGTCACTCGTAAGTTGTTTTTTTGCCGATATACAAAGTATAAATAACAAGATTTTTGCGTTTTCAGAATCTTAAGCTCTGTTGAGTCCAAAAGTAAGCTTCAGCTCGGACTAGAGCTAACGGTAGAGAAGCGCAGAAACGAGATACTGATGAACAAGCTAAGAGAGGCAAAGAAACAAATAAAAGCACTTGAACAACGGGGTAAGTTCCTCTACAAAACGGCGTAGATTAGAACAAGATCTTTGCTATATAAGCTAGTATACACAGTTACTTAAAATCTATTTTGCCAAGATGCTTCGACACTTAATTGAAAATAGCTTGCTAATATATATAAAAACTACAATTCCACGCTCATATGAATATAAAATGTTGAAGTTGTATATTGTATATGTCCCATTTTGCCCATTAATAAAATCTAATTTTTTTTTATTTTGTAGTTAATCTACTGGCGGCGAATAACAACCCAGATAGTCTGGATGGTCAGCGTTGCCTTCGCTCTTTTACGCGACGCATGCGCACGCCGTTCGATACTCTGGTGGCCGACAACAAGAATGTTATCAGCAATGTTTGATAAGGTCGCTATGCGAACACCGATAGCCAAACTCTTCCGAATAGAACGTGAACTCTAAGCTCACATTGTGTTACACTTGATATATTAATCATATTAAAGATATATGTACCATATTTTAAAGTTGTCGCTTCGGCCGATCGTGCACCCGCCATTCCCGGTTAATTGTCACAGTTCGTGAAGTAACAAGCATGGCTAATATAATATCTATATTTTCTCCAGCTGAGTGAAATTTTCTTTGCAGAGAAAACACTTTTTTGTTTTAAGATAGAAGCACCCCCTCGTAGATGTTTAAGGTAAACGCCCAACTGTAAATGAGTATTGTTTTCAAAATTAAACTATTTATTGTGTTACATATGGAAAGCGAAATTGATAAACGATACCATTCGTTAAATATAACGAATGCAAGTTCCATATAGTGAACATATTTTTGTATTTTTTTTTTCATTGGGCTTTGTCGCACTGTGACTCTGGTGGTGATTTACATTAAATTGTCTACGTAAGTGCCCTGTGAATAAAAAATGTCTAATTAATACCGCATAAAATCCAAAAAATGATCTTAAACGAATCACTAGACGTTCATTTTGTCGCAATGAAAATGTAAATTTTTAAAACAAATCGTTTGCGAACCTTCTATTATTATCAAATGTATTTTGGCAAAGGAATTTTAAAATAGTTATCATAACCGGACTTAAAAGACGGAGATATGAAATTAGGGTAAAATTTAAATAGCATTTATAAATAACTTTTCGATCATTTCTTTGTTGTCTGGATAACCTTAAATGGTACTTTGTTTCTCAACAACCATAAACGCTGTCAGGCAGACTCATTTTTTTAACGAATTCCAAAAAGTTCTGTCAAATGTATTTTATTCGCAACATGTTAAGATAAAGGGGCAATATTTTTTTTAACAAAAATTGTGCCTATGATTGCATAATTTGACTTCTTTTCATTTAGGCACTAAGACAAATTTTAAGTCGAGCTGTAGTAACGGGTTTTTATGGTTAAAAAGTATAATGAAATCTTTGCTCTTAATCCTATTTTAGTAAATGAACTTGGATTATGTTGTTACTCTTACATATACATTTGTGTTATATGATTAGAATCGTTTATAATTTTGCTGCTGCTGCTGTTGTTGCCAGTTACCACCGCCTTGGTGGTAGTTGTTATTCCGTCCATTGTTGTAGTTATTGTAGTTCCTTTGCTGGTTGGGATTGTCTTGTTGGTATCTCGGATTCTGGCCGTATTGCTGGCGGTTATTGTAGTTACCTTGATAGCCACCACCACCGCCCTGGTTGAAGTTATTATTGTAATTGTAATTATAGTTGCGACTATTATTCTGATAGCCCTGTCCTCCTCTCCCGCCGCTTCCTCCTTGCCCGTATCCTCCCCCTCCTCCTCCGCCTCCGCCGCCACCTTGACCATAACTATTTCGTATTCCGGCATTCAACATGCGATGTCCACTATCCGGCACATAGGCCCGGTTTAAGTGGCTATTGAACCCTATGACTGGGCGATGCTTCTGGCCCTGCTCGGACGGCAGCACCTGCGGAGGATCAACGGCATTCGGCAGTCGCTTCGCTTCGAAGATGTAGTCGTCATCGTACTCCGGATCCCGGAATGTCGAAGTCACAATCGTGTTCTCATTAATGTCCGGGAGTCCAGATATCGGGGACCTTAGGCAGCCGCTGATGGCAGTGTTTAGTTCCGATTTTCCCAGTGTGCCGCGCATCCCACTAAAGGAGATGGCGCTACACTCATCCTCAGTCGACTTTTCTGTTATTTTTTTTACCTTCTTGTAGTGTGGACTCGAAGTTGTAATGTACAGATAATTTTCGCCCCGCTTGTTTCGTCTCACCTCCTCCCCGGTAAGCTGGTCGTAGTACGGAACGAGGGCCTTGAAGAGACGCTTCTCATCGACGAAAGGTAAGAGGGCCACACCCTGCCAGGCGAATTTCTTGCCATTCAAATCGATCTTAAAATCCTCCGGATAAAAGTCAATGATCGGTGAGTCCGGATTGGACATGAGTTGGGCCCACGGCTCGGGCACATGGGAGCTACTGGCTGCTGGAAAGACGCCCATAAGTTGTTCCAGAGGGTTAAAGGGCTTTGTGCCGCGTTCAAAATGCGTCGATAGGCCCTGGATGTTGACGAAATCGGACGCGAAGGGCGCATAATGGTACGGGAAATACCAGTTCCACGAGGCGCACCCCTGGTAGTAGTACTTCAGCACCCAACACAGGCCTCTTACGTACTGTAGCGCCACAGCGTAGCGGAATTGCTGGTTGCCCGGAGCCACATCAAATTTGGACTCGTAGTAGCGGTCCTTAAATCCATCCTCCCATAGCCTAACCTCGTCGTTGACCTCCTCTTCCTCGTCATCGTCGTCGTCTAATGCAGCCTGCTCACTCGTCCTCTTGCCGAGGCGGAGGGCTGCGGCTGCCTCCTTGTAGTTACCGATGTTTGATTTTGGGTTGTTTTGCCCCACAGCGCTGGCACCAAACACTGACTGGTCCAATGCCTTGTGGTCCTGGTTTCTCTCCTGCCGACGTCGCATCTTATCCCTGGCCTTAAACTGCTGCTCGCGCCGCTGCCGGTTTTTGAAGATCTGGTCCTCGGCATTGCCCAGATCGGTCATTATCAGCTGCACCCTGTCCAGATTAACGTCGCCTGAGTCGGTAAGATATCCCTTTGTCTTGTAGACGCACTTCTTATACAGCTCCACTAGTCGATCAACGGCACCCTCGCGAATCTCCAAGCTTGGCAAGTGAGGCAGAAAATCGTTGCCCACGAAGAAACACATGAATACCCAGTCGTCCAGGGCGCGTTCGAAGCTATACTCAAATGGGAGGTTCGGCATCTCGAGCGTCTGCTTCAGGTACTCCCGCAGCACGCTCAGCCGCACAAAGATGAACTTCACCTCTGCACCAATAGGAACATCGGGCTTGAAGTTGGCGCCCGTTGGCCCCGTGGCCCCCAGTCCCACGCACTTATCCATCTCGTGACCGAACTGGTTGCAGATGTCACAGGGACGCGGCTTGTTCGGCAGAAACTCTTCACGAATAATAGTGAAGTTCGGCTCGTGTGTGGCTAGCCCGAGCATAATGAGATCCGCATCGGCCCCGCATAGTACATGCTGGGTGTTGGGGTCGTGGTCCGGCTGGGCTCGTTGCTTACGGATATAGTCCATGATCTTGTGCTCGCCCTCGCCCGGAACATTGGCATCCGAGAGGATCACCTTGATGCCCTTCCAGGCTGGGTTGTTGTTCAGCCGATCGTGGACATAGTAGTGCAGGCACTTACTAAGCCGGTCCATGAAGGGCGTGCCCGGCGTGATGCAATTGGAGTCGAAGTGTTCGCCCTTCTCCTTCTCGGGCGGCAGCTTGCAGCCGCGGCTGAGCAGCTCCTCCCTGATCCGCTCGATCTCCAGGCGCTTTTCTGAGGTTTCCTTAGCTGCCCGGAAGCGACGGGACCGCTGCTGATTCATCTTGGCTCGCGGCGCCACTCCATCTATGGCCATGTAGAGAAGTTTCCTTGGCCGCACAATTCCAAACAGTCGGTCGATACAGTCGAAAATAGCCACCATCATCTCGTCCTCGTTCTTCGGTGCCGGCTTGTCCTCCGGATGCGTGCACGGATGGATAATGCCGTTCATGTCCAGGTAAAGATTGTCGAACTCCACCCCGTTCGGATTCGGCAACGTAGCGTCCTCGTAAGTGTTCCGGCCGGTGTCCGGGTCCACCTGCTTGTTTTCGTTACACTCTATGATCACGCTCGGATACTTCCGGCTCAGCCAGCGAAAGAATGCTGGAACTCCCATGATGATGGTTGTAAATTAAATTTAAATTACTGTATTTTCTGTCTCCTCCTAGCTCTTTTCCCGTTTTCTTCACAGACAATACAGCATGCTCCAGCGGCGGTGGGCAGCGCTTTGTCCAGGCGTTGCCACATGTGAAAATCACGTTAAGCTAAATATACAGGGGATTCCCTATTCGACTGAGCTCCTGAAAATATCGGCAATGTATTGGTGATTTACTTATTTGAAACGCATATACGTCTCCAAATTGTAAATTGTAAACCCCAATGGGTTTTTAATCATTAAGTCTGCATTTTCAGCGCCCTCGGAGACGCTGAATGATTGAAAATATCGACTAAGAAATTTCTGTATGGGAAAGCTATTTACAGCTGCCGATATTTTCAGTTATTCAGTCGTATACGAATTCTCCTGAAAATAAAACCCAAAATATACATTTATAATGCATTTATATATATATTGTATTTATTTCATTTAAATTAAATTAACACCGATTAAAAAGTTATCGCCAGATTTCATGAAAAATTCTATCAGGCAGCACTCAACTCGGTACGTACCTTCGGAAGGGCTGCCAGATCTCCAAATGTAACTCATGTGGTTGATTTCGAACGACAGATTTTATTATTTGCTATGGCAAAAATCCTACAGAAATACATAAAATTCTCCGGCAAGGCGCTGGAGAGTTACGCTGCCAACCCGGAGTCCTGCGTGCGATGCATCAACTCAGACATGCACTTGGCAATGGGGCCATACGGTATGGCCAGGTTCAAGCACGCGCTCCACGAGCTCCTCATCCGCACCAAGGTGGGCATCTACGATTCCGGTCTCGATGGCATAGTGCTTGGCATCAAGAACATAAAGGTTCAAGGCCACACGGCGGCATTGCGAGCCGACGATCCTACTATGCACCTAGTAATTAATGCGGACTTCTACATATTCCGTCCGATTACCGGGGTCATTCTGGACGGAGTGGTGCGCCACATATCCAAGCACCAAGTCAGTGCCGTCATCTATCGTGTGTTTAATACGACCATCCGCTTCAGTAACAAGATGCTCGGCCGCGAGAGTCTGGTCATGGATCAGGAGATTAAGTTTCGGATCAAGAACTTCGACATTAGCAATGCCATGCCGTATATTGAAGGAGAACTGCTGTTGGAGGACGGCGAAGAGCCACAGGTGAGATAGCCATATGAATTACTTTCGAATTTGTTCATTATTAATATAAGTCTTTTAACAGAACAAATCCATAAAGTTTAGCAGCCCTGAACCCGAGAAAAAGGCAAACGACTTTGGGAAAGAGGATCCCGACATGTTGGATGCTCTCTTAGATTCTTTAAATGAGTTACCTGATCAGGTGGAAACGCCGATTAAGAAATCACCGCCAAAGCGTAAAAAGGCGACTGTAAACGGTGAGGCGACTACGAAAGCGAAACAAGTGAAAAAAGAAATAAAAACTGAACCTATATAGCCATAAAATCCCACTTGTTTTAAAGACAATAAGTATAGTACAAATTACCAATTACTATATAAAATGCCTACAGAGAAGCTCAAATTGTTTTAATGGCTTCTCTATATAGGCCGTAAGGTATGGGAGATGCTGTACTCTTTTTCTTTATAAGGAAGTCTAGTTTAAAATGGAAATATGAGTACTTTTGTAATACATATGTATTTCATACAAATAGAGTCAATATTTTACAATACATTAAATACACAATATGTTTATCATAGTTATTAGTTTTTTTGTTTTTTTTTTATAAATTATTAAAAGCTTCTTACATATTCTGTTTGATTTCGCTAATTATTAAATAACAAGCAAATACAATATAATACCAGATCCTAATCGTATATTAAAAAGGAACATAAACTATACACACAATGATAACACGTTGAAAAATGATTCCTACACAATACATATCCATATCCTCTCATTCGCTTCTACAAGGAACATTTACATAATATACAAACATACATAATACGTACGGTTACAACGATTGTTTGCCTTTTCTTTGGGAAAGAACAGAGTCCATCTATTATATTCATTAGCTTCAATTTCAGGAAGTGAGTTAAGAAACTAATAGAGAGAATCCGAAATCATGTTAAATGCTACACGGAAACGAACTTAACTAGCTCGAAGATAGTTCGGATATCTTATTAATAGATTGTTTTCTTTTTCTTTTAGTTGCCAACTGAATTTATTCAATAAATGTTGGGCAATTTAAGGTTATTGATTCTGTTTAAGCCAGAAAAAATAAGTAGAAGACATAAAACTAGGCTCACACATTGATTATTAGGAGGGTAATGATTGCTAGACTGAGATTTCCTGAATATGTACACGTTTCTTGCCGCTGGTGCCCCCGGCTCCTGTTGTCGAGCTTCCCCCTGAACCTGCTTGCCGCAAGATGCCTGTTTGTTGCTGCTGCTGATGCTGTTGTTGTTGGGCGGCCAGAAATGATCGAGGTGGTGGTGGCGGCTCGGGTATATCATCGTCTCTGGTGATCTCCGTATCGGACACGGCTGCCGCCTTGACTGCCTCCTCTATCGCCTTAAAGGACATCTGATCCGAGGACTGGACCGCATAATCGAATTGCTGCGGACTGTTAAACTGCATTGTTGTGTCCACGAAGGATCCGCGCTTGCTGCTCATCGCTGACGTGGACTCCATCACCGTGGGCAGGACGCCGTAGGTGACCATTTCGATGGAAGGATCCCCCGGCTTGGTCTTGAGCAAATCCAAAGTGCTTGTAGAGCACGCTCCCCAGGTGTCCATCATTAGCGAGGTTTGGCCCGTTGAAGACGACGACGATGGCGGCAGCTCCACCAGAAGTTTTTCTTCCTTCAGCTGCTTGGTTTTCTCATCGTAGCAGCTGTATTCTCCAAAGACCACGCCCACCCCGCCTTTGCTGTCTACGACGGAACCGCTTAAGGTATAGGCATCGGCGATATCACCCGCACCGGGTCCGCCCACTCCTCCGCTAGCACCCATTAAGGCGTTGAGCTTAAGCATGCTAGAATTCTTGCTGGTGTCGCTCTCTTGCAGCTCCTCCTTGGTCTTGGCATCGCGAGCCCGCTTCTCGCGCTGATGGTAAATGCCCGCGAAAATCAGAACATTGAGAATAAGTAGGAAACAGCCCACGGCCACGGTGGCTATCAGGGCGGTAGTGTAGCTCTGGAACTGCTTGCCACTTAGTCGCCTGAGCAGCTCCAGGTTTCCAATTATACCCGTGGAAGCGGTGGCCAGGTCCTTTTGCGTCTCCACCCGCGTGACTCCGGTCCGATTGTCTTTTGGTGCCTGGGTGGTGGTCAGTTCGGACACGGACATTGCGCCATCGATGCCGCACTCTGCAATGGGAGGGATTGGAAAGCGATTAAAATAGGGGCAGACTTCATCAAAGGCCATCACTCAAGCTCACCTGTGGTAGTGGTTGCACCTGTAGCCATGGCATTCAAAGCTTGCGTGGCATTTGTACTCGGGGCCTTTTGAGGCGGCGGCGGTGGAGGTGGCGTCGTCGTCGTCGTTGTTCTGCTCTTCTGCATGATAAGTATGGGATCATCGTCCGCTGGCTTCGTCTGCAACTGTGGCCGCACAACGCCTAAAACAACAATATCGATTTCGATTTAATAGATTTCATTAAGCATATTTATATTTCCAAAATCTTACCTTCATAAAGGTCCCGGTTGTTCATATCGTCCTGAAACTGATGATGTCTCATCGACTGGTCATTGATGTTGAAGTGACGATGCAGCTGAGGGATGAGATTCAACCACATGGACAGCTTGTGACCACGATAATGGCTCTGAATGTTGGCCTTGTTCCCTGAAAATGAAAAAAATTTTCTTTAATATATCTCTCTCTTCAGATGTTCTTTAGTTTGCTTACCCAATTCCACGTAGAGCTGATTGACCACATCGTAGGCATCCCAAAAAGGCAGTTCGTCGCCATCATAGCTGCCCACATCACGGTCACTGGATATGCCCAGCTGGGTAAAGGCGGCATCGTTGCTCCGCATTCTTCTCCGGATGTAGGAACGCTTCTCGTGCATGGCATTGCTCCGGCGCTGGTTGTAGATCACGGCCAGGTTGAGCGCTTCACTGAGATTGGGATGGGTTAGGCCAGTGGAGCGTTTCTTCTGATGATGCAGGGCAGGATTTGAGTCCTCGCTCGGATTGGCTAACGCTGGTTTGACCGAGGAAAGGTTTGGATTGCTGTAGGTTTAAGATAAATAAAAAAAAAATACAGAAAAATAATAAAATATGCTTTACGCTTTACGAGTTTTTCAGTTGGGTATCTTCTCAGAACTTACCCGGTTTTTGCGAAATTGGACAAATATCGCAGCATAAGTCGACCAATTTGGCGCTCCTGAGTCGTGTAGTTGTGTGGAAAGAGCGGGGACATGGGCAGGCCCAGCCAGAAAGGCACATCTTCGCCGCGCACGGAACCAGTTCTCTGAGGAATTTAAAGCATTGATTTAAGTAAGGTATTTTTCCTCCTTTAAAGACTACTCTCACCTGTGGATACTCCTCCTCTACGGTTTTGTGTTTAAAGTGCAGAAAATAAGCACGTCCCCCGCGGAAGCTGTGCATGTAGCCCAATTTAATCAGCGGCGAGGCCGTGTGGCCATCGCTCAGAAACTGGAGGGTGGCGTCGCGGGAGCTAAGAGGATTACGTATAGCTTTCTCCCAGTCGGTGTACTCATTCTGAAATAAGCAAAGTTATGGACTTTATATAGTATCAGACCAGAGAAGGGGTGAAGTTCAGAATATGAAATCCTTGAATTAAAACAAGATTGGGTTCTGGGCCTTCATGAGATATTAGCTAAAGGTAAAGCTACAACTTTTAATGACAACTTGTCTCACCTTCAATACCGCAAATATCTCATTCAGATGATAGTGAAAATTGTTGCGTACAAAGGTTCGCAGGATACGATCCCGCCGCGTCTCATTGAAGCCAAACTCCAAGTCCTGGGCACTCAAATCCAAATAGGACTCCACAGATGTAAGGCAGAATATGAGGTCTCGTTTCGGAAAGTTTGCATATTCAATTCCTGAAGTACTGTCGTTTTGACAAAAGCGATTAACTCCGAAATTATGCATCTTATTTCTGTATAATTACCTAACAATAGCCGATCCCAGAGGCAGCGTTGTGCTGCCCAAGGGATTGGCGCCTGGCGATATTACAGTTCCATCCACAAATGGAGCGAATCCCACGAGAAACCTGCAAGGAAATAAGGGTAATGATAAGAATCCGTTTAAATATGTAACTTTTTATGGTATTTATAATAATATTTAATATTAGGAAATGGTTTATCCAACACATTTGCCTGACTTACCGCGGATGATCCACTTTCACCGACAGCAACTCAGCGACGCTCTTGGTGCGCAGGCAGGGTGCCAGGTCATCGTAGAGCATATCGCCATGGCAGCCAGTCTGCTCCGCCACCCGACGCTTCACAAAGAGCGGGTTCTTCTGGATGGCCCAAGGGGACAGGGCACTCCCACTGACCAGCACTGTGCGCTGTATTAAATCTGGCAAAAGTTTAGAAATTATTTATAAGTTTTATAAGCTCAAAAGTTGTTTATATCAAAGCCTTGTTCTCAAACTGTTAGCATTGCTTCGTTTAAATTTAAAAAAATTAAAGGAAAAAAGAAAAGGGAACGGACTAGACATGGTAAAACTAGGTCGTACCACTCGCCACTGGGGAAACTACCAATATGTTGGCCAGCACAGCCCCGGTGCCATAGCCCAGGAGCGTGATACTCTGGGGATCCCCGCCAAATGCGGGTAGATTCTCCTTAAGCCAGTGCAGGCCCGCAACCAAATCCATTAGCCCAAAGTTGCCCTGGGCACTCTCCTTGCCGCCGGTTTTGAGGAAACCAAAGATTCCCAGACGAAAGTTGATTGTCACGACGATGACATTGCCGTGGGCGGCCAGCTCGGAGCCATCGTAGGGATTCCCTGAGTTCCAGTCGTACGATTCGCCATGTATGAATACCACAGTGGACAGTTTGGTCTTAGCTTCGCCAGCAGAATCATCGATATTGCCTGTCAAAAGAGGAGGGGGACATGTTATTACTTTTTCCTCAACGAGAGTTCAAATATTTTATTCACAGGCGATGCTGTGGCAGGCGATGTTCATGGTGGTTCAATGCTGCCAATCCCACAATGCTTGCAGTTGAGACCTTAAAACACTGCAATGCACTACGGAATTGAAAGCTTCGATACCTTTTGATGTTGAATAAGGAAGACCAATACATAAGCTATTGTTTCACACTTTCAAAGACTACTTAAAGTTCACTATGAACACTTACGTTTCTGGCGGCGCGTCTCGTAGGGCACATAGATATTTAGGTATAAGCAGTCTTCCGATTGGTTCTTGAGCAGCGGCAACAGGCGCCGCAGCTGGGCGAGGCGAGCGCGCGGCACTTCCAGGAGCGCTTCCGGTCCGTTGGGCGGGATGGGAACGTTCTGCGGGCAGACGGGCGAGAATCGATCCGCGCTGCGAACCGTTTTCCACGTCGAGGGCGTTATGGGGGGCATAAATCTGCGAAAGGCACAGAGAGAGAAAGGAGCAATATTCGTTGCGATAAGTAAATTTACTGTTTTGGCCACTTGGGCAAAAAGCAAACGAATATCACGTATACGCAGAGTATTCCCGCAAAATATATACAAATACAACTGAGGTCAGAATTAGAGCTCTAATATAAGGGAGGTTGCCTTTCAAAAAAATTAAATATAAAAATAACTAATTGTAATCTAAGTTTCTTGGTTACTTATTAGCAAATGTCAAATTTTATTTTTATATTTAATTTTACTTTATTTATCTATGTTATTAGGGTTTAAATTATTATATAGTCACAAAACTACCATTGAGTAGTTTTTGTAAGAATACTTATTTTAAAGTCTTTAAGGTTAAATAGGTTGTAAAATAACAAAGTAAAGTGGTACCTTAGAAACTAAAATACAATAATTTTCCATAATTAGAAGTTATTTGAATTGAAAGCTGTAAAAAATGTAAAATGTAAAAAATGTAAAAATGAAATATAATAAATATTTCTTTCTTCTCGAATATGATTTAATTGATTTTTATTAATCTCGAACTATTGCGAGCTATAGATATAGCTAGATGGCTAGCTGGTTACACGCTATCTTCAAATTTTGTTGAAAAGCCAAAGAGAAATATTTTAGTTCAGTTATTTTAATATAGTTAGCTGCTTCTTAAGATACATTATTTTAATATCATTAATTAGTATTTTAGTAAAATATATTAGTAATAATATTATGGATGTCAAAAGGTCTTAATTTATTATGTTAAGTTACAATACAAAAAAATCATTTCGAAAATGTTATTTCATTTAGAATTGATTAATATTCTTAATATTTCTATCAACTAAAGACCAGCACAATAATTCACAATATTTTTAAATGCCAATTAAATTTTGAAGGCCTATTATTTTGACTTTATATAGATATATACATATGTACATATACATATCTATATATAGATGAATATGTGGAAGATGGTGGCTATTAAGTGGAAGGGATTCGCTGGGCTCGTAAAGCACTGAAACTAAGTACCGGCCATCAATCAAAATTGCAAACTGCTTTTGATTAATTGTGCATTTTATTGTTTTGCGTTGAAATCCATCGATCATAAGGACGGATTGCGGATTTGCGGATTGGATGAGCCAAGGAGACAGGCATCGGCGATAAATATGGCTTGGCTGATGCTATGTTGATTTTATGACGCGATAATTGACGCGAAACGTTTTGATTGTTTTTTGCTCCTTTGTGGCTACAGCCACGGCTCCTGCCCCAAGCCCCAAAGCCCCAGTTAGTCAGCTTCCAGCTCTCATCTTCCCACTCCGGCTCCATTTTTGGGCATCCGGGCAAAGGCAAACAATGGACCGCATAAACAAAAAGCTCGCGCTTTGCGGCGAGCATAATTTTTCAGCTCTACGTGACTTGGTTCGTGTGCATTTCACGTTCACAGTTTCGGTAACTCCGCCCTACCGGGTAAAAAAACCCATTCGACATTGGGCTCTCCGGCTAAAATTAATACTTTTTCGAATGGAAGCCGTTGCAAAAAGTTTTCGCTATAAACTATTTATAAACGAAATATAACCATTTTTGTTGTTTTTGCCAACTTTTGTCGAGTGTTAACAGCTAACGTTTTATTCGGTGTTTTATTCTTGCTTTTTCTGTTGGGGTACACTGAATTTTGAATTTTTACCCACATAGTACTCTAATATTTGTTGTGCGCAGGTTAGCTAAAAGGCTTACTGCCAGTATAGTAAATAACCATCTAAAACATAAAAAGCTTTTTGTGGAATTCAATTTTTGCTGCCACCTTATGGGTCTACCTTTTTTAATATTCTGTGCATTTTTGATTACAAAATATAGGCGACAGATGCGCTTGATTAATTGGCAGCAAAAATCACGTTTTATCAGCAGCAGCAGGATTACAGCATGCTTCGTCCCCTCCAGGAGCCGAGGGAAAGCTGAAGATCTGGGGGATTTGGCTTTTGATTAACTTCTGTTTGCCGATTTTCGGCATCTGTTGCTGCATGATAATGAACCGCATTCATAAACGACTTCATTCCGCAGGCGTCACACTTTCCCGCAGGAAGTAATTAAAGAACAATTTTCATGAATTGTGGCTAAGCAAACAGCACGGAGCACGGAGCACGGAGCTCGGAGCACGGAGCACTGAGAGAAGGTGATGGTGGCGGCTGCTGAAGGACCCTTTAAGTACTTCATCCAATCGCTTCATCAAACACACTTGTTGTTCATGCATGTCACACAAAGCTTTTACTCCTTCGCAAGCCAACGCCTGTATATCCTTCGGTGTATGTATGTGGCACAGAAGTGTGAAAGTGCCCAAGTAAGGGGAAACTTTTGTAATATCCCAGAAACTTCACTCGGGGTCTCAGCTTTCCGCTCAATACCATCAACTGCCTGGCAATGGCTTATCGAACTTTGCGGCTCAGAGGTCCTTTTGCAGGTCCGTGTGCTGCCGTGTTGCTCTCCGGAGCCGTCAACTGTTTTGTTATTAATTGGGTGTGGAGCTTCGCTGATTCCTCGAGAGAAACAACCGCGGAAGTTTAATGTGTTTTGCCGTTTTTTGTTTTTTAAATCGCAACCAAAAACTAGCTCACAGAAAAAAAAACTTTTTTAATTGTTACGTATACAGTGCAAAGTTGTGGATTAATTCCAAGTAGCACTTTGGCTTCATTACGAGCGGCTCCAGCCCACCGGCTTCCTTGCCGTCCCTGCGGAACTTTAAATCCTCAAACAATGCTTTGGGATTTCCGGGGCTGGGGTCCGTAAACTTCTCACTTGCAAGAGTCCGGAGTCCGGAGTCCAACGGACCCGCACCCGGACCCGCACTGTAGTGCCAAGCACCATCCACACACATATTTCATGAGAATAATTATTAAAATTGCTTTGGATAAAGTTGCGCTGCGGCGCAGTGTGAAAAAAGTTGGCCAAGAGAGGCGAGCCTTTTAGCCCGAGACGACCCCCATGTGGCATCCAGATTGCGATATCTGGTCGGACCGAAGGTGCGGGCGTGAGTAACCCAGGCACGGAGACAAAAATTAAGGGTTTTCGTTAGGCTACCGCGTTGTGTTTCCTTAAACTTAAAGACCGTAGTAAAAATTCTGCTCAATTCAATTGAATTTAAAAATTGTTAAACAAAAATAATACGTACAGAAATATGCAATGAATTATTCTATGTTTCCAATTCAATATAAATAGTTATTTTCGCTTTCACTTAAAAGCAATTTTTACTTTTAATGTATAACATTTTAGATTTCTATTATAATCAACTTATAATTTAATCAAATTCATGTTTTTTGGTATTGAATTATATTGAAACTACTCCCCCTAGAACTCTTGCATATGATTAGCATATGAATAAAATAAATAAAGAGAAATTTTTGAATTAATTACATCAAAACTCAAAGTGCTTTTGTGTTAAAAGAAATCATATTTCTTGAGTAAAAGCTCCCCAAACAAGTTATTTTCAAACAATTTAAAACTAGGTAAGTTAAAAATAGAATATGTTTTAAAATATGGAACGAATCTTGGCATCCTTGACTATATAAAAAATACTTAATTCGGCGTGAGTGTCACGCTACCTGCTCCATTTGGTTGGGCAACACCCCAAACACCCCACCCACCCCAACATGAAACCACGACTCCCCGGGGAGGCGTAATCTTGAGCAACACTGAATCGCGCGACTCCACCTGAGACTCACCTGAGACTGCCCACCGGCGGCGAGGCATAGGGAATGCCCAGGAAGGCCTCTACCAGTGGCGAGGAGCGCACCACGATCCCCCGCAGGAGGCCGTATTTGGTCTTCACCGTGTTACTGCCGCCATGGAGGCACTCACAGCCCTCGGGCCAGAGGCTGGTGAGGAGCAGTAACAGCAGCAGCATGGTGGCCTCCGGGTGGACAGGAGGCGGAGTTGAGCTGGTTCCGGGATAATGGGGTGGCCTTCTTCTTGGTTGGCTGGCAGCTGCTCCGGCTGACGCTGCTGACGTGGCCGATGATGGCTGGCGCCTTTGATTGTGTTCGTCGGTTGTGGAATCCTCTAGAAATCTCTTTAATGTTATCAGTCTTATAATGCAAATTCCCGTTGCCATGATGCGGGCATCCGTTTCCGTTTCTGTGTCCGTTTCCGTTTCCGCTTCCCGCTCTTTATCTTTATCTTTATCTTGTGCATCCGGATCCGCTTCCGCAAGCGTTTGCTGCTCAATTGAAGCGCCGATAGTTTTAATGCAAGCCATCCAGGAACCGAGGCAAAGCAAACCGTAAATTTGTAGAAAACGCGATTGAATTATCCGAGTCTCCGCCGGCTGGCGGCTCCTTGGCCTTGAGCCCGAACTCAGTTTCTGGGCGTGGGGCTGCGACAGCGATGTGGACGTGGATGTGGACTGCGACTGCGACTGCAACTGGGAATGGGATTCGGAATGGGATCGAAACAGGATGCGGCAGGATGTCGGGTCCGCTTCATTTTGACAGCCGTTGTGCGCATGTTGAGCTTGTGATTCACGTGCACCGTCGCCATAGTTGGACTTTAGCGCTTTGATTTCAAATATTATACACCGCACGTGGTGGCCTCCGCTCTATTAGAGTCGCAATTTCAGCGTCCGTCCCCGTCGCCGATTTCCAATCCCTCGTCCTCCGTGTCCGGATATCCAGGAAAATGTCTGCAAATGTGAGAAAAGCAAATTTCCAGCATTAGTGTTAGCGTCAAAAGCGAGTCTGCAGCGATGGCGAAGCTAACCTATAACCAATTGCGAGAATGGCGAATAGCGGGGCTGCTTTCCTTTTATGAGATTGCAGATTGCTAGCCGGAGCAAAGTGCAGTTCAGTTCAGTTCAGTTTAGTTTAATTCGGAGCAGAGCTGGGAAAGGAGCGGAGCGTAGCAGAGAGGAGAGGACCTTTACGCTGCCAGGCTCGGGTCTTAACTGCGCCACGCATCAGAGCGTGGCATCCTTAAATAGCCTTGGTCAATGCATCCGGCCAAGCAGCCATAGAAGCAACGGCAGATGCAGCACTGGCATCAGCAGCACCACCAACTCGTTACACGGAGAAAAAATACCATTAAGTAGGTTTTCAATTTGGATTATAAAGGAATAAGTTTTGGTATTAACTAGCAAGGTGTCTTGCAGCTATGTTCCTTGATACAGAAAGGCTAATGATCGAGTGAAATACTTAGTGAAAACGGATGAATTAAAAACTACAAATTGAATAGTAGTTATATTTGGTATAAAAAGCTCAATTTAAAACTTATTTTAGTAAACTCTTATTGATCTATCTCTAAAAAATTACCATCCTTTAGATGTATAATTGATGCAAAATAATATGACATTCTAAGGCTATAAAATCACTTAAAAAACTAAACAAATAATACTAACATTTTTATGGCATACAGTAGATACATGCAATGAAATATTTAAGGTATACGATTCCTCAACACACTTTTGGCCATGGAATTAAATTATTTTAATTGAATCTTATTACTGGATAAGAAAAGTCCCCAGTAAAGCTAATTTTCATCAAATTTTCCAAAGTGCACCGTAATGGGGTCTGCTTTGGCGCCCACTTTATGGCTGCACTAAGGACGGTGCACGTCTGTGGTGTCGGGGCTGATGGTGATGGGGCTGCTCCAACCCCATGCTCCTTGTCACCGGTGGTGCAGGTGCAAAGCGCTTTGCTACGGCACCGTTTGACCTCGCCTTCTGCCCTCCATCACACTGCTCCTCCGCATCCCGCATCTCACATCTCTGGCATGGGTCTTCTGAGAGCTGCAGCTTGGGGCAAAGGCTGCCTGGAAAACGTGTTGGTCCACTGTGAACTAGTTCGGCGACTGTGTTTTATGGGAAATGGGAAATCCAATGATTGATGTTTGAATTGGTTCGAATTTTAACGATAGCCGATGATCTTTTATTGATTTCGCAAGGATTTTTAATATCATTAAACTTGGATATGTATGTTAAACGCTAGATCCTGCTCTGAAGATTGTTAATCCTTATATTGACTTTATTGAAGGTTTTTATTGATTTATTGTTATAGAAGTCTAAACTACCTTTTCTTAATATCCACTTTTGCCATAAATGGATTTAAAATTATATATTTTCATGCCATAAATGGGTTTTATATGATTAAAGCTCACAGGAGTGCCACAGTAAATAGTAAATAGTAAATAGTAAATCCGTTTAAGAGGTTCAGAAATTATTATAAATAACACTATTTATCTTTAATGCTATTGAATGATATTAGTTAATCGAACAATAACCTTTAAAAAAGTTGTCAAAAGGACGCAATACAAGATTCAAGGAACCAAATTTAGTGTTTTGTTTGTTTTCAACACCTTTTTAGAGGATTTAAAAACTAACAGAGGTCATTTCGTTTGAATGTGGATATATGTTGACTAATTTCAACAAGCTCCGAAATCCATTCAATGGAAAAAACTTAGTAAAAGCCAACTCTTTTACAAAAAGTTCACCACAAAACCCTGTTTCAAATACCTATCCTAAAAGGATCTATCTGCCGGCAAACATATTCCAGCATATTAGTCCATTTGCATGGAAATACACATTGCCTACTCTCATCACATTACAATGTTAATCCCTAATGTGGGCTACGCACTCGCCTCGCCGACAGAATGGGGTAAAGTGGTTTTATTTGGGTTAAGATAAAAATGTGTAAATCTGTCAACCTTTTAGGTGTTAATTTAATGTACTTAGCCGGTTCGTTGTCCCTGCCATAAGCACACACGGAGCACACACTCGGAACTGGAAGCTGGGAACTGGGAAGCTCGGAAAACTGTGGACCCGGAGCAGCGGCACAAATGTTATGGACTCCTAAGCTCTTGTGGGCCTCATTAACAAATGCTACGCCCGGCTCCATTCTGCGGGTCAGGAAAGGCAAAGCCGGGAGCGGGGAGCAGGACGATTGGGAGTGCGGCCATATATCTTTGCCGCTCCCAGGCAGAGCTGTTTAAATCCGTATATTTTATAAAGCTAAACAATTGGCAAAATAAAACAACGAGCAGAATGCAGGGCGGACTGAAAACGAGACGAGTTGAGACCGGTTGGGATGACTCCGGTTGAGCCGGGCTAAACAAACACACATTTCACTAAATTGCAGCCATAAAACTAAAGTTTAACTATGCTGCGGACCGTAGAGTATTGCCCATGGACAGCTTAACATTTTTCCCCCTCATATCAAGGATATCCCTGCGCCATCCTTTGTTTCCCGCACTCAGCTATGTGTGGTGTGTGTACTCCGTGTGTACTCTGTGTGTGTGTTGACAACCGAAATGTCGGCACGTTTTTAACGAAAAAATTGCTCGTGTCTTCCAGTTGACTTTGGTTCCCTGTGCGCTGAGTAATGCTCTGAGTCATGGCTGCCCGGGATTTTTCGAATAAATTTCAACTTTTCAATTAACTAAGAGCTGAAAATGGCATTCCTGCTGCAGCGTTCAGTATTTATGTTTATGCAGGACCCTTTAAGTGGAAGCTGCCACTGCCGCGCCGCTGTCTCCTGTATGATAAATATTTACATTTTCCCCTTGCGAGTATTCCGCTTTGCTTGGCAAATGTCTTTCATGCCATGCGCTTTCTTTACCTCTTTATGTCGTTTCAACTTTCTTTCATTCTGTATGGGAAATCTGTAAAGACCGATAAAATTGCATATTTTCCATGAAAGGCGTTGGCCCCGCCGGGCGAAAAAAGTGGAGAAGAAAAAAAATATAGGGGGAAATGGAAAATGGGGGCCCAGACATTTATCCCAGGCATCACGAACGCTCATTCACACAACAGCTGGGCGAGATGGGGCCGATGGGGCCAAAGATGCAGAAGATGAAACACACACGCAGACGGATTTACATACGCAGAGCGGAAATGCGAGGAGCTGGCATGGAAATCATGGCAACGCAAACAGGAAATGTTACGCTCCCGACTTACTCAGGTCCTTTTCTCATTTCTGCTGCCAGAGAAGGTAATGGGGATGCTGCAGGCAACAGCCAGACTATTGGTTGCCCATTTTCTGGGAATCACTCAAATGCCAACGGATTTTCAAGAACCCCCTCCAATGGCATTCGATCTAATACATTCGGCTGGGTTGCCTCAGGTTTCTGATTTTTTTTACTTTGCAGGATAACAAGGCGGCCTGATTGAACAAAGGATAGCATGGGCGTAGGCCAGCTATTCAGCTATTTCCTACTACTGCGGATATAATATGGGTCTGATTTTAATATAAAAATAAATCCCCTGTGTAATCAATGGTTTATGCAAAAAAAAAGAACTAAATTAAATTTCTTCGAACCAAATCAAAAAGTTTAGGTACTCCCCCTCTAAAAATCCTCCTTTTGGCTTCAAATATTAAGCCTGATTTACGTGACATTCTAGTAATTGTGTATATAATGATGAACTTCCATCTTTAGTGAGCTTAAGTAGTGAAAAACGAGCAAGCAACCTGCTGAGCGTGTCCTGTAACAAAAACGATCCTTGTGCGATCTGACAGAAAGGCTTTAATTTAAGTAATGAAGTGACCAAAATCCCCCTGTGTATAACCAACTCCAGTGTAAAAAAGTAGCAATTTCTCAATGTAATCTCGAATATTTGCTACAGGAAAGGCTCATTGCTGGGTGCTCCCCAATAGCTACGCCTGTGGTCCTGTGCGCGCAATGCCAGCACATTTTTACTGGGTAACGATCCCCGAGGAGCGGAGTGGCAGTGGCAGGCCACCCGCAAAATAACACAATCCCGCACAGATGGAGCCTCCTGCTCCAGGGGCTGTACTCCGCACCCTGTCATTCCCATTCGCTGGGTGAAGTTTTTGCATTAAAAGTGGAAATAAAAGTTGCAAGACGCATTAAAAATTGTTGCATTTTACAATTGCGAAGGAATTGCAATTGTGCAATGACGATGGCGTTGGCAATTGCACAGCAGTTGGAATTTCTGAGATGTGCCAGAGACAGCGATGTGGCTGATGTTGATGTGGATGTCGATGTCGATGCCGATGATAATGGCGATGCCGGTTAACTATTGACGGTTCTGGCTGGAGCACTTTTTAATAAGTTTTGCAAATGAATCTTGTATAAACTCGTGTTTCCCCCATTGCCCGCCGAAAGCGCAGTCAAAGACAACTGAAAATTGTAAGGAAATTGCCAAAGAAAAGCCAAACCAAAGCAATATCTTTCGTTTAGTGGAGCATTCAATTGATTTTCCCCGGCGAACATCAGGAAATAAGCTTTAAGCGAGGACGGCGAGGAGAGACAATGGCCAGGCGACGGAGTAAGGAAAATATTTATGAAAATAAATACAGATTGTTCGGTCTATATATATATATATCTTCCATCTTTCAGTGAGCTTCAGCTATGTTATGTCTGTTGAGTTTTTATGTCAGAGTTTCTGCCTTAGCGAAATGTTATTTTTTGTTTTCTTACGCTCTGGCACACAAAAGAATATTTGATAGAAATCTGCAGACGGTTAGGCGAATATATACATATTTCAAACTTTAAAGATAGCTGCAAAGTTTTATGTCTAAAATATATGTAGCTGAGCCGTGCTGTCCATCAAATTTGAAGTCACACAATGGAATTTTGTTAAATTTAATTGGCCCGGTCTCTCTTGGCCAGAAAACTTAATTACAGAAATCAATTTGGCAAATATTTGACAGGTGCTTTGTGTCTGGCTCAGGTTTTTGCTTGAAAGCCACCACTTAGTGTTATTGTTTTCAAATATTAAGCACAATGTATTAATTTCCTTGTTGACACTTGGGCAAATATTGTTCAAGGAATTAAGTGTCTATTGTGGGTTAAAACTATGGCTGGTTCAATAAATTATTTCTGGCAAGTCAGGAACCTATAAGGGTAGCTACTACTTGACTTTTGCCGACTCGATTCGATTCAGTAAACATGAAAACTTGATCAGAAACTGCTGAATCGAAGAACTTTTAGCTAAAGTATATACAGCTGAAAATTCACTTTACTTTTTTGTTTTACTCTTGGCCAGCTTTAAGTCAAGTTCGGAAATCTTTCCGAGAATTCGGCTCACACTACGTCCCCAAAGGGTCACCAAAAATATATATTTGGATTTCTTCATCTGGCGAAAAGCACTCGACCCTCGTTTGCAAATCGTTTGATGAACCCATTTGGTGCAATCATGAAAATGCGATATAATTAGCAGCCAAGTTACAAGGACTTGTGAAAGGGCCGTGGACAGGCTGTCGAGGACCTTAGCGATTTCAATTTCGCACCAAAAAAGGAATTACGCCCCCTTATCCTTTTTAATTTCGCAGTGTGTTTTTTGTTTTATTTGCCATTTAAATTATAATTCTCGTTTGACCTTTTTTGGTAAGCGGCCGTATGTGTGTGTGTGTGCGGGTCCTCCATTTGCCCGGCTGTCAGAAAAAGGACGAAGCGTCTGCTCGAAATGGCAAAAGGCGAAAGCCATGCGCCCAGGCCCAGGCCCAGGACGAGCCAGGCATCGCCAGGCCGAGAATGTGGAACTACAAAACATTTCAAATGCCATTTAGTGCCAGCCGTCGTTGTTGCACCTCACTCGCACACAGGGACGCATACACTGGGAGAAAATATTAACCAAATTATCTTTTTTTCAAATAGAGTGAGAGTTTACTATGTTGTCATTGACAAGTCGACTTTAATAGGAACAAAAAAGAAAAGAAACTACTGTGTAGTATAAATCGATTAATTATAATGATTTAGAATAGTTTTAGATCTTTAAAGGAATACATACATATACATACA